GTAGCCTGAGAGAATCTTGGTTGCACATGATACAGTACATTGTTTTATTGTTATCAAGCACATGCTGTTGCAGCCGCAACAAGTGCAACACGCTCCATTTTTAGTCCGAACACAATGCCGAATATCCCAGAATATCAATCGACGTCAAGATGTCGCCTGGATCAGATGCTGTTGCCGATGTTAATGGGCGTCTTCTTTCCCAATCTGACCCCTTTGTTGTTGTCGTTAGTTGTCTTGGGAAGACAGGGGGGACTATCTGGCAACTTTTTGATATACCGGCACACAACCCAGGCGTACGTCAACTGCTCCAGACCGTCACCAAGGAGTACGAAACCGACAGTGGCATGGAGACACTTACCATCAATTTCCAGTTTAACGAGTCGGGGAATGGGTCGTACAGGGTTAACGTCACCGGCGAAAAGGTACCGACGTATCAAAAGTATTCCCCTGCATTCGCTCTCAAACAATGTTTCGACGACAAGATGAAATCTGAAAATGGTCACACGTTGTTTCAAGACTTCAGTATTCACATTAAGCATCTCCCCTTTCGCCAAAGTAAGAATGGAGTTTGGCAGAAGCTTTGCCACTCTTCTTATTATGCACGAGAGGACGATTTGAACCTCATGGTGAGTCGTCTCGAAGTCGGCAACGGTGACCTGGCCCGACCTACGGTGTACTACGCTGTCGCACCTGCTGGGTCGGGGAAGATAGCCAGCGTGGCCGCTGCTTTTGTTCAAAGTGCCAAGGGCAACAGGATGGAGAGCTACACCCATTATCTTTACATCGCTTTCTCAAATAACAAGGACCGAAACTTTCAAGCTCACGGTGCAGTTTCCGACGACGCGACGCAAGCTTAAAATCAAGGTGCCGGCTTTATGGTGCGGTGTGTTGAGTGCTTGCTCAATGACGACCCAGAGGAGGGAACACCTAAATCAATTGAAATTAGCCAGGATCCAAGGAATGAAGGTGATTCCTTGGCCCTTCTCAAGGATATGTTTGCAGGAATCAGGGGACGGATCTTGCTGCATCTCGACGAGCACCGCCAGATGAATGACAACGGGCACTTCCGTCGCGGGGCCATGAAAGTGTTGGCGAAATTGCCTCTCGTGGTGGTTGTTGCAACTTTTGTCGAGCCCCCACTTGAAGTCCCTGTCGTCGAATCATCAGAAATCTGCCGTTCCCCGGTTGCGATTCCTCTGGTGGATGTGGAAAAATTACTGGAGATTGAGCTTAAGTGTCCTCTCGACCGCAAGAAAGTGGCGCTGAATGCCAAATGTGGGAGGTTGTTGTCTACCTTACTTTTCCGTTGTGGTGACTACTTGAGAGGGCACCTGAACTCGGTACACCTCGTTGGGAGGTGCAGTCCAGATTATGTCGCGTTCTGTACAGCGTTTGCACCTGGAGTTGTCAAGTTGAAAAACAGCCTCAACGATGCGTCAGCCATGGAAGCTGCATTGAAGGATTGCATTTCTCGTGTTCCAGTTGAACGGAGGGTCGAGAACTGACCAACAGGATGCCGCGCTGAATATCTTCTCTTGGGAATGGATGAAGCTGCAATCGACCGTCTCGGGCATAAAGTCGGCGATGGATTGATTGCCTACAGCATCGCTGGCAGTGAGGCTACCAAGTTCACGGCGTCAGTGCGAGCAATTGGAGCTCCCAGCGGGAACGGAGACATTGACAAGATTGTTAGACTTGGATATGTCTTCTTTCGTTCGGTGTTTGCTAATGGAGATGACATCTTGGCAGATACACCACTGGAACGTGCATTTCTCTGGACGCTTTCTACGTCATCTGCCATCTATGGACAATTGGACTTTTTGCACGAGGGCTTTCTCCTTGGCATACAATGCAAAAGTATTGAGAAGGGTTGGATTTTCAAAGACAGTACCCTTACCTCCTTTGATTTGGCGAAAGTTCGAAGCATGCAAGTCAACACCATGTATTGTGCGGACGAGGGAAACGGGCAGAATTCGCACCCTTTCGGCGACATCTTCTTCAAGACGTCAAACAACCGACTTGTCTTGATTGACGTCACAGGCAGCACAGATACTGCGAAATGCCGAAACAAAGGGCTTCGATTGGTTGATTGGGTGACTTATGCAAAGAAAAAGCAGCGGTTTGTCAGCAGAGCTAACAAAATCCGTTTCTCCTGGATTGTGTTGGCCCCATTGGTACCTGGAGAATCTCACTTCATTAGACACTCAGTCCAAGGCCGCCGTGGATGCACTACCCATGAGCTATGCCAACAAGTTCGTGCTGTGGTGGGTGCCGATGCAATTACATTGCTGGGAGGGCTCGCACAGTTTTTGACCTGGTTCCAGTGAAATGCCCTTTCTCCTGAAGGTATGTAGTGTAGCTATTGTGCCTCCATTCCAATTCCCAGTCGCTCACTTTGTTTTCTCTTTTTTCAAAGGCAATAATGATCGAGTTGTTTTATGATAGTTGTTTGGAGTAATTTGGGGGATAGGTTTATTCTTCGTGTCAGTGTCGGTTTAACATCGGACAAGGGTGAGGTCACTGATCCAAAATAACTTGTTTAGTGACCTTCAACAAGTATGGTGCTAAGCTGACAATACACATAATACAGCGCGTTTTTCAATCACGACCATACCCAGCTCTGACAATGTTTGGTACGCAGCTCGTACTGTTGCTCCATTGGGCCCATGGGAGATGCCGGCGACGATGGTGGTTGCCTACATGAGCGGTGACTGGGCCATAGATTTTCGATTTCTACCCGGCGCTAGTAGTTCGGTTGATTGTTGACTGATGATTGACGGTAATGATTGATCTAACTGTTAATTGCCTTAATCATTAGCGTTAGTCGATGGTGGCACCAAAGTACATTTGCACAGAGGACGGTGTATTGGAGGGTAGCTCCTTGTTCAAGGGGTCGTCCTTGTTTTCGAACCGCTTCACTAGGGGGTGTGATGATGTGAAGTCAAAGGCAAACTTCCTGCGTTTCGAGTCTGGGTCTAGACATTGGTAAAGAGCGATCTCTGCAACACGAGCGGTGTGGGCTATGTCTCGTTTCCATTGCACAAGCTCTTTGACACTTTCAGGTCTTGGGTTGGGGTACTCAGGACAGAAGAACAGCATGGTCTTGATGAACTTCTTCAGCTTCTTGTGGTGGTTCTTGATGCGGGTTTGCTCGCTTTTCAACATCCTGGTCCAGTTGGAGCTGGCCAACTCATGTTTATACCCTTCAATGCATTGGTCGTAGAAGAAATTGCTGAAATGGTCTCGGGCTTCCAGGTTTTTTCACCAGTGACTGATTGTTGCCGAGTAAAATGGAATGATACCTTCAGTAGGTTTGTCGCTCAACTCTTTCTTGGTTGGTGTCATGACTTCAATGCGGTTGCCAATGCGCCCAAGGAGCTTGTTGGATTCAATTAGTTGCTGTTCCATGCGTTCATTGCGACATGACAGGGTGGCAAAGTCGCGTCGTAGATCCGTCATCTCTCGAGCCTGGACTAGGTGTTGAGAATGGAGGCTGTAGTACGCTGAGGTCAGAGCGTTGAAATGATCAACAAAACAGCGATTGTCGAGGAAGTTCCCGTTGTTCCTTGGAATCAACTCGATTGGGAGTGCAGGAAGGTTTCTCTGTACAAACCCTTGTCGGACTTCCTTGCACCAACTCTTCCATGTGGTCTCGTCGACACCTGTCATTCTCCTGGCTTCGTTCACCTTGAATATGAATGGGTGTTGATCAGTGCATTCAAATGTACGCTTTGGGTGGTCTAGAATGAGGTCGATGAAGTCATTGTAGAACCGGAGCAGACTTGCTGTCAACAATCCTCGAACACTGCGACGCCATTTGTTGTTGTAGTCATTTGAAAATAAGGCTGTTATGAAACCTTCAATCTTTTCAGGTGCTGTGGTGATGTCATGAAGAATGGGCGGGGACCCTCCTGCGATTTCATTGTCTCGTTTGGCAGTCCAGCCACTGCCTGCTTTGCCTGCTTGGTTGATGAGTACTGCAGATCCAATTACATAGTCGAACACTGAATGGAACCCACGGACTTCCCAACCTGTTCTGAAGATGTGTGCCAATCCACTGACTGTTGGAATCTCCGAGAGGGCTTGGTTGGCACCTTTACGAGCGTGGTAGCTTGAGAGCTTCTCATTCACCAATTCAGAGAACCCTTTGAATTCTTTGAATAGTGTGTTGAAGTAGGTTGACCAAAGCTTTGATACTTGACTTTGTTGTTTGTTTGCTTTTGAGATATGTTTTGCTTTCTCGCTGAAGTTGGCAAAGACGTGATCAGTTGGTGTACCACCCATTACAATGTAGTACACAAGGGCAAAATACATGTCTTGATACACAGAATCGCGGTGGGGAAAGATGCTTAACTCTTGTAGTGGACCATCCTTGTCACGTTGCAGGCTGCAGCAGATGACTTTGTATTGTTGTGTATTTTCATAGGTGTCGGTACAGTAGATGTCTTGGACTTTAAGAAGGGCAACTTCACTTCCACGACCAGCTACTTGGAACTGGGAAGTGTTCAAGCAGTGGAACTCAGCGCCTTCGATTGTGCTTATCCAAAAGCAACCACATGCCATGGCCTTGCGATCTTCAATGGTGGATCCTATCTTTGAATTTACAAGTTTCTTGCTTGCCTGTTTGCTTGTTCAGCTCCTTATACTTGTGGAGTAGGAAGCAGCGAAGCCTTTTGTAATCTTCCGTTTGGAACACAGTGAGGGAGGGTCCTTCATGTTTGAACTTGTCACAGTAGTAGGTCTTGATAGAGGATGCGTATCCAGTGGCTGTATCGTAGCTGATTCTTCCCTTTTCAGGGTCCAGATATCTCATGGCGGAATAGGCCAGGTATTTGATAAAGGCTCCAATAAGGCGGTCCCAGAACTTCTGGATTTGTTTTTGGGGGCCGTCGGTGCCAACACCTTTGTAGGGAATTTGGTCAGCTTTCCAAGGTGTCTTCATCCCATGGTGACTGTATTCGCTGGCTAGGAAGTGATTGAAGTGATTCAGGGCTGACTCTCGCTTGCCTAGGTCGACGGCATGTTTCCTCCAATCTTCTTCTTCTGCTTCCACTATCACGCATGCTACCTCCCAGCTATCCATGGTCGTCTCCGTCTCCATCACCGCCTGGGTTTAGTGACGGTGGATGAAGGCAACGTGAGTGAGGGTGGATGATGTGGAACAAGCGCTACCGCCGATACTGTTGCTACGATCGACGGTGTGAGGGTGGAGATTTGATGGTGGTGAGTGGTGAAGGTTTCAATGCATTGACCAACTGAATACATGGCAACATGTCTCCTGCAGCAACAACAGTTTCACTCAGTTTCCAACACAACTGCATTGCTTAGCTTAATACAAGCAGCTGTAGATAAATTCAGGTGCTAAAGCCAGTTAGGGCCTCCTGAAGGGTCTCTCTGTATCAGCAGGTGGTTGACACACTACTCTGTCTGTAAATTCCAGGAGATCATTGTTTGTTGTTTTCAATTTTGCTCTTAGGTACAATAATGTCAGACGATCAGAGAAGACAGAGGGATGATAATCAAGGTTTACCACCAATACCGCCAAATGCAGAAGCGTATCGAAGATGGCTACAACATCAGCATTTTTATATGAGAACTCTCAGTGAATCTTTTCTCGCTTACAGCTATATTATTGCCATGAGCCGCATGCCATCTGAAGCATTTATACGATGATGATATCAAACAATATCATTGCAAAGCAAGTTGCTTAATGAAAATGCAAAAGACTTATCTTCAAAAGCTGGTTGCAAAAAAATGGCGACAGAAATAGATGGTACAAGTTATTGGTGAAATTAACACAAAATCCACAAAGAAGTCCACCAAGGAGTCAAAGTAACTATAGCATTTAGTAATAACTCTTTAGCTGGTTTAAGTTTAATACAATTTTGGTCATAGTGAAAGCTTGCGGGTTTTGTACTGACTAGTGCATAGTCGCGCAAAAGCATACGCATACGCAAAATTAATAAGCCCCAGATTTGATGCCGACTGGGTGGAGTTTCGAAGTTTTACTAACCGGTGAAGATTCGTGACTCATGACTGTCTAAGTGTTGCTTGACTATAACCAAGACTGTATGTTTGGTTTGGTATTTAGATAGGGAGTGTGCTCCAGGACTGAGGGTAAAATTCACTGAAGGGGTATTTTTCGACTGTGTCAGAGCAAAAACAGCTGACCCTTGGGAGGAGTGTGCTGACGAAGATCACGTGTGGACGCTTGACGGTTTTACGCCAACGGAGGATAGAACGATTGCCCCTGTATCCTGGGACCATACCGGTACCATACTAGTAGTGGCAACTTGAATTGTTGCAATTCTGCAGTCCTGCAGCATCTCAGCAATCTCATCCGCCCCAACAGGATTTGGACGTTTTTCGATTATACAGACATGGCATGGTGCTCTTCCATCAACTCTCGATGGGCGCTTTTTCACGCTCATGCTGGCTACCGAATACCTTGAGCAGTACTGTGAGCTATTGCTTGCGGTTACGGTGACCGCATCAAATCAAGGGTATTGCACATCTCGAGCTGCTTATTGCTAGCTAAGGGCGAGTGACGAGTCTGTGACTGTCGAAAGAACTTGTGGGCTAGTGCATCAAAGCCACACAGTACATTACCCTCCTCAAGGCTACTCTACTCATTATGCATTTGTGGATCCTGAAATGTTATCAGATATACCCCCCAGAGCTGTCCTGGTTTCGTGCTGCCTGATTCTTCCAAGTCTTGCTCCGAGTTTGTCGTTTGTTCCTCCAAAGCTTTGACCACGGCGCCATCACCTTCACAAAAGAAAGATCCCAAAAGTACGTAGAGCTACAGGGGATCAGGTTGTACCAATGGTGCTGGAGTTTTGATGTCTCTGAGTTGGGATTTGCAATGTTGATGAAACTGTTCTTGGGCCTGGAGTAGGTATAGGTTTGTGAGTTAGTTGGCCTTGAAGATGATCTCTGTGTTGGTTCTCAAGCTGATCTGGGAGTTGGACCAGGAGTGGGGCCTGGAGATAGACCACTACATTGGTTCAGGGTTGAGTCCAGGAGTTGGTCATGGCTAAAGTGACCTTGTATGAGTCCAGCAGGAACTGGATGCATTGCCGGGAATCAAATCTGGATTGCCTCGGTAAACCTGGGAAACTCTTAACCAACCTAACCAGCTTATAAATCAGAAAGAATGGGGACGGCATGCTCCTCCGACGGTTTTCGAGCCACACCGCCAAAATCGTCATCCGGTGTCCGGACCGCATTGCACCTGGTGTGCATTTTGCCAAGGACGACGATCGACCATGATGACAAACCCGTGAAGAAACAAACTGATCAGCGCTGGATAACATATCATTTTACTATTAGTGAGTCTCTTGCAAGCGGCGCTTCATGCAGACTGTACCACAAGACTAGCTAGCCACAATTATTGGTGAGAGGAGTTGTTTATCACCCACATCATACGGTACCGTATCATTGCAGTCAAGATATTGTTCGAGCCATTCATTGGAATCTCTTCCGCAAAAAACAGCCATCTATCCATCCATTCCATCATGTACCAAAAACTAAAACGACAACTGCAAAGGCGGTTATCCAGCACCTCCTCGTTGGACGCCAATGGGGGCAGTACCAGTGGGTCCAGCGGCAGTTCCAAGAAACCACTGTTACCAGAAACCACCAAGGACACGGTGAGAACCATCCCCCCATCCTCGGGCAATTTTTCCAGCAACTTTGGCGACACTGGCATTCCTGCCCATGCCTACGTGACACTTGCTACGGCAGTGATTGCGCTCAGCAGTGTTGGACCTTCCTTTGATTTGCAACATGGCGTGGCCCCGATTCTCAAGGTTTATTGGAGAATGACCGGCACTTGGATAGTCCTGTTAATACCCACCATTCTCGCTGTGGCCAAGGATGGATGGCCCAAACTTAACCGACAACAAGCCATTACCTTTTTGGGTGCTTCCTTTTGTTATGCCGTCATGGGTGTTGGATTTGTCCTGTCACTCGAGTACACATCGGTGGGAAACGCCGTGATTTTTAGCAATACCAATGCACTGATACTCCTGTTTGGACGCTTTCTGATTGGAAGTCCCATCTCAGCTTTGGAAAGCGGTGGATCTGCTGTGGCATTTTTGGGGGGTATACTTTGCACCTATGATCAAGCAGAAGCTGTCGAAGCCACGGCAATGCCAGCATCAGAGTCATCAGTGGCGGAAGTGGCACCCATATGGCAGGGCATTCTTGGAGATGTAATTGCCGTCATTGCGGCTGCAGGAGGCTGCTGTTATTTGGTACTGGCGTCGACTGTCAGGTACGATATTGGGACATCGATCTTATTGCGTTCAGCTGCTATAGAAGCCTCTCGCCCTATTGTTTATCGCTTGTCGCTCACATTCTTGGTTTTTCTTCTTTGCAGAGCAAGATTCCCCTCGCTTTATACATTCATGTTTTCAAACATGCTTATTGGATCCCAGATCACCTTGCTATGCATTGTCATTTCTGGACAAGAGATTGAGTTTTCGAGAGACGTCCATATTGGTCTATTTGGGTTTCTTAGTTTTCGATATGATCGGCTCCCATTGGAAATGTTCTTGGTATGTATATGCAACTTGACAGGGAGCATGGGATATCTGCGATCGACCATATACTTTGACAACCTTGTGATCAGCGTAGCCACGTTGATGGAACCCGTAGTGGCATCATCCCTGGCTTATGGGGTTGGTGTAGGTTCTCTGCCAGGATTTTTGGGGATGGTGGGGAACATACTTGTGGGAATGGGCACGCTCCTAGTCATCAACCCAGGTGGAGCAAAGAAGAAGGAATCTTGCAATTGACGGAGGGAAATCATTTTTCCAACAAACTTAATGATGCGCTGGCTGCTACCGGTATGGACACTATGCAATTCTTTGAAACCTACCCTGGAATTTTTTATGCCATGCCCGATCATGTCCAAACTGCCAGAGCAATCTTGGTGTGGAATGAGGTCCATGAGCTGTTGTGGCTGCTCAAGGAGCAATGTCGCGTTTAAGACCATCTCTTGCTTTGATGGGGTCGTTGTGTTCCTCCACACTAAATTGCCCTTTCAAGTCGAGGAAACCGAGTTTTCTCATACATCAAAAACCCATGGCTTACACGTCTTGTTTAGAAGTAGGATTAGAAAGTGTGGCCGCGCCTGTTCACTAGAAATTAGAAGTAGAGCTACCGGAATTCTGATGGAGACGATGCTCCAAATCAAATGCAAATAAAAAACCAATGGATATGGTGCCTTTGTCATGGATCCAGAGTGTACAGCTAGCTATTAGTGGCATCAAGCATTCCCGTCGGCGGCACAACCATAAACAAAAGAAGCTTCATATGGTTCCATTCTTTCCAGGATCTATGCATACCAGCTACCAAATACCGGTACGATGCTGGGGACCGTTTCAGACACTTAGCTGGGATTGGCTCATGCTGACACAAGTCCTTACTAGCAACCGGTAGCTACCGGTACCAGCCAGAAGACCGGTTCCATTGCTCAAGACAGGTTCCATCCTGGGTAGTCCCTGGAATACCGCGGAACAGTTCTTTTTGCACCGTACTGGTATACAGTCGTACCGAACAGTACCAGAAACTCAGTCAGTATGGTAAACACTCAGTCAGTAAAGAACACCAAATCAAAAACAAGCATCAAACATCTTTTTTTCTTGTCACACCTCCCTCCTCTAAAGTAGATGTACTTTGTCACTCTCATGGTAACATTGAGAAGGTACTTCCAATAACTACCTTGTCAATATTAACATGCCCGTCGCAGAGGCTCCATCTAGAAGTCCATTTGGTGTCTGTGGGGTTACTCAGTGACTACTAAACTGGAGGCTCCCACTTTCTCCCATTTTTGGGACTAGAGGGGGTTGTAGAAGCGTTTTCTCAAGCCAAACCAACGCTACATCCCACAGCGGCAATGCCAATGGATACAAGGAAGTGTGGCGCATGCATAATGAATCACTTTCTGCGGTGCACTAATAAGAGGATTTATCGCCGGCAAATTGGTCAGTCAATTGGTCAGTCAACTACTGGAAGTCCTTGCTAAGGTAACCATCATGCGTTTACATTGTTCAATTTTGGGAGGGAAGAATCGAACTGACAGAGAGCCTCAACCACAGGTGTGAAGAGGTGAGATACTTACTTTCACACCCCGTGCGCTGCTGCACTGTGTAGTGCATGATCCATCCGCTGCAGTAGCATAGCAAGAGCTTCATTACTACCATATTGCAGTAGCAGGCAAAGTTAAAGATACCTTGAATTACAACAAGTGGGACGAGCCCCCCCCCCACTCAATCAACTCCACTATGCAAATGCGAAGCGAATGTGCCATGATGCAGCAAAGTTCCCGTGTCCCACAGTTGGTTGTTGTATGCATGGTGCCACCATAATGCTGTCAAAGAAAAGAAACTGTAAGCATCCGCCACATCTTCACAGTTTCGAAAAAAGGAACCGTGATTTCCATAGGGGCCACCAGTACTTGTACGGTATGGCGCCCCCATGTTTGGCCGGCACCTCCACGGGACAATCTGTGGAATCTAGATCTCTGCGGTACAACAATTTTTCGTAGCGTCGAATGACGGCGGACGATTGCAAATAGTGAAAGGAGATGGCCGACGAGGAGATGGTATCCAATCCATATTTGCGGTCAAATCCGTAGGCGTTCGATTGTCCTTCGAATTGTTTCATGGGTAAATATCCCAAACCGGATGCCGTGACGTCCAATTCGTACGTGTGATATCGTTGGGCGCCCGCGGCGTCCCGCGAGTCCACGGGGAGCAGACCCGGAATGGGTTCGTGCGAATCATCATTGTTGAGTGTATTGGAATAATTGCTCTTGGCAAAACACTGGCCGACATTGTAATCTTCCCACGGCGCAATGGTTTCCGCTTCACAAATGGGCAACAAATCGCGGACCAAATGTTGAAGGGCCGATCGACTGAGAGTGTACCCAGAGCCACCCGACATGTAGAGTCGTTCCGCCCTGTTCCAGGGCACAAAGGGCACAAACATCCATGGCGTGAGCCATTGGCACTTCATCCAGTTCCCGGTGTAGACGGGCTTGGGATACCCTGGCCCTCCTCCCGCCTGGAGGACGGCGTCACTGACCAGAAACTCTTTCAAATGCTCCATGATCAAAAAGGTATCATCTCCAAGAAAATGAAAAAAGTCGTAATCGTCGGCAAAATTATCCGCGACATAGCCCAACATGGATCGTACTTTTTGCCATATATTCTTGTATTTTCCTTCAAAGCCACCAAAATGGGGAATATGCACGACCCCCGTATCCGCATCCGTTTCCGTGGAGGCGGCCATAAAGCCATCGCACCGGGGGCCCCAGGTTTCTCGAATCGCTTGTAGATTGGCTTTGGCTTTGGCACCGGGGTGTGTGTAAATACCACAAAAGACACGTAATTTTTGGGCGGCTTTCGACGGCGGTTTTATCGGCACATTTAACTTTTGCGTCAAGGCTTGGTAGCCAAAATAGCCTTCGGGACCTTCGTACCGTGGAGCACAGACGGACTCGTATTCGTGGGGCGCAATAGTATAGCGTGTTAAAGTGCTGTTGGTCTCAAAGGCGCGTCGGATAATGGAAGGATCGTGCACGTAGCCGTAGTTGCCCAGAGAGTCCTTGGCGCCCGCGTGGGGATGAGGTTTCGGCGGTTGTTGTAGCCCACGCAGCGACGGTTCGCTGTCGACACTGTCAAATGTGTCCGTAAAGGACAGATCTATTTGGAAACAATCCAGCCCTAGGATGAACACCACGAACACACCACAAATGGCGGATAATTTAACTTTGAAGGGGAAGGGGCGTTTTGCCATTGTCGGCACGGGTGTTATTAATTTACAGCCTACCTCTTAGTGGATATCGATCGTGTGATGTTCACTGCTTGGCATGTGGTCGTTTGTCCTCGAAGGGATAAGGCAGCATCGTCATGGGAACACAAAGAGGCTTGGTTGAAAAATAAATGATCAATCTCATTCTCCCGTCACAGCATTGGTTTTTGACGGCTTACGGTATGATAGGTAATTGGCGCGCAGTTGTTATACCGTACTTGTTGTCTGGTGTACTACTAGCTCTAGTACTGTATGTCATACAAGTACAAGTACCGGTTATGGTACAGTGCTTAACTACGGTACATCCTACTGTCCAGCGTAGTACTAGTTTAACAGACCATTAAATGGAAACCTCATAATAGCCGTTATTATTACCGGCTGTGCCCTGCTGCGTGTTAAGTAACTCAAATCTGGCTGTCGGGTTCGCCCTCTCTTTTAAGCCTTCGATCCGGGTTTGTGCCACTCCAACCTCCAATTTAAAAAGAAACTCCACTATAAGAAAGTGAGCCCTGAGCTTTTAGAAAACGTTAAGAAATTCTTGATGCTTGTAAGAAAGCTTCCCAGTATTTTGAGACCTCAAAGCGTAAGAAATACTACATTTACTAGAGTCGAGTCTGACACCATGGAATTGCTTCAAACTTGTGCCTAAATCTGCAAAATTTTCTCTATTTGATCCAAACCAATTTACGAGTCCTGAGCAAGTTGGACCAAAAGGTCCAGGTGCACGGATGTATCCGAGTACTAACCTGCTTGACATACAGGCAGCTTCGGTTTTAAAGATTCAAACGCGTGCCCGGTTTTCTCTAACACTTCTACGAGAGCTCGAGTAGATGTGTACCATGAAGGTCGGCACGCGTTTGCATCAATAAAATCGAAGCTGCTCGTAGAAGCATAGTAAGAAATCTTTTATGCTCAAATTGGCTTGTTTTGTTAGAAACAATCTGAGGGCTGCATGGTAAGAAAACCCCATGGCTGCACTGAATTTGGAGCTTTCTTATAGATGAGTTTGGAGTGTACTAGTATTCTGTAATTTTCTCTTTCTAAAGGGTGGAGTCGAGTCTCAAGAAGAAAGATGGGTCGAACAAAGCTATGATAGCCCTGCTACTAGCTAGCTAGCTCTACTGTATCTTGCTGGCATAACAGCCCAAGACAGGAGGAGGTGTGAGTCTAGCCAGTAGCTACCGTACCGTTGCTCAGCTCCGCGACTCGACTGTCACTCGACTCAATTCAGTCCGAGCCGGTATTTGTACGGTACGGTCGCTGCCTTGTGAGGTTCAGGTCACTCGAGGGACTTGCTTCGAAGCCCCTTGTTTGCGATCTAACGGGGTGGCCAACCGCTTCGTAATTGATAGAGGTCAAGAATGGATGCTTATATGTATAATATGTTTTGGTATTCGAGGAAAGTAATGGAGACTGCGGAGGTTTACGAAAGTAGAGTCATTTCAGCTGTTCACGCTGCCGGAGACAGAGAGAAGATTCGTGTGACTGCGAGACAAGCCACATTGGAGAAGAAATCAGCAAACTGCGGTGGCATGGCATACACGCGATGCAGATTCACGCTGGCAAGCTCCTCCAAATACGCCGAGGCTTGTTGCCCATTGGCAAGCAGAGCTTCAGCATGACCCAGGTTGTTCAAGAGGGCCAATTCGAGGACTGCATCTTCAGTGCGGTTTCCCAATACTGCCTTCAGCATGTCAAGGGCCACTGCATAGTATCGTCGCGCCTTGATGATGTTGGTGCACTTGCCCGACCGGATGCCTTCTTGGTGAAGAAACAGTGCAATGTTGTACATGCCAGACACAGCCAGCCGAAACCTGGCCTCTTCGGTGGGCGCACCATGGCCACCGTGATGCGAGATATGGAAGACGTGATTGAACAAGGTGAAGATATCTTGGTCCGCATTGATAGCAGGCATCTGGACGGGAACAACGTGAATGGTCTCTGTTGGCTGGTCCGCTCCAGGTGCCACCATTGGTTCAGGTCCGGCATCGACGCCAATTTGCAACGATGCCACGAGAATCCTCAGTTGGGAAAGAGCCAACCTAAGAACAGGGTACACATTGGCATGGTCGCCATGCACCATCAAGGAAACAATCTTGAAGTTGAGGTCGAGAAGAGAGGGGTTGGAATGGGCCATCTTGAATTTCGTTGCTTGCTTCGTCTCTTCTTCAGATTTAGATTGTGAGGTCCAAGCCTGAATTGAATTGTGAGCACTTGCTTCTTGAGAGAAGGGTGCGAAGCTACATGTACTACCAGTAGTGCCGGTAGTATGAAACTGAATGATGAGATGTGAGATTACATTTGGCCGCTAACCCTCACTAGAACATGAATTTATCCAAAAGTCCGAAGCCTAATGACACCAGGAGTACTGACTACTACTTCAGTAGATTAGTACCGTATTGCCACACGATTCCCCGGAAACTGGAAATCCATATGGCAATACGATACCAGTCTGAGACTGCTCAGAGAGGCAGTAAGTAAGAGAGTAACTTGGAAGGGAAGAAAGGATGACCACAAGCTGCCAACATCAAAACCCACCAGAGGCTTGCATCTTTCACCTACCGGTAGCTAGCTAGCTGCAGTAGAGCTCTACTGGTTCCATTAGTTCCTATCGCAGCGTGGCACCGGTACAGTACTACCACGCACCTGCCGTACTACTGTACTGTACCTACAACGCAGCTATTCAGTGGTGTTCTTTAGAAGAACCCTCTTTCTATGGACTTAGGAGCCAGAAAGGAAATATTGATCGAACAATCTGTCGGACTTCTGTTGCCTTCGGTCAATTAAAAAGAATGAATTAATAGACTTCTTGAAGTAATCAATCTTAACTGCCTATTGCATTCTGTATGACCGTTGTTTGGATTTATGACTATGAGTTGACTACACTACGAGTACTAATGCTCTACCGTAATGCTAGCGCTCGTGACAGGAGTAGGTCTGATGACAGTGGTACTTTGCCAGCTCTTTTCCCAAAGCTCAAAGAACTTATGCTTCTTGTTTTTCTTGTTTCTTTGTAGCTTCAAAGCTTCAAGGTGCACTGGTTGGAGCCATGCAGTCATAGAAACGGTCATAGAAGAGAGCGTGTTCGTGTCTCAGGGGCCGCAGCCACTACCCAGCAACCACACAGTAGACTAGACAAAAGATTGTGTTGCTCCTGAACCGGTGCACGTGCACTCGAACCGGTATCTGCGATGAACAGCTGATGAAGCACGAGCGATGCTGTGACAATGCATTATTATTATTTTTGGGATTGTGGGACGGAAAAGAGGAAAAGAGGATCTATTGCGATCATGTAGATGGTCAAGGTCAAGGCGCCAAGGGAAAGCCAAAGGAACGATCAGTCAGCGTAAAAAGGCCTCCCTCCTCGGTGGAACTCGATCGTGTGATTTTCAGCTGATGTTCAATGTTTGGCATGTCGTTTGGCCTCGAAGCGACAACGAACATCAACATGGAAACACAAGAGGCAAGAGGCTAACTTATCAATGATGTGTGTTATCAACTAACTGTTCCATGTCGATTGAAGATTCAATGATTCAATCTCGCATTCTCGCTGTCGCCATGTTGCCAAAGAAAAGTTTACGGTACTGGCTAGCTGACAAGTCCGGTTTGCAGTCGGTTCGGTATTAAGGATTAAATTTTGTTGCTTGTCTGTTATCGACCAAGTCCGTGGTGTAAGGTCACTGTCTCTCCGTCTCTGGCACCCATGCGCTGCTCTCCTTCTCGTAATAATGAATACAGATACAGTATCACACAACTTCCAATAAATTTTGTCCAAGGCATCCTAGCTAGATCTATGTTTCATCGTAGCAGGACATAAAAGCCAGAAGTGAATACTGAGAAAGCTATACTGAGTTCGCCGACATGCAATGCTTTTGTTGTGAACAAGTTGCAAGAGCTCGGTCTATTGCACGACCTTATGTGGATAATATGTGGATTAGCATTTCCTCTTAGAACCTACATCATCATCAGAAGGCAAACGCAGCAATAACGAGCAAAGCAATTAATTGACACAGTGCAATTGAAGGCGGGTATGGATCATGGATCGTGTGATGCTTTACAGGGGTCTTGTTGATTCGATTTCATGCGACATGTTCTTCAATCCTTTCCTCATCATCAGGCAGTCGTTGGAAAGGATATCTCTTTCCACTCTAGAAGAGTCGAGTCTCCGACTTCGAAAGTCAAGACCTGAAATCCCGGCCTGAAAGTCAAGTAAGTGTTTCCTCACAGGCCCAGCCAGGAAGTTTGGCAAGGAGGAAGTACAAGCATGCAGGCCGTGCAGGTCATGAAGAGTCGAGTCAAAACAAAAGGCGTGGATACGGTACCAGATACATCAGCATCTGAACTCTGAAGCGAGCCAAGAAACCCCAAGAAAGAAGGGCTCGTTGAATGGAACACAGACTGTGAGTGACGTCTGCTCATGGCTGCCCACCAGCCATAACGCTGGGAGTAGGTTTGGGGATTAAAGTTCAGGCGCCCTTCGCCGTGAGAAGAAGTTTGCAAAGCACCCGACTTGAAATAGATTTATGATGTGCATGTGTGCCTCTACCGGTATGGTTGAACCTTGCGACGTGTTCTTTCGGCGTGGATGTCAAGTCCATACTCCGAGTAGCTCTCCGAGTTGTACACACTCGCCGGCCATCAGCCATGGGCATCGAACAATGCAAGCAATGAAGTTAGTCTAGGCTTTACTTTCCCAATGTTCTAGTAGGACGAGAAATCATGGCAGCAGGCAATATGTAGTTTCAACGAGGACACATGGAGGTGGCTCGTGAAATTCTTTTCGTGCCGTGGCCGAAGTCAGGGGTTCGCTTCCTGCAGCCTCAAAGAAGGCAAAGCACCTGGTGCAAAGGAGTGTTTGGTTGATCCTTGGGTTGACCATGGAGAGCTGTTCAAAACATGAATGCCTTCTCTTTAGTGCCACCCGTACTGCACCAAGTCGCTATCGGTACTGGTAGCTAGACAGCTGCATGGTTTCATACCAATAGTGAACTACTGCAACAATAATCAAGGCTCGTAGTACAAAATTGTGGCCTCTACACATACATGCATTAAGCTACCTTATCAAGACTCAAATGAGGATTGCTACTAGCGAGCTAGTCCTTCTTGTCTTGAGCTTGGTTATTGCTGTTGTGGTGGTTGCTAGTGCGCGGTGGTGCAGGGGCGTCGTCATGAAATACAAAATTGTTGTTTGTTTTGATGTATTCTGCCTGGATCTTTTCCTGATAGATTGCTGCCAGGCTTTTCATGTTCATAAAGATGGACAAGAAGGCACTGCCAGCAGCAGTCAACCCCATGGCGAGAAATGCTTTTTGATTTGATTCGAATTCACGAAAGAAGACGGAAAAGATCACTCCGCCAAGAGTGCCGCCTGCTCCAATCCAACCCACGACCGCGCCTGCGGAAACATGCAACACACGTGAGACACCGATTATAGGATCCTGTTGCCACCATGGAGCCATTCAAATGTTGTCCGTACCTGTAAATCGTCTGTTGACATAAGGCACAATCCTGCGAGATGAAGGAAGCAGCGTTAGGCACACTTCGTAGAAGGGACAGCGGCATAAACCGTTCCTGCACTACTTACCCATACGTAGATCCCTCGGCACATTGGACCCACAGCGACAGAAAAATCAATGAAAGGATGGCACCGACCAGGTTTTTCTGATACGCAAACACAACTATGCCCATTCCTTCCATGAACAGAGTGAAGCTCTGCCACCAAACACGTCCTTTGGTCCCGTACTTGGATTGGCAATAATCGCTGCCGTATCCGCCCAACCCTCTAGCGAATAGATTCATCATACCTAAGTAGGGAGATTACAGCAGATTGCCAGTGAGCAAACAAATCCAAAGGCTATCATGTTCACTAAAGAAAGAGCAACCCGACTTACCAAACACGGAAGCTATCGCTGCAGCTGATATTGTACTTTGCGCAAATTCTTCCCTCATGTAGAGTGCGATGGCATTAGTCATGGTAATCTCAACGCCAAAGCAACAAGCGTACTGCACCAGCAACAATATCACCTAAATTGATATTGATAATGGCTGTGAGGAACATGACAGCTTTGAAAGGAAAGACGACAGTACGAAAGCACGAGCAGGACACTTACGTTCCGATTCTGAATGGCCAATCCGAGAGACCAAAAGGGACTGACCATTTCAATCTGTTGCTGTCGCACCAGCTCTGCATAATCCCCCTTGGGTGAATCTTCGCAATGATAGATGTAAACGTACGCCGCCATGAATGCAATGATGGAGGGAATCACAAAGACGGTCCGCCAAGCCAATTCTCGTGCCCTGGCGTCATCGCGGTCATCATCCAATTGGTAGATCAAAACAAAGAGCGGAAACAAACCGGCACCCATGAGAAGCTGGGTAATCCCACCGCCCAAGTTCCCCCATCCGGCCACGACTGCATCGTATGCCATGAAATTAAATGATCAAAAAACAAGAGAGAGGAACAGATAGATGAGAAGGAGCAGGTAGACTAACAAATTGCGATGGCGTGTTTGAGCGTAGACACTCGCTCTACTCTCTTGGATTGCATTCGTTTCACTTACGTGCATTAGCAGTACCGGCGACTTCACGGGCAAACATTCGGCTGGTCCAGTATTGGCAGGGCACAAAGGCGCTGCCGGCAATTCCGACAAAGGCCCTTACGGCACTCAGACCTGTGGCGGTATTGCAGAGTCCAGTCAATCCACAAGGAATGGCGCTGACAATCACAATGGCAGCCATGCACTTGCGGGCTCCAAACACATCGCAAAGGGGACCCATAATGACACGTGCCACAATGGTCACGGCCGTTCCGCACAAACTCGACGTCCAGATTTCCGAGTTGGTCAAATCCAGCGATTCCTTGACTTCACCGAGTAGCGGTGTAATGGCAAACCACATGACGAATCCAATAAAGAATCCGAACCAAGATGCATGAAAGGCACGCATGTGGGGACGTTCGATGCTGCAGAGAATGATTTCAGTGGCCTTATCGTGTTGTCTTGGATCTGTTTGAATCTTGTACCGACTTCCGACAACGGAGGACGCCGTGGACAATCCACTGGCTTCACTGCCAGCGATGGACTCTCGTTCGGACATGACGGATCGACTCCAGTCATCTGGCGAGGATGGAAGAAAGAGGGATGAGGAATGATCGTTGTTGCTGCAAGTGACGTTGGAAGATGTAATGGAGTGTGTCAAGGTATTGTTGTTGTTGTTGTTTGGATGACTATTATTGGAAGAGGCGGAAGATCGTATAGAGGATGCGCTGGGAGCCACGGCAACGGCGGTGCCACTTCCGACACCACCACAAGAACCAGATCCATTTGTGTTGGCAGCGCATGATCCCGACGAGGCGGCCATGCACGGAGAAGGCGAAGCTCCATCCGCGGACCGATTGGATCCTCGTAGTGAGATTCGTCGCCTCGGCTTGTTGCTGTGATTGTCGTCTGATGATGCGGCGGGCACTACTAAGTGATGATCCTGATGATGTTGTTGTGGTGGAATGCTGTCGTAGTAATGTTCATGATGATGATGGTGACAATTACAGGGTTGTTGTTCTGGATCTTCAATGAAATGCAGTTGTCGTCCAATGAATTGCATGCGATGCAACTGTCGTACTTGTGCTTCGTTGTTTTTCATTTCTGCTTCGCGGCTCTTCTTTCTCTTTTTCTTATTATAAAAGTGATCCTTTTGACTGGCAAAGAATTCTTGCAGTACATAGAGCGGCAGCATGTATAGATTGATGGATTGTCGGAATTTTTCCTTTTCATTCTCTTTGGCTGCGACTTCAATCTCATCGAGGTGATGTCCAAAGCGCCATAGCAAGTCGCGCCGTTGAATGGGGTCCATGAGCATGCGACTTCTGGAGCGTCGTCGTCTCCGTGACGATCGCTTCTTGGATGACTCGTAGAGCTCGAGTGGGAGCGTTGCCCCCTCGGAGAACTCCCAATCCAGCGTAATGGGAGCTCCCTTGCTACAAAAGGGATGATCCCCAATGGTAATGTTGTATTCTCGTACTTGGACGGATTCAAAGTGTACCACTCGTTTCTTTTTCTTTGGCGGAGCTGCTTCATCGCTCGTGTTGGTTGCCGTGGGGGCATCTGGTCCCATCATGAGCATCAGAGAATCCGTCTTCTTTTCGTCGTTGTTGTCCAACTCATCGTCGCTCTTCTCCACAACCTCAAATTGACGATTCTCGTAGTCCACAGAGTAGTCGTCAAAGTCTTGGTGAATCGTAATAAACGACAGAGGAGGAGCATCGGTTTCCGCTCGAGCATCAGCTCTACCAGCCACGAGCAGCGAGTCTTCATCATTACTGCCCGCTTCTCGGCTACTCGCATCGTCGTCCACGTCACTGATACATTGTTGAGGGACAGTGATCGTTTTGATGACAAACCCATGGCTGGTACCGCTCGGTTCCAATTCGTCTTCTTCCTCTTCCCGTCTAGGAACTCCATTCATGTGAATCTCTTGACCTGGCTGATCCTGAGCTTCCATGGCTGCTGCCTCTCTCACCAGCAACGACGACGACTTCATGGCCGCCAGTGGTACGGGCCCTTCCGAGGCAACCACGGCATCCGATCCATCCATCATCTTCATTGTCAACAACTAGCTAGACTACCGTTGATTCAGTTCTCTTGTTGTCCAGCTAGCTATGCAGTAGAACATGCAGAGGACTGGATCCAAGGCAGCAGCATGGCAGAAAGAGCACTCGTATTAGTACAGTATCTTGTGACCACAGAACTCAAAACACCCGTAGTGCTCTTCCCCACTCGAGAAGGAACAGCACGGGTTTTGGTTCGATCGAGTGTTCCAGCAGCATGATGGGAAAAGTTCCCTCCTTCGCCTCCTTCGGAGGGAACTTTGGGACGGACTTCCAAAATTATTCGCTTCCTTGGCCTCAAAGGGTGTGTCGACCACACGTGGTTCCTAGCCTCATCTGTGTGCACACTTGCTCCACCTCTCGCTTCAGTTGCTGTACCCCATCTCCGCAAAGCTAAAAAAGCTGCACACCTCTGCTTATTTAGTCCAGGTCCTGCACAGTTCTACCGCACAAGGTTCTGGGATGATCGTGGCGCCCTCAACCTTTACCGCGAGCTAGTCAGCCCCTGCCCTCTCCCTCCCCTGGCTCTGTCTTTTCCTTGTCCTCCCCTACCTGCCGCCCCCTTCTGTTGGCCTGCTCATTGGTTTTCATCCCTGCCCGCTGGACCTTTGCTCACGACTGCCGACATGATTCACACATAATATCATACCTGTAGTCCGCCCCCTCTAACCCATCGTAGCCATTCCCGACATGAGATACGAAACCTTACTTGCTGGATCTCTTTTTAAAAAAGCAAGTCTCCAAAAGATGCCTGCAGGTCAGTACTGAGGAAGAAGAATCCAAGATTTTGATTTTTATATAAAATGAGCCTTATCCCTGTGCTCAGCTTGAAAAACAACTGTGGCTGGGAACTGGGAAGCCAGAACCAGGAGGTACGAGACAATAAGGTTGTACGGTAGAAACAAAGGAGACTGGCTGATGGTCAAAGAATCCCCTGGTGACCAAGCAGGGCTCAAGCTGTAGGTTCCTTGCCAGAGAATAGGCCTCCCACCAATGCAACTACTTCATACGGCACTCCTGGTTGGCTGAATGTAGGAAATATTGCTGCTCCCACAAAGATGCTACCTGGTACCGGTACAGTCGAACCAACATTCTGTTTGGACAGACCTCATTGCCTCTCACCTCACAGGATTACTTGAGGGAGTTCGGGTAAACAAAAGATCCAAGCGGAACCCAGGAATTGTCAAGAAAAAGCATCGTCGCCATCCCAATCCCCACAACAGAGACCATGGTATCGTCCTCTGCCACCCCTGCAACAAGCAACGCTACCGCTTCCAAGAAGCGGCCTCGAGACAAGAGCGATGAAAGCAGCATCGGTGCTAGAGAAACTCCCGAGAAGAAAGCCAAGGAAGGGCACAAGAAGGACATCCCAGGAGCATCGCCGGAACCGCGCATTGTCGAGGAAAAGGGCACGTCAAGTAAAACCGTTGGTACCATCAAGACCCCACCGGGGGGGTTGCAACCGTCCAAGTCCAATACTACCAAGGGTAATCAAGCCAATGGGGGTTCAGTGGATCGCATCAATATTCTTGGGTCTCCTCCTTCGCTCATCCTGAGTTCTGAGAAACTGGCCGAGTCGCAATCATCGCAATCATCTACTGAGAATCTCCTACCAGTATGCATTTACAGCAGCAGCAGCCCTTTACCTGCAATCCAAACAGTTGAACAGGAAAGCTCTGTTGAAAACATTTCTGATGAAAAGACTGCCCAGACAACAAATGAGGCAAATGGATCTTCTTCAGTGTTATCGTGGGTTTCTGGGCTGGTGGTCCTCGTGTCTCTAATCCTCTTTTATGCTACTTCCATTACCACGGGCTTTTGGCTTGCCGAAAAACTGGACCGAGAGTTGGATGCCTTGGACTATCAGTCATCGGTAAAGTCACTGGAAACCAAACTCAAGACGCAGCAAATAGAGCATCACAACGACATGGAACAGTGGAAAGCAAAGGTCGGCTTGGTCCAGCAAGAATTGAAGGGATTCCAGCAAGAGTGCAGTAGCTTGTTTGAGCAACTAGAACGACAACATCTATCTGAAGAAGAAGCTGAAAAAGAAGAACCAAACTGACAATTCACAGATACGAGCAATAGTCTTGGTTGAATCCATCCTTTGTTCTCCAAGTTTGTGAGAATGTATTACTATTGTCGAGCTTTGACTGCCAATTCTGTATCCAAGAAACGCCACACAATCAAAAGTGTCATCAAACCCACCTCCTTTCATGGGAAATGAGTTATGTCTGGTGTTGCTGTGAGGGTTGAACCTGTTATGTTTCTGCAGTTGCTTCTTTGTAGTGTTTGTTTGGGAGTCGGCACTTGCTGGGAATGTTTGACGTGGTCTTTGCACTTTGACGGGTACTAGCAGTTGGTCTGGCTGTGATGTAAACCTTAAGTAGAAATTTCTAGATCTAGGATTTACCCTCCATGCAACCTCCATGCAGTCGGACTCATTGGTATCATGAATCTCCTTAAAAAGAGACCAACAACCTTCTTGAATTTACCACCAACGATTTCTTCAGACCGTGACGGACCCTGCCGGTACGGGTATCTTCTTACCGCGTTTCTTGGTTTGAGCCCACGTGCACCCTTTTCTAGATCTAGATTGCTACGGTAGCCTGCCTTGACACTGTAGTCAAAAGGTGGCTACCGGTACCAACGTGAAAGTAGCGAGGTGATAGCCAAGAAAATTTAATGCAGCCACCTATCATGTTGAAGTCGCTCTAGTACATGTAGCAAAGTAGATCGCAAAGAGGCACAGGCATCGCTCTCTTAAGACTTGTCAAATAGATTGTTCAGACGATCCCTATCCTCGTCACTAGCTTCACCATGTCCCGGGTCAAAGCCTCCACTACCGCTGCCTCCCGCGTCGGGTGGTCCTTTTGGTTTCTTTGGACCTCTGCGTCTGTCATCACTCTCATCGTCGTCGTCATCGTCTTCATCATCATCTTCGTCGTTTCCTTCGTCGTCATCATCACCATCTTCGTCATCGCCATCTTCATCCGTGTCGGTGCTATTGTTCTTGTTGGCTTCCTCAATGGCCGTCATATTGAAGTATTCTGCTTTCTGCGTCTCCAAGATTTCCAGTCCCTTCTTGACATAGGCTTCTTCTTTGGCACTTCGAAAGTGTTCTCGAACAAACATGGTTCCAAAGGTAGGGACAAAGACTCCTGCGCACACCTTGACGTACATCATGAGATTCCGTTCCTTTCGATAGCTGGCAAAATGTGAGGGTTGATTGCTAGTCTGCATTCGCTTGGCAATGGCTTCGTCGGCACGTGTTGGCATGGTTCGTCGGGCAAAGTCGTACTCATCATCTTCATCCAAATCAAAGTCATCTTCCTCGTCTTCAGCCAAGTCACCATAGATGGACTTTTTTGGAGTCGAAGGCTTGGGTGCTGACTCTTGTGATTGTTGCTGCTGCAAGGAAGTGGTACCCGCTCCTTCAAATTGTTTGATATCTGCTTTTCCTTCCGAAAGATCTTGTGCTTCAGTTTGTGACATACCGGGTCGTATGCTATAGGTCGGTGTCGCTGGCTTGACGACGGCATCCACTGGACTGACACGGACGGCCCACCAAACCAGGAGGGAACCCACAACGGGAATTGCTCGTTTGCGGACTCGCCTGAGCACCGTGCGAACACGTTGGAAACGCCGCGGATTCTCGTCTCCATTGTCATTCCTCTGTATTTGCTGATAGAGAGCAGATTGTACTTGATTACAGGTTTGCAGTTGCCGAACGAAATGGCACTCCTGGCCATTGATGGGAATTGGTGTAGGTGCATGAGGACGTGGTATCAGGAAAGATTCAACGCTGAGCGGAACTATAAGAACCAGCAATCCCAGAGCTAAAAGAGGCAGTTGGATTTGCCAGGTGATGGCCCGAAGCAATCTCATGGTAGTGGCTAGCTAGGATTGGATGGGAAGCAGCTCTCCTTCAGAGACAATCAACGCCTGATATTTGGTAACAGGGCAACAAGAGAGCTTTCTATTGCTGGATTTGCTTTTCTCGCCGTTGGTTGACAAGTCTTCTTGGCTTCCTTTGCTGTTTGGGTTGTAGTGGATCCGATGAGCTACCGGTATCCGATGTCAACCCGTCAACCCCATCACCATGGTCGTCGTCAGTGATGGATTTCCTTCCGACGACGTCTTAAATCTCTGGGTACCGTCTAATGGCTTCCACGTGTCGTGATTGCTGCGTACAGTACCGTACCAATGCAATGGGATACTGGAGTGGACCACGGGGACAAACATCATCATAGCTTTAGCTATGACTGAGGACTTCTGCTGTTTACCATTAGCTAGAGTAGTACTGGCAGTAGGCTCTAGCTAGGCGGGATGAGAGGAGGCAACTTGCGATACCGGTACCACTTCAGGCACTATTTTTGTGATTTCAGGTTTGGAGGGCAAACAAGCACTTCAAGTTACCAGGTGGCTACGGTAGCTAGCTAGGACGCTGTCTTTTACAATTCAGCTCACCCTCCATGCTTCCTACCTAGCTAGCCAGCTTAGTTTTTACCAAGTAAGTTGGCTTCTAGCAGCCAGATCTGCAAAGCAACTTTGGGTACCAAACTTTGACTGAACACAGCAGTCTAGCTAGCCCTCGCCCTGCTGCTTTGGGACGATGGCCTGCACGGCAGCACCAATGCCAACTTTCTGCCATCACATCCGGCAGTGCAGCTCCAAGTTCTGTCTTTGTCCACACCCGAGACCAAGGGCTGTGGCTGCTGGCTTGCGTACTACAACAGCATTGTTCCAACTGCTAAGATATCGATCTACTTTCCCTCGCGGAAAGGGAACGTTCGGTTAGTTGAAGTGTTTGTTTCTGGAGGATCCTTGTCCTGCGCCCAATGACAGCCGTCTGTCTCACTGTCTGCCTCCAACCCTAACTAACGTGGTAGCTCGTGGTTTAAAGTGTTACAGCCACGTATGGCTCGATACTTCCTGGCCACTCAATTTGACCTGCGTTCAGCCATCAAGCAGCAAAATATCAATCGTGGGGCTCAGAGACACGCAGCAGCGGCAATGCGCAACAAATAGTAAGTGAGCGTCTGGGACCGTGCGGGCGATGTGGTTCTTCAGCCGGTCTGGCTGCCTCCATCCATCCAACCAAATCCCTTCTACGCTGTCCGGGCCAGGCCAGCCAAGCGTTCGTTTTGGGAATGAGGTTCAACGAGACGAGAGGCAACTCATTTCTCTCTACACAGCAAAGCAAAGAGAGGAATTCTTTTTTCACAACAGCAAACCAAACAACGACATATCATTCTTGCAGAGCAGCAAGAATGCTATTTATCTGAGAGACTCATTCTTCTACGTTCACAACAGTAGAATCAATCTCTCTTTCTTTCTTATTATCATTCGGATCAGCGTCTTTGGTAGCAGAAGAAGCGCCAAAAAGTCCCTGATCAACCAAAAGTTTGTGACTGAACACCAAAAACAACGGCGAGTTCAGTCAAATCAAGTCCTTCTTATCTTTCCCCAACAGGAACAATTAAGATAATGGCACAATATAACCCACAAGCTCAACAAGGCGGAGGTGGGCGTGGAGGTGGCGGTCGCGGGTATCAAGGCCGTGGAGGCGGAGGGCCTCAACATCAGGGACGTCCCGTGGGAGCTTGGCAAACATCAGCTCCTACTTCGTCCCTGCAACAAGCTGCTTATGGCAGACAGCAACAGCAGGGTGGCTACCATCATCACAACCAGCATCACCACAATCAACAAAATTATAGCCAACACCACCATCACAACCAACATCTCCCAAATGCGGTACCTCCACATGGAGGGCCACCAGGTCCTTATGCCGGCGTCCACGTTGCTCCCCCTCATCATCAACAGCATCACTATAATCCATACGCCCACCAGGGATCGTATCGTGGAGGACAGCCTCAGCCTGGTGGCTGGCAGCAGGCTGCATACCCACAAGGAGGGGTCTATTATCCTCCTGCTACCGCGCATCCACCAGCAGCTGCTGCCGCGGCTCCGGTCGTGCAACCTCCAAAACCCAGAGAAAAGAAGCCTTTGCTCATCACGGTACGTTGTCATGTTTTCTGGCCAATGCTGAAGGTACTCTTGGCTCCCCCGTGGGAATGCATTCCGATATTCTATAATTTGGTATTTGGTGCATAATGGTGGCTCGTTGACTGTCATTTTCCGATTGATTGCTCATACACGTCTACTTCTTTTTTCATTTTTCTTTGTTGCTTCGTGTAATACAGGATAAGCACGGTAACGTCCCAGACTGGTCCAAAAAGGGCACCAAATCGTCTCTTCGGGCCGCTGTGGCTGCCGAGAGGGGAGAGACGGACGAAAAGCGTTCGGATGCCGGATCCAAGCTCAAAGAGGCAGCGCTAGCGGCACTGAATCAAACAGACGAAGCTGACAAGCCCAAGGAAACCCCGAAAGACGAAACTGGCGACTCGCCAAAGCCCACGGAAGAAACCCCAGAACCCAAAGAGGAACCTCCGAAGGAAGAAAAGGCGGCTCCTGCTCCCACTCCTCCTCCTGCTCCTCCTGCAAAACCCGTCGAAGAGCCCCCGAAGAAGCCAGAAGAAAAGGCGGCCCCTGCACCGGCGCCTGCTCCCGAAAAGGAACCCGAGCCAGCCCCAGAACCACCAAAACCAGTCGAAGAGCCTCCGAAGCCAGCCTCAGAACCTCCGAAAGCGACTCCAGAGCCACCAAAACCAGTCGAAACTCCCGCACCGGAACCACCGGCCAAGGAAGAAAAGAAGGAGGAACCCCCCAAGCCAGCTACAAAAACACTCGCAGAACTTGCTGCTGCGGCACCGCCACCATCCGCAAAGCCGCTTTCGGCAGCCGCGGCAGTCAAGTCGGGCAATGGCTCGTCGTTGGCGGCAGCAGCTACAAAGAAGCCCAACATGGCAGCAGTGGCAGCTGCACCAGCTCCTTCTCCCGCCAAAGTTGGTCTTCGTCCTGGGGGCAAGACTCGTTCGACGCCTGCACCCTCCGGCAAAGGGCGTATTGTGTTCGACAAGAAGTCTCTGATGAAGTAAGTTTTGGCGTCGGATTGCAATTTTGTACCTCTTCTTGACAACGAATTTTAACGAAATTGGTTCTTTTCTCGCATTTTTGTTCACCAGATACAAGAGCTGCGAGTCATGCTTGCAACGGCCCGAAAGTCTCCCTGATATGACGATTGTCAAGGGACCAGCCAAGCCACAAGGTGGCGGTGGCGGCGGCGGTGGAGGCAACAATCGCAACCGCGACGGAGGTGGCGGTCGGCGGGACTGGGACCGCGGACAACAACAACCTCGAAGAAGAGGAAGTCAACAAGGAAACAATAACAACAATGACAACTGGACACGTGGTAATGAGCCTCCCAGGAACAAAAATTCAAGAAATAATAATCGCCGTGGCAGCCAAGGTAATCAACCTCCGCTCTATGATGGACCGGTGGCGCCACTTGTCAAATCTGCAAATGGATGGAAGCCGACAAAGGATAATTCACCTCTCGCGGCAGCGGAGAAACAAGTCAAGAGTATCCTGAACAAGATGACGAAGGAGAAATTTGACCGTCTGAGTACACAAATGATTGAAATTCAGGTTCTCAGTTATGACATGCTCACAATGATGCTTCACAATGTCTACGAAAAGGCCATCGATGAACCTTCCTTTGGTGAGATGTACGCGGAATTATGTGTCAAAATGTCCAAGGGAGCCACTCAAGCCAACAATGACTTCGTCAAGTTGATTGAAAGTGATGAAGAACCGCCGACCGAAGGTGATGCCGCCCCAGCTTCCCAGCAGTCCCAAAGCAGCTCTCACATCGTGTATCGGTGGAGTAATGATGTTAGCACAACTGATGATGAAGTTGTGGGACCTTTCCCGAATGCTGATGCTTGTGTCAATGCCGCACTCGAAGGGTCCGGTGAACCACAAAAACGGGGTGAAATGGTATTGGAGTTGGTGAAATTGATCATCAAGCAGGGCGTCTTTGTCAAAGTCATGAAAAAGAAGGATGCCAGCCCAAGCGATGGTGACATCTTCTACACGGTCTACTTCAATGTCGACGAAGCCGAGGAGTGTGGCCAACAACTGTCGGAGATCTTCCTGAGCGAGGTCGAGTGCATTTCAAATGCCAAGAAGTTTAACAGCTTCAAGCGTTCTCTTCTCAACAAGTGTGAGGATGAGTTCAAGAAGAAGGAGATTTTTGCTGACTGGGAGAAGGAGAAGAAGGAGTATGAGGAGAAAAAGAGCACCTTCACACCTGCCCAGCAAGCGGAGAAGGAGGAGGACTTTGAATTTCGCCGACTCAAAATCAAGAAGCAGAAGCTTGGAAATGCCAAATTCATTGGTCAGCTCTACAAGGCAGGTCTTCTCAAGGAGAAGATTGTGAGGTTTTGTGTCAGTGATCTTCTGAAGCTTGAAGAGTTGACGGAGGTCAGGTCGAAGAACCCCGAGTACAAGGACAGCTGTGACTACCAAATCGACCTAGAGGACCACGAAGCAATTTGCAGTTTGTTCTCGACAGTGGGTAATACTATTGATCACAAAACAGCTGCTGATTTCATGAAGGTTTGCTTTAACAAAATCTACAAGCTCAGTGTGGACCAGAAGAACTTGCCTGCTCGCTCCCGATTCATGTACAAGGACTTGATTGAGTTGCGAGAGAACAGATGGGTTCCTCGCCGCGATGAGGGCAAAGCCAAGAGTCTGGAAGAAATTCGCAAGGACTTTGAGCGAGAAGAAAAGAAGCAGGCACAACAGTCACAGCAGGGCTATCGCAATGATCGAAATGACAACCGACGAGGCAGCCAGCAGACTGGTGGCTATGACAACCGACGCGGGGGCAACTACGGTGGACGTGGAGGAGGCGGTGGTGGTGGTGGCAGGAATCGCCCAAGTGCCAAACCAGCACAAGAAACTGATGATGATGGTTTCACTGTTATTGGTCGTGGAGGCAACAAGGGCCACTTCCAATCTGGTGGAGGTGGTGGCGGCGGCGGTGGTGGTCGTGGGAACTCTCAACCAAAACAACAGTCCATGCCCAAGTCAGGTTCGAAATCAAATTTTTCTTCCCTCAATAATGAAAACAGGAGTAAGTCACCTCAGCAGGGCAGGAGAAGCAAGTCACCTACAGGCGCACCAAGCACACCAGCTCCGGCTGCGCTATCGCCAGAGAAACTGGAGCGTCGCATCAAGAGCATGCGGTCTGAGTTCATGCAAGACGGAAACATTGATGAGCTCCTCCTCTCAATGGACGAGTTGAGTGGAACACCGGATGCAGGCCAAACTCTTGTCTTGAAGAGTGCTGATTCTCTGTTGGAGTGCAAGGAGGCTGAACGCAAGGCAATAACAGACACCATTCGGATACTATACGAGAAGAAGAAGCTGTCGAAGGATGATATTCGGAATGGGTTGGTTGACTGCATTGAGTTTATTGATAGTATGGTCTGTGACTGTCCCAAGGTGTTTGAGTATGTTGCTGACTTGCTGAGTGCCTTATTCAAAGTGAATGCTGTTGATGTGCAGTGGCTATGTGATTCGTTGGAGAAGACTAAGGTTGATCCGGATACGCCAGCACCAGAGAAACTCACCAGAGCAACCATTACCAGTGTTCGAAGTCAAGACGGGCCTGATGCTGCTAAAGATATCTTTGGGAAATCATCAAGCGCCATGAATAGTCTTCTTGGCGCCGACAAGTGGAATGCAATTTCCAAAGACCTGCTAGGATAACCTGAATATTCTACTAGACATAAATTTTGCATTGCTGCAACCTCTCTTTATCTGTTTGTTTTGAGCAAGGTATTTGCGGCTTGTTACCGGTAGAGACATGACACTGTAGCTAGAACGACCTTGCTGGCCACTAGTTGGATTGCTATCTATGCAGCGAGTCGAGTCGAGTGACGAGTCAGTAATAATGCCATGGTGGTTCATCATAAATGGTCTACTTTACATCTATAGTTAGTATCTTGGAGCAATAGAGACAGGACTTTCAGGCCCTGGCAGACAAGAGGACAAATAAACAGGAGTTTAGTTGGAAGAAGGGAGCACTGACAGGAAGAAGGAAAAATGGTGGGTTGATTTGGTGGTGGGGTGGGTAGCTGGGTGATGATCAGAACGAGCTGGAAGATTCCTCGGATTGTCTCCTGAGTGAAGGGAGGTGGAAAGTTCCATCTTCGAGCAGATTATCAGTGGCCTACAGCGGCTTGTTTGCCTTGAGAGCTGGGGTAGATGACTGCTATAGTTCCAGCTGCCACCAACAAGTTTCCGATCCAGCCAATTGTGTTTGGTAAGAGACCCACTTTCAACCCGTAGGCCATGAAGGATGCAACCACGGGCTCCATCAATGTGGCTACTGAGATTGTCAAATTGTCGAAATATTGCATACTGCGAACGTAGCCCATTGCACCCATAAGGTTGCAAACAACCACCATCCAGACTTCCAGGGGCAGACGATCGTATTGCCAATTCATGAAGCCCCATAGTCCATGATGCACATCCCTGTCAACTGTAAAGTACACTCCCGACAGCCACAGGAATGCCAGGACGCAGAATGATCCTGCAAACATGATCATGAACATAAAAAGGAAGACGCTTGACACATGCTGGCGGAGTGACTTGGCAAAGACTAAATAAGCGACTCCTCCAACAGCAGACAGGAGCGCAAGGAGGTCCCCCCATCCTGCCCAGACAACAGGTCCAGTTGTCGAGAAGGCATTGCCGGTGCTAGCAGTGGAATCAGAGGCACAGAAAATGGCGCCCGCAAATGCCACCAAGGCACCACTGCCCTCCATTAGCGAAATTGGTTCCCCCACAAAAGCCTTGCCAATCAAAAGCAACAGGCTTTGACTGTTGGCAAAGATGACAGCATTTCCCACTGATGTGAAGTCAAGAGCCAATACAAAGGCAACACACATGACGGCATAACAGCACGCAGCCAGTACGAATGTGCACCATTGTGTATTGGTCAACTTTGGTAAGCCCTCTTTCACATAAGCATTCGCAGCAAATGGTAGGAGAGCCATGTAGGTTCCAGTCATGCGCCAGTAGATCTTCATGGATGAATCCACGCCATCTTGGAGATCGAGGGAAGGCCCAATGGACGAAAGGCAAACAACAGCACCCAGCAATGTCACGTATGCGTGAAAGGGAACTGTAGCGGTGGCTGTACTGGTGCTGGTGCAAGGCTTCTCCACTAGTGGTGTTGCCTCGCCACTTTCAATGTCAATAAAGTCCTTGACCGCTTTGGGTGACTGGGGCGGAGAATCCATGAGATTGGCTTGGGTGGGACGGCAACAGTCGTGAATCTTTTCGGGGCAGCACGGGAAGGCACCCACTACTTCAGGCAGAATGGTTTGGGCGTCTTCCACTACTTCGTGATGATGAACTCCCGCGACGTCTTCCAGATCACCAGGAAGGATGGAAAGGTTGCGAGTGAGGCCCATTTCGAAAATCACGGATTCACCGTCATCTTTGGCATCGAGTGCTTCCACCCAAGTTTCTCGGACTTCTTGAGCTTCTTCGACAATGGCTTCTTGTGCTGTCTCTACCGTCTCGGCAATGACTTCTTTAAACCCACCAGCGGCTTCTTGGGCCTGTTCCGCAATGTACTCGACTCCTTCCACGATAGCCCCCAGCAATCCCAGGTTGGATTCTTCTTGGTGGTCGTCACCGTGGTTGTGTTCGTGGTCGTCATTGTTGATGGACTGTGAACCCAACAGACCATCATGTTCTGTAGCGTAGTTGCCCGACTCTTCATCCCTGGGCACTGGCAGAGAGGCATGGCTGCCGCTTCCATCGTTGGAATAGTATGTCATGGTGTAGATTTCGAAAACAACTTTTCCCTGTTTTGTGAGGAGAGCAAGACAGTGAGTTATCCCCGCGGATTGTGGTTTTATTCATGGTCACAAAACGAGCTTCGAGCTTACCTTCTCTCTTGATGAGTCGAGAAACCAAAAGATTGCTCCAACAATACGAGCAACTTGGTTAGATACCGGTAGCCTCGGCTTTGTGAGTACTAGCTGGTAGAGACTCTTGGAGGTGATCTTGTCTGTCAAACAAGCTCAACTTCTCTCCAGACACCAAGCAGCATGTGCCACTCAGGTATCTGTTTGGTTCTGATCTGCTTCCGCAAAATTCCTGAGAGCTTCCGCAAAATTCATCACAATGTCATCGTCTAGAACTCGGCATCTCGAGTTCAGAAGGTGCATCAAAGAAGCCTTTCGGAATCGCACTGTCAAGCCAAAAAAAGGTGCCGAGTTCCCTTCACCGGCTTCAGAAATGACAATGACACACATCGAGATTGGTAGTTCCTTTCCAAGAGCGGCCTTTCGTACGTCATGCAACGATACTTACAGGTAGCAGAGGTAATATTGGATTTCAAGTCAAACCACAAGCAAAAAACGTAAGGCAAATTTGGGGATAAGGCTAATATTTACCCTAGTTACCACGCTGGTAACGTGTTCAAAGAGTCACTTCGTGAAGGCATGGATGGTAGAGGAATTTTCCCCCTATCGTGTCTGAGACGACACCGGACGGAATCGAATCGCACAGTGGAATCAACGATTTTTAGAATTGAAGAGCCAACAATAATTGCATTCCTGATCCCCTCCAACGAATCTCTGAGCTCTACTAGTCCTGGTTTCCACACCATGATGCCTTCCTTGACATGCATGGCAGCAGTTCTTGATTCATCACTCAGCATGCATACGTAGTACCCTCTCATACGGTAGCCACACATCATCAGCGTCAACGCCTGATTGCTGGGTTAGCTAGACACATGAGCAAGTTCGTTTTGGCTGGCGACGGGTTCTTGGTGATCGGCTTGGTGACAACAAAAGAAGCAGTAGAAACTAGAGGAGTTCCATTCCCAGTTCTTGATACCGACGAGGATGCTATTTTGTACTTAAGTTATCCCAATAAAGCAGGTCAGTCCATGGATGTAGGATGTGGTTGGTCGTCTTCCTTGCACTGAAAGCAGCATGGGGAAGTGGTGGATTAGGCCCCTTTGTTGAAAGGAAGCATTGGCAGCAAATTGGTCAATGAGGACAGAAGGATTTGGGCATTCATGTTCCATAACTTGGTTGCACGCCATCAATCTGTTGCATGGACGCTTCCAACAAGAAACTCAATCGAGCAATTGCAGGCGAGGCCTAGCTTGCCAGCTACATGCACCTAGCGATGATGGTAACAGCATAAGTGCACAAAGCACCACAATAGTACTCATCATTACAGGTGCTCTGGTAGCCTTCTTATGCTTCTAAAGCACAGAATCCTGGCCGCTTTAACAGTCAGATAGAGTCCTGACTTGACACTATGAAGTGGAATCGTACACATGTGAATTAGGTCCTCACGAATGCAGTTGACGGTGAGTTTCGATTCCACTGGAATACCAACCGTTGGTATAGCGAGAGAACCCATGTTTATGCCTCTGTTTTTGACAGTGTTTCGGTGACGGTGACAGGTAAACCAATCAGGAGGAGTGGGTTGTTGACATTGTCGACATTTCCCTTCCCGATGCAAACGCTGGCAAGAAAAGTCATTTCCTTTCTTCTCAAACATCCAGCAACTATAGCCAGCAACCGTAGCCAGCCATCCACCTAATCCTCGTAAACATCACCAAACAGCTCCAGTCCCTCACCGTGTAGGCAATTGTCTCGGATATCGTTTTCAGAGCCGGCTCCAATGATACGAAAGTATCGATAAAATTGTGTGACAACCGGCGCAAGTTCCCACGTATGCCGATAATCCTGTTCAATCAATCGCAAAAGCGCTTCCGATCGTTGTTGCTGTTCCCGTTCGGAAAGACCGGCTGCCGGTGATGGCAAAGACTTTTCGAGTTTGGTAATGATATCCGAAGATTCGGACAGACACAAGCGCGCGTCCCCACGAGCCGCATGCAGAACATCCCAGACGGTTCCATCCTGGGAGGCTTCAAAATTCCAATCTCCTTGCATCCCGTAGCATTGCGAGACTCGGAGCGAGTAGTGTGTAGGCCGTAGTAATACGCTTTTTAAATCAATGGTGACGGGCAATCGTTCCATCCCGTGATCGCACCACAACAAGTAGCTATACGATTCAATGGACGTTCTAGCATGGACGCCCCGATTGAGAATGGTGACGGGTTGTTGGTATTGCACGAAATTGGCCCGGCAAGAAGCACTCCTGGCCATTTCGAACATGGGTTTCTGCTGATATTTGACAGGATCATCGACCCATCCACCCACATGAACGGCACCCGTCAGGTAGGGGTTTTCGTATTGCGTGGTTATTCCCTTTTGGCACCCCAACCAGTACAAGACACCACGATTGCCATCCAACGGGGAAAAGCTTCGTGTGACCATGAGGGCTTGACTGAGATGGGCCAATCCAAAAAAGTCTGCTTCTTCTCGCAATTGACGAACCAGATGAGGATCCTTGTCGAAACTTGGATAACCCGCACTGGGATTCAGCAGGTGACGGAAAATGTGGGGGAAACTGAGAGGACAGCGTTCCACAAAGTAGACATTTCGGCCTCGTTCGTCCACATAGGACACATCCGAGTCGAAGTTGCCTTGAAAGCGAGTGGCAAAATAGGGACTGTTTTGGACTAGCGTCGATCGATGACAGTAGTACACCTTGCCACAAACGTCCAGACCAAGGATGGGGTCGCCACTATTGCTACTACTAGTGTTGTTACTACTTCTCCTACTAGTCATCTTCTTCTTTGTTGCATTCTAGCTAGTAGTACTGAGTACTCTGGCTGGATAGCTACCAAGTCAATGGCTTTCCCCAAGGAAGTGTGTGAAGCCGGATTGCCGGAACCCACAAACTCAACGCGTGAAGAAGGCTTATCTCCAACCAACATTAGGATTAGGGATTGCATCCAACCACAAGGACAACACCAGACTGCTAGCTAGTACCGTACAGCTAGCGAAGACCCAAACTGTCCTGTCACCTGTATCTCCATGCGGAGACAGGTTCCTAGTGTCATTTTAGTACTGCAGTCTACCGGTATGCATGCGGTTGCCACTTCCGAGCTAGAGTGGGTGGGTGGGTTGACTGAGTTCCGAAAGAACATTGGCTGCGTGCCCCAACTATAAACAAAGCTAAGCATGTGTTGACTAGTTGAGTAGACATTGTTACTAGTAGCAGCGGTACTCTACAGATTAGATGGGATGAACGTGGAAAACCCACTCAATGCCGTTGTCATGAGACAACTCGAAATCTGAGGATGCCAATGCACTTCCTTGAACTGCTCACTCCCGCAGTGGACAAACAAAAGTTGGGGTGGGACATCGACTTCTCCCGCATTGTCATCTTCTTCCACGGACAAATCATATACATAGGTTCCCACGTCATCGCTAGCTGCCAACATGGATTCGTCGCTAGGATGCCACTCGACGGATGTAATGGGTGTTTTGTGCGTGGTAAATCGTGCCAGAGGATCTGGTTTGCTTCCACCCGAAAAATGACGCAAATCCCAAACGGACAAGACACCATCGTCACCACCACACGCCAACAAGTTGGTCACCAATTTGTTCCAGGAAACCACATTGACATCGGATCCATCGGATTGAATCTTGTGACTCAACATGGCGCGATTGGGTGCCCGAGTGTCAAACACACGAACATAACCACCACATTCGGCTGTGCAAAACACTGTGGCTTCCGTGGGACTCCACTGTATATCTTCCACGGAAGGATGTTCGGTACTTTGGCCTGCCGCATACGTCTTGGAATCATAGGCAGGAACCACCTCAAAGCTGCCTTCGGATCGAGGAGTCCAAATGTGAATATTGCCAGCACAATCACCAGTGGCCATGATACCTTGTTTGACGGGGGACCAATCAATGGCGTAGCCCTCAGTGGGATGCTTGGAATGCACAAAGAAGGGCTTTATTTCCGAGGAAGAAGTCGTAGAAGCAGATTGTTTCGGTCCCTTGCTGGAAAACTTGCTGACGATGGGTTCCACATCAAAAAGGCTGACATTTCCAGAATCACTCCACGTGGCCACAATATTTGTTTTTTGGGGCATGGCCCGTATTCGGTTCACACCGCCATGGTGCGGAATAGAAAAACTTTCCAAAACTGGGTCTGACTCGACAGCTTCTTCATCATCCGATTCTTCGTCGTCATCATCATCATTGCCTCCATTGGGGTTGTATTCTTCCCCCAAAATATCATCTTCTGTTTCCATATGAATTCGAGCTAAATCACTCAATCTCATGACTGTGATTTGATTTTCATCCGGATTGGCTGCTTGGGTTCCCACTACCGCAGTCAGTGTGTGTGGAAATCTTGTTCTAGATTCTCCCAAGTCATCCCGCAAAAAATCAAAGCTCAAGCTGGGCCATTCGGGGGTCAGACCATGGTACATCTTGTAGGCGGAAGGGTCCATTTCCAATTCTTGGCCCTCTGCCAAAGCCTCTCCTGTCAGGGGATTCCAGGATTGAACAACTTCATTGTCGTTCATTTCTGCGTCTTCATCATCGTACCCATCATCGTCTTGTAGGACATCATCCTCTTCGACTTCATCGACAAAGGGATCTTCAAAGCGCAAATTATCCTTCGTTTCAACCTCCTCTTTATTGTCGTCCTTGCGAAGGGCTGGAGCCGGACGAGATGGCGCATCTCCAGCAGAAGAAGGTCCCTTGCTCTTGTTTCGTTTGGATTTCTTTCCCATGTTTGTCTTGCTAGCCAGAAAAGTAATTGCACAACGTTGACAAAATCTTATGACCTTTGCCAAAGACAACTAAAGACAACACCCCAGCAGGAACTACTGTGGTCCAAATCTAAGTGCATTTGCTCTTGCACCTTGGCACGTCTTTTGTTTCACTGTTGTTCTGAGAAAGCTGTTCTCATGAGTTGGTTGAATGGTTGGGAAGTGCTTCCCGCGCGAAATGCGCAAAGATAATTTGTACACGACTGGACCACCGGCACAGCCACTAGACCCATGCTAATCTGCCTCCGACTGCACGAGATGGAACGTGTTGATGGGACAAACAGTTTCTATCGCATTGCAGTTGTACACTGTACCGGTGAAGAAGAGGAGTGGCTGAAGTCCAGTTCCATGGCTGTCTTCAACTGGTTGCTGAATGATCAATCGAAGGGAATGCACTACCGGAAAGCTACTGGCGACGGCAGCGCGGCCAAAACTGACGAACAGAGTACTGACATAAAATGTATTACATGTAACGGGCTTGTCGCTCTTCTACTGGGTACCGTACCATGGGCGGCTCGAAACCGGAAGGGAATGAAACGTGTATAATATACAATTCGGAGGCGTTGTGCCACCTCCTGACTCATGAAACTCGAATGGGTGAACCTGTGCCTCAAACATCAACTTCATCGGCAAATTTTTCGACATTTGTGGGGGTGGACTCTGAATGACCTCCCCTCGGGTACAGAAGAGGTGCCTCCTTCAAGAGACTGCTTTCTTTGGTCCCGTACTTGGCCTCGCAGGCCACAATCATTTCTGCCACAACTTCCTCCCCCTTTGCTTCCCACTCCTCGCGGTTCTTCTGAGCATAGTTCAGATACTGCAATAAAAGAAAACCAGAAAGCGTGAGGCCACAGTTTCTGCTGACTTACTATCACATTCTTGTTCGCCGTGCAAACACTCACCTCGTCAGAGGAGACTCCAAAGACACCACAGTCCTTCAGCTTCTGCGTTAGTGGGATGATATAGAAGTCAAAGAATCCAAACTCCCCCTTATACCAGAAGTCCGCGGGGTTCTTCTCCATCCTTCCATTCAAGTAGGCAACGTAAAGTTCCTCAAAGAGATTCTGGTTCCATTTGCGGTATACATGCCAATGCTGCATGGTGTGGCTGTTTAAAAAAAAGTGAAAGGAAGATTGGAACACGGTGAGAGGGCTGCAGTGGCCATAAAGCCAAAAAGAGGCTAGTGCAGCAGTCGTACCTGATGTCGCTAGCCTGGATGATGTGCTCAATCTGTATTTGGATGACAACCATTTGTTTCGATGCAATTTGGTTAGATGCAAGAGTTGGGTAATCTAAACAACCACCAACGAGAAGTACTTACCACAATGGTGGCCTTCCTGTTCACCTCGTCACGAGGATCCTTGTCCACATGATTGATGCAGTCACCCTTCTTGAAGGCCTTGTCCCACCTGCCATTGCGAAGGGCTTTGAGATCCTTGTCCACAATGTCAGTTGCCATGACAGACTGGGATGGAAGAGAGCCAATGAGAGAGTCAGAGCCAGTTTAGTAACCAAGGCAGCTGTATCTTGACCAAACTTACATTGACAACCAGCTTTCGAAACCTGCTGACCTCATTTTCTGTGGGGAGGAGGAGCGACCTCAGCTGCTCATAGTCATCACTCATCAAAAGATGCCAGCTCAGCTCCAGGCTATTCTGCTCTGCCACAGATCTACCTTTGTACATTTTGGCGATTGGGACACCTTCCTTCACAAGCTGAGCATTGGAGACACCAACATGGTCAACATCATGGATCAAGGCAGAGAAGGCACAGGCAAACTGTGTCAAAGGGTCGCTGGTGATACCTTATTAGTTTTTGCAAAAACAGATTCTTTGGTTAGCATATCTGCGAAAAGCTTTGCTTACTTCCCTAGAGCCGTAAAAGTTGTACTCTTACCATATGTGTGGTCATGCAAGGCAGCTGATGTCTGGTTGTTAAGATTGGTGGGTGCAACGATGCGTGACATGAGCTTGATGACACTCATAACAACGTGGGATGCATGATCAACTGAAGGAGGATAGCAAGAATGCATTGTGAGATCCATCGAGGTCAAGATGGGCACATGGGATCCAAAAAGGGGGAAACTCACAGTTGTGGAAGGGGTTGTCATTGTACATGCTGGCAATATAGCTGACAAGGCTGTGTAACTCGGAAACAACTTCATCAGGTATCACAACCAGATCAGGATCCTGTTGCTGCATCACAGCTGTCGCATCATCAAACTCAGGAAGAGCAATGATTTCACAGACTTCTTCTAGGGGGGTTTGGCCAGATGCCATGTCATCAAATGTTGACTTTCGCTTCAACCGAGCTTTGCCAAGGCCAGCCACTGCTCGTTGAGCAACAATTTGCTTCAGAATCTGCAAGAGCATCTCAACATTCCAGTCAATCAATCGGTAGGTCTTGTCACAGAGGCCAAGAATCTTTTTGCCATAGCTTCTTGTTGCGCCCAATTCATCATCATCAAATTCAGCGCTTGCATCAGCAAGGCTGGCAACATCTCTGTCACCCTTCACGTTGATCCAGTATGTGGTCAGTGGGCCTTTTCCCTTTGCCGCAACTTGAGTTTTCCTCTTCTCCAACCAGGCTTCTTTTCCACCTTGCTTCAAGAGATCTGCCGTTTCTTTGGAGCAGTGGATACGCCCAGCCATACCTGAAGACTCGATTCTCCCGCAGACATTCATGGTCTATTCAGTCAAGCAAAGGTTGGTAACAAGTTTGATTAGAAAGCGCAGAGAGGCTTCCAGAAATTGTAACAAATTCGCAAAACTTACATCACCAAAGAGCTGGAACCTTGAACGTTCTCCCCTCAAAATGCCAGCTGTCACGGGCCCACTGTGCATACCAACGCGAAGTCTGTTGAACAGATACAGGATTGTAGCCTTGAGGTGCTGCAATGGTTGCTACATCTACAGATTCAACGAGCAGCATCTGGCAACTTACCTGAGGTCACCAGTGTCTGGTCCAAGGGTGATCTCCAGAGCCTTTGTAAGGGTGCCCATTTTGCTCAAGCAGTCTCTGGCAAACCTTGCCATGAGTATTGCATGTGCCTTTTGTGGGTCAGGCAGACCGCAGACAGCAACGTAACTGAGGTAGGTTCATGGAAAGAGACAAACAAAGATTGAGTCTTGACCAACCACAACTGCACATTCTACACCAGCAGCATTGAGAGCCTACCAATCTCCAACAGTCTCCACTGTAGACAGGAGAAAGAAACGAATATTGAGGGACTGAAGATGGGAAAGGGAAAAGACATAAGCTTTTTCGCTCTGTACCTTTGAAGACACGTCGCCTCCTTGCAGTGTCATCAAACTCTTGGTAGAGGGTCTCCAACAAAGTAAAGACCTGAGAGGGCTCCCTCACACTGGACCAGGCCTAGTAGAAGGAAAGAGCAACGACTGTGAAAACACCGTTGATTCGCGTCAACAGAACCAACAAGAGATTCCCACTTCCTTACCGTGAATCCAGAAATATCAGCAAAAAGAACAGTTGTCTCGAGATAGAGGTCAGCCAGCGGCTTGGAGACTGGACGCAAGCGATCACCCGAGTTGACGTCGCCCTCATCCTTGATGAAATCTCTCAAGTTGCGCTTCTTCTTTTGAGCTGCCTCTGCCTCTTCGGCCAACCTATCCCTCATGTGCTCCGGGAACAAGGACGTGACAATGGCACTGGTCTGAGCAGCCTTCAGAACCAGATTTGTATTCCGTTTCTGCACAAACACATCATACATAAAGAAGAACAGAGCCACCACCACAAAGGTAACAGCCACAACAATGGCAAATTTCTCGGGTGTATTCGAATCATACGCTGTCTTGAACTCTGTGGATGGAAAGATGTGCATCGAGTATTGGCAGTGTCCTTCGGTCGTTGGGAAGTCAGCATGGGTGTGGAGGTTCAACGGGACGATCACCTCATACTGATCAAACTCAGCTTCGTGAAAGTCACCATCGCCCATGAAAATGGCATCCCCTCCTTGGATGTTGTAGGTGTATGACTGATTGCAGTCGTTCCGGAGAACACTGTGGATACCCTTTACGTTGTCCGGGAGAAGGTCAAGAAGAGCTTCATCCCAAGCCGTGGCAAAGCCGACGATGCCAACAATCTCCGAGTCGGTGAACGTCGCATCTCTGTGAATGGGATGGAAGCAAAAGCTGTGAGGGTTCTGTAGGTTGGAATCCTTGAGCTTGGAGTGCAGCGCTGTATGCTCCTCTTCCGTCATGGCCACAGGCACACCGACGTAGGGCCTGACTCGAGTGCACAAGGTTTCATTTTTGAGTTTATGGATCCCGGGCAGTGTCGCATCGTAGTCACCAGTACTTTGCATGTTCCAATTGACCAAGCCATAGGAGGAAGGAGGAGGAGAAAGATGCCAGCTTGGAAGGTAGTAGTCGGAACGGTTGATGTCTGGGACAAACTGGCCAGGCCCAATAGGCTTTGCAATGTAGGGATGGTACGACTTGTTGCCAGTAATGTCGACCAACCTTTCAAAGGAGCCCTTCTGGATCATGTGAGATTCCCAGATCCAGCTTTGGACATGTTCGTTAGCCCAGTTGATGTAGGCGTCACGAAGATCGGGGTACACTTTGGGGAAGAAGGAAGTCATTTCACAGTGGGCTTGGTTCAGATAGTCTCTAGCATACACTTCGAAACCTTCAATGTAGATGTAAGGCCAGGTTTGGTTGGTTCCACGAGCATGCATGGAAATGAAGTCAGTGTATGATTCAATTCCATCACGGAGATCTTGCTGCTGGCCGATGGCAGCATCCCCAAGCGTGCGCGAGAATTGTTCAAACTGGTCGTGGCATGGCAATATCAGGAAAGTCAGTTACGCGTTTCGCCAAAGAAGAGACCAATCGAGCTGTCGATGTATGTGAACTTACCGCCGTCTCAAAGTTGTTGGTTTCTTCGCGCTTGAGGAAACGGTATGTGGTGTAGGTGACAGCAAAGGCAGTCAACAAGAGAGCAAACGTAGCAGCAAGGCGCCACAATTGGACACGGCGAGTGTCCTTTTCAGACATTTTGAGCACTTCCTTGACCTCATCGCGTTCTTCTCGGGACGAGAACATGTCATCGGATGACGAAGCGGACTCGTCATAATCTGCAACATAGGAGGCATGTTGTTCCTTCTTGTCCTTGGCGGTCATGGTAGAGAAATGTAAAGCGAAGCGAAAGTCAGGTGTTTGTTTTTGGGATTGTGTGCTGTGGGGGGAAGCATCTGTGATGGAAAAAGATTGACCTGGCAGCAGCGTGAGGCAGCTTCGTCCCGAGCCGGAGAGGCTGGACGAGGCAACCCAATTGGATCTCGCTACCGATGTACATGTATGTAGTAGAGTAGTACGGTAGATCCACCACCATCCTTAAAAATCTAAAGTTGTCGCTCGAACGGCTGCAGTACCACTCCAGCTGCCACAGCCATGCAAAGAACTCTTTGGAGTCGAGTCGAGTCATTTTATGTGATGAGAAGCACCATACGGGACGGGATCTGTGTGAGTTAGAGAGTACGAGTAGCTACTTTTGGTACGGGTACAACGGGAGCTCTACGAGCATGGCAGCACGCACAAAACTAATTCTATGACCCCAGAAGCCAGTAAGAGTGCATCTTTCATTTAGAGATAGCTCCTGTAAAAGTTCATGCAATTCTGAAGAACAAAAGGTTTTAAATCATTCGGAAACCACCATTTCAGTGGAAGAATGAAGAGCACAGGTCTTAATTTAACTAGTACCGGTGCACGCTTGAAGGAATAACGTGCTTGATTTTGACATAGGCATGAAACTTCTGCTATAAACCCTTATTTAGTTGAGGTAAATCTAGGGTTAAAACTATAATTTACTGGAAATTATTGTAGCAAAAATCGCTTTACCGCACTTCCCTTTACCCCAAAGTAGTCTTCCATTTTATCTGTGTGCAGTCTTTACTATTAATAATAGGCTTTTTAATTGTCGGATCAACACTATGTTAAGTCCTTGAATTCAGGCCTGGGGAAACATCGAAGCCAATAGACTGTTTGTGGCAACCGCTTGATGAGTCACAATGACACGAGCCACACCGTACTTTGTAGCCAGGTCAATGCAGCGGTATTAATAAAATACGTAATCGGACTGGAAAAATACCTGGGATTGCAGCTTGGAAACTAGCCAGTAGCTGCTTGGATACTGTACGGTAGCGGCTTGGATGCTCAATTTCGAGAGTGCCGTTGTACTCGGAGAACTACTAGTAGTACGTACAGTACTCCTAGTAGCTAGCGGTAATAGGTACTCGGAGTATGTTATAGTACGTATGTACGGTACGTACGTACGATAGTAGTAGATGAAGCTGAGAGAGGTTCGCTCACATTTATTTTTTCTGGACAACGAGCGATTAAATCATTCGATTCGATTCTAAACCCATCACACTTCGCATCCCCAAGTCGCAGCTTTTAGTTAATAAGTTAATAAGTTGGAAGCGTGTCTGATGTTCCCAGTAAGAACAATGACTATTAAAGCTTAAAGCTTACTCTAGCTAGTACTGAATGAGTATTGAGTACTGGTATTAGTTTTCTGAACACAGTTGGTGATAAGACACTTATTTTCTTTGATCTGGCTGGATCATTTACTTTACTGATAATTGTATAGTAAAGTCATATTAGTTTTCTGAACACAGTTGGTGATAAGACACTTATTTTCTTTGATCTTGCTGGATCATTTACTTTACTGATAATTGTATAGTAAAGTCATGGTGGAACATAGGAGCACTGTCTGCCCAGCTGAGGAGCTTCCTGCTAGCTAGCTAGAAGCTAGAGTAGAAAGCAACTGCTTACAAGCGCACAGTCATTGATTTATTTGATGTGGTGTAGCGTACTCTAGTACTAGCTAGTACAGGTACATGAGCACATGAGCACCGTCTTCTTGTGCCGGCAGCTTCACACCTACCATACTAGTACCTGGGTAAAGAGATCATGTCAATTCTGGAGACTAATGGTGTGTGCGGTACCAGCAGCAGCAAGATCAAACCAAAGTCCCAAAGTCCGTCCCAGCACCCAGGCAGCACATCACCAAGTTCCGCAGTGTCTGATGTTGCTCGTTCAAAAAGGGCTGGGTGAAGTCAAAAGTCAAGTCAAGTCAAGTTCCACTGTCACTCGGGAAAGTCAACGATCACGACATGTATACTACTTTTGGCTGCTGCAAGACAAGTGAATCAAACTGGTCATGAATCCTCTTGGTTCTCATTTCCCAGTTCCCTGCAGCAGACTTGACGCACTCAAAGAGCTGTAGTCATTGAACACCGGGCCTTTTCAAGCCTTTGGAGGACCGTGAAGTGGTACGGAACCTGAGCTCTTGACAAGGAGGGATTAAATCATTACCTTTCGTGCTTGCTTCCACTATTCTTAGACTGCATTCTACAGGATCACTGTCGGTTGAATCCAAAAAATTAAAAGGCCAATGTTGACTTCTAACTACTACGTGTAGCTAGCTAGCCACTCGAGTAGCCAGATTCATTCAGTTGTAGCTGTGAGACGGCCTCTTTTGTGCCGGCAACGTTGCAGTCCTGGAGTTACCGGTATCAATAGAGAGATCGTGTCAAGTCTGGAAACTAGACCTATGGGGGACAGTCCGAACCAGAGTCCCAGCACTCGACGGAGCCATCGTGTCAATTCTTGATTTACACGGCAGTCCGCTTCATTAATGGTTTAAGCCAGTTCAGCTATCTAGAATTATGGCGTTCTAGCTTGAATATCTCTAGGCTGTTTCAGAACTATGTAGTCTACCTGAAACTAAGAGTTGGACCCTGGAATGACAATGAGGCCACTCTAAAACATGGTTCGAGGCCTGAAGTTTCCACTAAGGATAACAAAGCAGGACAGTGCCTAAGGGAGCCACATTTGACTTGGGTGGCCCATGGCATGAAAATATATGCTGGACTGAGGATGTTGAATCAGCCCAAAATCGGCCCCTTTTCAGAAAGCTAAAGCTAGCAACTAGCAGGTAGATGGCACAACTAAGGCAAGAAGGGTAGGAATAGAAAGAGGACAAATAGGAGATATATGTAGAGTATACCCTTGTTGTCTAGCTATGGATGGTTTCTGATGTATCCACAAGGCAAGTTGCCATGGTGATGGAGGCCATCCTGATAATTTGGGTTAACCGATTGCCGTGGAAACTGCACCACCAGTGTCACTAGGTATTTTGGGACTTACCCAACCATGGTAAACTACTAGCTCTTTTTTCACAAAAATCAACACCACCACCTCTATCACCATGACAACTTGCCATGTCAATATATCAGGAAGCATCCATAGCTAAACAATAAGTGAATACTCTGCATCTATCTACTCTTTCTCCTCTTTCTAGCCGTACCATTGTCTTGGTTGTGGCATCTCTCTGCTAGTTGCTAGCTTAAGCTTTCCGAAAAGGGGCCGTTTTGGGGCCGATTCATCATCCTGACTTGTTGGGCATCAAGACCACGTCTACTGGCCAACATGCATTCTGTAAGCTTTCTCTTATATGTATACTGGAAGGGGATGACTTCAAGAAGCGTCAAATTTGGACTGGTGGTTGTGAAGATGCCCATTTCTTTGGTCAGAGATTTGGTGACCTCAAATGAGACAAGCTCTGAGAATCATACGATTTTAGCAAAAAGTATCCATCCTTTCAAGCACTGTGAACAGGATCCCAATCATCTCCAATTCGGAACATGCAGAAGGCATCTTTATTCGTGTGGCACATTGCACCAAAGCAAATCGGATTCAAGATTACCAGCAGGGTCTGCATTCAATCCATGTATTCAACGACTTTGTTGTCAGCTACCGTAGCTAGCTACTGAGGGGGGGGAAGCATAAATCGGGTCTGTGTCCGATCCCAGAACTGAATACTGTAATGCAACCAATGGGCCAACACCTTGGTTCTGTCAACATGGACAAAACATCAACATATGCATCTTCTTGTTTTGTTGTCTGGGTGGCATTAGCTGGAGGATGTCAGTTTCCTTTCTTGGGGAGTCTGAGTCGCCGTGGGAAGAAGTACCGGAACCTGCACAAACAGGTAGCTGTTCTGAACCCCTTGCTCTGTACGAACCGCAGCGAAAATTTGGTTCCATGAGCCTGCCCGGAGCCCCAACATCTGCATGCTGCTCCGAATATGTTGGTTGCGCAACGGCTGCCAGGCAATATAACCGGTAGTACCAGAAGGATGTCAATGACACGAAAAGAAAAACCTTCACAGCTTTTTTGATGCTCTGCCTGTATCACCAGCAACAATAGACACCGAATCTACACGAAGTTACACCGCAGATTCGATAGAATCATTCAAGTCACTGCAAGTTGATCCAGCTGCACATCATGATGTTTCCTGCCACGACGTTATCTCAATGTATATCAATTTCCCCCCTCCAATATCAGCTACCAGAGGTAGCCCCGTTGCGATCTGACCTCATGAGTTTTCTCCTCGCGGGGTTGAATGCCAGTGACAAAAAAAAAACTCATCACGCTCTCAATGCATTCCTATGGCCAAAGGCTGGGCAGGATGGATCCTAAAATGGTATGATCCTCTGGATACTATTACTAGTAAGGTAGATTCTGAAGATTTCCACACAAGCAAATTTGTAGCCTTCGCCCGCGCTTACGTTTGCTTCTTTGCAATTGCTGACTGCATGGCAAGCTTCATGCGTTCGTTGCTTCAAAGGGGATCTGCCGCCACCACCAACCGCAAAGGGGTACCATCTGGTCTCGGCTTTGTCAGCATCTAACTTTGTCAGCTTCTCTGGTTTTGGCACGTACTCGACTCGTAAAGTTGATTTGTGTTGAGATGTTTGGCCTCAATGACAATGACATCACAAAGGGCTGACGAGACGGGAAGGGCTAGCCTGGTTACCGGCACCATGGACCTACCGGTACCGGTAACAGCTGTGCTCGGTCAAGAGCCTCCTTCGTCAGGTATCGACGCACGCGATCCTTTTGAAAGATCGTGCGAAAGATCTAGCAAAATGGGAACACTTCCAATACTCCTTGGAAATAAGAAAACTAAACTGCGTACGTCAGCAATGGATGAAAGTGAATGCATACGTCGCGTACGTACGCGTAGACTGATCAATGCTCTTTGGAACCCTTTATCATCTCAGCTCTGCATCGGATCACAATTCCAAAGCCATCAAGTTCCCAACTGAAGTAAATAAAACAAAATGAAGTTCGTCCAGTCTGTCATCCTTGCTCTTGCAGCCACCGCTAGCACTTCTGCTGCTTTCGCCCCGGCCTCCAGTAAGTCCGAAAGATTTTCAGGCTGAGGTTGATTTTTGGTATTTCCTCATTGTTGACCACGAATCTAATATTTTCCGAATATTTATTTCTTGCATTTGCAGCCTTCGGTGTTCGCAGTGCCCCTGCTTTCAACTTCGAGCTTGAGGCCAAGAAGTCCATCTCGGACCTCTCTGATGAAGAACTCAAGGGCAAGAAGGTTTTGGTCCGATGTGATGTCAATGTTCCTCTTGATGGAAAGAAGATCACCGATGATACCCGTATCCGTTCTTCCATCCCCACCATTGAGTACTTGAAGAGCAAGGGAGCCATTGTCTCCGTCTGCTCTCACTTGGGACGCCCCAAGGATGGCCCAGAGGACAAATTCTCCCTTGCACCATGCGCCGAACGCATGAGTGAATTGCTCGGACAAACTGTCACCCTTGCCCCCGACTGCATTGGTGATGAAGTGAAGAAAATTGTTGATGAAGCCAAGGAAGGTGATGTCATCATGCTTGAAAACACTCGTTTCTACAAGGAAGAAACCAAGAACGAGCCTGGATTCGTTGAGAAGCTTGCCGCTCCTTTCGACATGTTCGTCAACGATGCTTTCGGTACCGCCCACCGCGCCCACGCCTCTACCGAGGGTGTGACCAAATTCCTTCAACCATCTGTCTCTGGATTCCTTCTTGCCAAGGAATTGGAATACCTTGATGGAGCCGTCACCAACGGAGAGAAGCCAATGGCCGCCATTGTTGGAGGATCCAAGGTTTCCACCAAGATCACCGTCCTTGAGGCCCTTCTTGACAAGTGCGACAAGGTCATCATTGGAGGAGGTATGGTTTTCACCTTCTTGAAGGCCAAGGGACTTGGAGTTGGTACCTCCCTTGTTGAGGACGACTTCGTTGAGACCGCCAAGGAAGTCATGGCCAAGGCCGAGAAACTTGGAAAGGAAATCATCCTTCCCACCGACATCATTGTCGCCGATGCCTTCGACAAGGATGCCAACACACAGGTTGTCGCTGCTGATGCCATCCCCGATGGCTGGATGGGACTTGACAACGGCCCAGAGACCACCAAGGCCCAGAAGGAAGCTCTTTCTACGTGCAAGACCGTCATCATGAACGGACCCATGGGAGTCTTCGAATTCGAAAAGTTCGCCGCCGGAACCTTCGACTTGGTCAACATCTTGGCTGACATCACCAAGGACAACGGAGCCATCACCATCATCGGAGGAGGAGACTCTGTTGCCGCCACCGAACAAAGTGGACGTGCCGGAGACATGTCCCACATCTCCACCGGAGGAGGTGCCTCTTTGGAGCTTTTGGAAGGAAAGGAACTTCCAGGTGTCATCGCCCTGAACGACGCCTAAACACCCTGTCGATAGAAGCACACGAATTAGGAAGCAGACCAAAAAGAGAGCTTGGAGATGTTCCAAGTGGCTTCCGACTCATTCACTCAACCGGGTAGCATTATGTAAATAATAATATTAGATGACCGCAGTATCAAACAGGGGGCGCTTGTTGCACCACCAGCCAATGAAGGGATATAGGAGCGCTTCGTTAGAGCCGGTCGCATGTTGGCGCCATCAGCCCAAGGACAGGAGCGCTTCATAGAAATTTGCGCACAGTCATCTCCAACACAGCAAATGTTCTCACGATGTGGAGCCCATGAAGACACTGCACACGTCTTGCGCTGTCGTAGCGAGGGAGTTATTGATATCTGGGTCAAGAGCAGCTGACTGGGTACCTCAAGAACAAGAACCAGACAGATCCCAACCTATCTATGATCTTAATTGATTGCCTCAACCGTTGGCGTAACTCTGAACCTATTGATCTGGAGTCGAGTCCTACCATCCAACTACTCGAGAGCTTATCTGTCATCAACATCAACTCGGATGGCAAAACCTGATAGAGTGCCTACCACATAAACTATGGCCCTCCACCCAACACAGCTACAATGTTGCCCATTCCATCAGACGATCCATTCGACGATGGATCCGTGGGCTTTTGGTTCAGCTTCATCATCTGGGATATCGCATTTGGAAACATCGCAATGAGATCAAACACATGACTGTGCGTCCCCGTCATCAACGTGCTCTTCTACTACTCGACCAAGAGATTCTCCTGGAATACAACAAAGGCACCGCCCAGCTTCTTCGTCAATACTTTATCTCCCTCCTAGCCAAACCAACCGCCTTCAAGAAGTCGTGGCTCCTGAATATTACAACTAACTGCTCGGCAAAGATTTGTCCGTATACAACCAAACAACAATTCGCTGACTGCGGTACCATGTCTGAATATACCTCTCTGTTCCTCCTTGACAACAACCGACCCCCGTATTGGACTCAACAATGGAGAGATGCTTTTGAGGGAATTCTCTCCATCTCCTTTCCCTTAACGTTTTTAGGTTCTTTGATCATTTATTTGACATTGCAATCCAACATGACCTTGTTCCAATAGCCAAAGAGCTCTTAGCCTAACAAGGGTGTTGTAAAAGTCTCTTCGAGACGACAGGCGAATAAAGGTGAAGCATTACAGTAGCCAACTAAGCTTGCAAATGTGTCGGTTATGTTATTATTATTACCAAAACAGCAAAGGTTCTCGGGGCAACTCGACACTTCCGACCTCGAAGTATGAAATAATGGAAACAATCGAGTCTAGCCGGTTGGGTGGTGAAGGACGATGGCTATCAGTATACCTGTACGTGTGGAACATTTTTTCATCTATGTGCTGGATTGATCTCATCTACCAATGTGCTGTCCTCGCAAGTGAAGAAGACCTGACCGAGACAACTTTCTGTAAAGTTGGGCTCAGGGGGAGGAGCGAGAGGACAACAACCAACTTTGATATTCTGTGCACAGAGCACTTCCCGCTTCAGCCTCCCAAAACGGCCCTGTTGGCAACTCCTTGGCCTCCAACCAGACTGGTTCCATCGTCAACCAGCTATTTCGTTTCTAACTTATTGTTGTTTTTGAAATTCAATGAACGCATCGTAGACACCTTTGTTTCCCTTTTCCACATCCTTTCGAATGCCCTTGCCAATAGAGGCACTAGCCGATGCCTCTGCCTTTTCCTTGGTGGTGGGTAGAATCTTGAGCAAAGTAGCCGGAAACTTTACAGTAATTTTGATTGTTGCGTCGTAGTTGAAAGCCAAATTCCCGTCCTCGTCTTGCACCACAGAAACGTGGCTTGCAGCAAAACCGCTCGGTTTCAATGATGCCTCCTCCTCTTCCTTCTTGCCAGTCAACTTGTTAAAAATCCAAACAAGAGGGCCGCGTGCCGACTGCTCTTCTCCCACCATCATGAACGTGAATTTGGGAATTCCTGTTTCTTCGTCTGTGAATTGTTTTACACCGTTGTAAATCTTGTTGTTGAGGCTAACTCCTGGTAGCTTGGTGACCGTAGTAGTTGCCAAAATACAATCTCCTTCTCCAGGCAACAGATTCTCACCATACTCTTCTTTGCAACATTCTTTCCAGAGACTTTCTAGCTCGGAGTTCAACGGTACTTCGTCGACCTCTCGTGATCCTGCTGCACTGAGCATCAACTTTCTAGTCTCTGGATCCTTTAGAAATCCCGACACTTCTTCCTTGGTCGTCGAATGTGGCAGCGGATCTGACGATAGGTTGAGCTCAACCAGAAAGTTCAGTGTGGCCTTGCCATCCTCCTCGTCTCCGCTCGTGGTACTTCCAAGGCAAGTGCTTGCTGCTCGGTCCGGCAAGTACACACATCTGGACGCAACGTTGGCTCGCGGCAAAAACGCTGCAACATCCCATGCCAACAGCAGAGCGATCCAAAGCAGACAAGAAATTCGATCAGGCTTTTCAAAGCCCATTGTTTGATTTCAGTAGCCAAGAGACTTGATCACAAGCAGAAGTGGGCCCCTTGGACTTTCGTAGGTCATCTTCTCGACAGAGAAACAATCCCTCACATGCGTGTTGCAAGGGTGGGCAGTGTTGTGTGGCCAGGAGGTTCTCTTCCTCGACTGGATCGACAAAGATACTTTGGGCGCAAACGATTCGATTGATTCGATTCGATTCTATCGAATTCTATTCTATTCTATTCGATCCAGCCGAATGACTCGAATGATTGATTCGATTCGATTGATTCATTCGCATGTGCAATCGATCAAGCCACTCACCAACGCAAAGATGAAACAGTTTGCTGGCCCTCCAGCTGAACAAGCATTGGTACCATACTCAACCCAACATTTTGTCCGTCACCAAGCCCCATTCTCGGACCAAATCCAGGGCCGACTTCCCCCCCCGATGAGCTCGTTGCCTCCCCCAATTTGCGTTTTCATGCACAGATAGACGGATGCCCTGCCTCTGGCTGGTTTTTCATCTCTAGCTCAAACTCCTCCCGGGATCATTTTCAGGATCAACCTGGACCGTCTCCAGGGTCAATTCCTGGAATTCCCCAAGGTCCATCTCCAATCCCCACCAACTCCTCAACCCCTCACAAGACCAACAGCTGGATTTACCCCTGGACCCAAACCCGAAATCTACCCCTATTTGTGTTGCAACGTCCATATCCGATGGGATTATCGTCCAGTGGAATCCAATTTTGTGTTCCAAAACGTGGAGTGTGTTCTACTATGTAAAAATGAAATCATGAAATACAAGCAGGCTGCCAGCAGCCTTTCTAGAGAGTTCGAGAGAGAGAAAGTCGATTTCTTCACGTTCCTAGCTCTTTCTTCATTCCGAATATTTTAAAATACATTGATTGTCCAATTGGATTTTTCATTTTTGTTTGCGAAAAGACGTTGCCTTTTGTGCGATCATCATACGTTTCATTTTGCTTCCATTTTATTAGGCCTAAGCAAATCCCTTGTATTCACCAACGCTGTCATCGACCACGGAGTACGAGTCATTTGGATCTCCCAAGGCACCGGATTCAATGACGTTGGTCTGGTACTTGGCCCATTCGGCACCCATGCTCTTTTCCATATTGTTGCGACTATTGAATTCAAAGGATTTGCTCCGTGTGGACTTTAATTCCCCAATAACGGCAGCCCAAAACAGACCCACCACGTCGAGATCGGGGTTGAGTCGGAATCCAGGGACGCAATCACTGCGAAGGACGACACCGGTAAATCCAGCTTGCTTCAAACGTTGCGATTCCGTAGTGAGACGATTTTGTCCGGCTGTGACACGAACAGAGCCCAAAATGGGGATTTTCTTGCCCAATTTCTTGGGGATGGATGGGAGTGGCACGGGCTCGTCACGACTGTCGTCATCTTCGTCATCTTCGTTGTCACTCGCAAGTGGATTCATAGTCAATAACACAGCCACAGGGTCCATGCCTGCAGCAGTAGACAGTTGTTCCACCAAACTTTCCACATCATCTTCTCCCAAATTTTCCGCCAACGCCCCCGCGAGTGTTACTTCTGGAATGGGTTGAATACCGGCGTCGACGCAGGTTTGACAGATCGATGTCCATTCTCCCGATAGGTCTTCCAGCGACGTCAATTCGGTTCCTCCACACACTGGCACAGTTACTCCACTGGCTCCTGCCTCGGCCAGTGCAGCAATATCGTCATTATTAGTATTGCCGCAGAAAATCAAGGGCACGGGACCTGGAAAACCACCCCGCGCAGCCTCTTGCTCTCCCGCAAATGTGGAAATGGCACTGACACCGCCTGTAATCCAAGCCGCATTGGCTTTGGCAGTGCGAATTCTTCCACTCAACGTGTTGATGGCATTGGTCTGCAACAAAATAGCCGTAGGATCGGACGGATCTGGAATGACTAGTTCCGGGCTAATCGTCAATTTCCCAGAGGGCGACGAGACAGCCTCAAAGATGCGACCACGTGCAAGGTTGGCGGCTTCTTGGCTCAGCCCCAGTGCCTGGGTGCTGCAATATAGGAAAAGAAGAGTTCTTGTGGTGATTGTGGCCATTGTTGGTGGGTCGAATGTTTGCGACAGAATAAGTTGTGGGAGAGACAGAGCTTTCTCTTTGGTGGCAGTTTTGTGAATTGTGATGTGATGCAAGCACAATGACGTTTGCCACTGACGCCAAAATGTTACCCCTCTCCCTAATCTCGTTTAGAGGGGTCCGTGGCCCAACCACATGGCCAACAGTACTTCTAGCTAGTATGAGAATGCCACCTTTGGATGATCATTCTTTGCATGACCCATTGGATACCACTGGTCAGTTAAGTCTTTAAAGGCACTACCTGTATCACCTTCAGTGGGCTGCCACAGTAGCCCAAATCACTCCATGATGCTCAGTCTTCTCCTCGGAAAGGTGTTTGGGCTACTCGAGTAGCCTAAATTCGCCCCTTTGTGCTTGGGCTACTCGAGTAGCCTAAATTCGCCTCTTTGTGTTTGGGCTAATCGAGTAGCCCAAATTGGCCGTGTCCATTGGAAGTGTACTTAGACTGTTTTGGCTTGTGACTTGTGGCTTGTAGCTGTATGCCACCATTCAAAAAAGTCACCTATTTGGGCTACTTGTGTAGCCTAACCTCCAAAATCAGTTTGAGCTGCTCAAGTAGTCCATATGTTTGGGCTGCTCAAGTAGCTCAAATTTTGAGATACTCGAGATGTTGAGCTACTTGAGTAGCCCAAATGCACTAGCTACACATTGGGCTACTTGAGTAGTCTAGATTTTCGGCTACTTGAGTAGTCCAGTTCTTCTCTGCAACTTTAGGCTACTCCAGTAGCCCAATGCCACGGCCTTTAAGTAAGAAATTGATGTCCTCTATGTAATGCAGGGCATGCACTTACTTAACTAACAAGTGGTATCCAATGGGTCATCCAAAGAATGATCATCCAAAGGTGGTGCTCTCAATGGTATGGTACAGGTGCCCTACAGTAGTCCTATGTCATACCGGTACCTTCAACGTAGCGGTTTGCATAGCCGTCTCCGTTCTTGCACTCATGCATCGTATGTTAACCCTTCTCTCTTCGGTTGGTCTGCTGGATCTTGGCTTTCTGGCTCCAGCCCCATGCAATGCACTGCTGCCCCACCTTGAGTCCATCCCCTACATAGTCACCTACCTCTATAACCGCATAGTAATTCCGTTTCAGGAGTACCGTACACTAGTGTAAACCCAGGAAGGTGATGGGAATGGGTACACCAGGTATACTAAGTGCCGGCTGCTCTGAGGAACATAGAGAATGAGGGAGAGCAGGTGGAAGACTTGATTACTCAGCAGCAAGAAAGAAGTTCCTTAGTTTCATCTATGTAAAATCATCTGAAATTAGCATTTCCGTCGCAGATTCTCAAACGAGTACCGACTTCTTTCAAAATGTTGGCACAGGTGAAGGTCTCTTCCATGCCTTTGTCCAAATTATATCCAAGCTCTTTTCCTGCTAAACGACCCACCGATTTGCCGTCCAATTGGCTTAGTTCCGATACAGAGAAAATCCATTCGTCTGTACTGGCATCATCTGTCGTTGCGATCAAGTCGACCAGCTGCTGCAGCATCTGTCCATTGGTTGCAGGTTGCCCCAAGGACACGGAATAAAGGGTGGGGTGGTCGTTGAAACCATTCAGTAGCCCGAGGGTAATATCAATCCTCGACCATGGCAAGGCCCAACTCTCCAACGATGTAACTGGAACTGACAAGTCGGAACCAGTTGAGTCTATAAATCATAAAACTCGTTCAAGCAAAAGTGATACAAATGGCCCGTCCAGTCTGTTTGGCAACATACACCAACAGTTTCATGCATTGGTTAAGTAATTCCGCATCTTATGGTGTATAATCGAGGGCTCGATCCAAAGCTATGAATTACAGGGCAAGAGCTCTAGATTCGTAGTAGCAGCGCTAAGGCAGCTTGCTGGCTTATTGCCTGGAAAGATGGATATCCACCCATTTTCGTCCATAGTTGAGAATAATGAAATAGTAAAGTACCTGAGACCCGATAGCATATCAGTAGTCTCGCAGTTGACTAGTTCCTGTGTGGCCCATGCTAGGGTAAACAGTGCTATTCAACCATGCCAACAGATGCTTTACTATTTCATTATTCTCAACTATGAATTACAGGGCAAGAGCTCTTAGATTTGTAGTAGCAGCGCTAAGGCAGCTTGCTGGCTTATTGCCTGGAAAGATGGATATCCACCCATCTTCGTCCATAATTGAGAATAATGAAATAGTAAAGTACCTGGAGCCCAGATAGCATTCCATAGTCTTGCAGTAGAGAACATCCTGTGTAGTCCATGCTAGGGCAAAGAGCCATATTCAACCATTCCAGCTGCAGTGGTTGAATAGCATTGGCAGCCAGCTCTGAGGAGCCGGCCTTGACAGCCCAGTGAAGGGAGAATCTCACCAACCAGGGATCTCCCATCCTGGCGCTGGCCAAGTCCTTGACTGACAGCCATCCTCCTGCTGAGGAAGGCCAGTTGAGGCTCCCTTACTGTCTAACTACCAGCTGAGATCTGAGGAAGAGATCTAGAGAGGTTGTTCCCCAAGGAAAGCCCTCCCTAAATCTCATCGCAAAGTGATTGTTTTTGTGACATATACTAGTTTAAGGGTGGTTTGGAGACTTACACGTAGAACTCAGGTAGATCTCAGTACAAATGATTTGGCTCACAACCCACATTAGTGTCAATGGTGTAAACGGCGCTCACAAGATTTAACACTTAGGAGGAATGAGAACCTGACAATAACAGCAAATCTAGCCAAAATCAGCCTCTTTTATTAAAGTATACACTCGCCTTCTATGTTTGACCTATTAACACCGATACAAACAATAAAGCCTACTATCATTGGAGTTAATTGCAGTGGTGTTGATCCACTTTTATTGGAGTTAACAGAAGTTGTGGAACACTTTACAGCCAGAAGAGGACCTGGTGTACTGTTTTACTATAGGAAAACGGAATGTAAAATTTTCACGGCTCACGACTGCCCTTAAACTATCTGGAAGGTGGCACAAAGAGTGTTTTCGTGGCAATTTGAGGGAGAATTCCTCCTTCGGTACAGGTGGCATGTGCTACTATGTGATTTGGGCGGTCGTTTTCATCATAATTGCCAAGCATGAGGTTGATGTACATTTGTTGGGACAAGAGTTCATGATCATAGGGCTGTCCACAAATGCCATGACAGATCCTCATTTGCTTACTGCATCATTGGCACGACTGCCCTAAAGAAGTTGTTGAATATTCCTTGATCAAATCCTTGCGTCAGGTCAAAGACTTGCTGTATATATCCAAAGAGAGTGTGTGTAAAGGGGCTGGGATAGGCTAGAAGAATGCCAAAGTTGGCTTTCTTCCTTTCTCCTTGACTGTACAGGGATAGATTGGGCTTCCGAACCTTCATAGCTTTGTAGGGGTGTTTCAGCAACAAGACACCAGCATCGAAAAAGAATATCGCATCAATCTTGTTCTTTCAGTACTTTCAAAGTAATGGCAGTCTTCCCTGAGGATACCAAGCACCGTGTGTTGGAGACCGCTGGATTGTTGAGACATTGAGAGTTGGCAACAAGTGGGTGGGTGGTTGTGAAGGATTGAAGACGAACTAGGTCGTTGGTAGAGTTGTGTCGAAAATGATCCAGGCAGGCCTGGTCAATGCAAATGATACCAATGGAATTTTGAGGCACTCCAATGTCCTGCAGGGCATTGACTGTTGGGTAAGGCAACACTGTAGCTACTAGTAATTATTAAGTTAATCTGTTGATTTGGGCGAGCTGAGCAAAAAGAATGATATTTCTGACTGGTCGCTCTGGAATCTGGTTTTTGAGAATGCCGGTTTCCTTAAAATCCTACGTCGGTGCGGTCTTTTTCTTATCCGGGTCCGCTAAATATCTAGACCGGCCAACATTGACAAAGTGTTCCAAGGCCCAAACGTAGCTGGCACTCCCCATTGTCAAATACCAAATCTTGTTCTGAACGTCCAGCCTTGGAGCACCAGGAGGAGTTTGAAGTGCTTTCATCCGATCAGCACACTGTGGTGCCTGGAAACACGTTGCTGTTCTTGTCTCTGCCTGAGAACTGGATTGTTGGGGCTGGAACTCCAGGAGAAGATTAGTAGGCACTTGTTGCAGTTCCTTTCCTACTTCACATTGTCCGCGTTTTGGACAAGATCCATGTGAGCTCTGTGGAAAACCAAGTTGTATTTACCCATAAAGTAGTCCAGTCGTTGGGCACATGTAACTCTTCCAGCCCAAATACATCTTGAACAGAAAGTCAAGTTTGTTGGTGATTGAAGGTAATGCTGTTTCAGCCAAAGCCTTAACACTGATGATTTTGTTGCTACTTCCAACAGTGCCCGTGCCGCTAATATTGGTGTTCACGCTGATGATGTTGTACCGCCATTCCCGTACTGCGTACTGTGAATGCTGGTGTTCACATTGGTCAGCAACAGCAACGACTGCATCGTTTGTGGATGCTGGTCCAACTAGCTGTTGGTATTTCAAAACTTGTCAACCCGGCACAGCTCAGGCAGGTTCAGCACCACAACAGTATGTATTTGCTGAACCTGCCCAAGCTGTGTTGAACCTGCCCGAGCTGTGTCTGGTTGAAATAATTTGAGTGGAGCAGGTTCCATTTTAACAAGGGCGATTTGGAGAATATCCAAGAGCAACTCGAACTCTAAACCATGGGATAAATGTGCTATTTTCTACAAAGATTTAGAGGGCGGCACATCATGACATCATGAAATAGAAACGCTCACATTTTCTAAACTATCGAAATACATTGGCTTTGTATTGACGCCGGCGGATCGATCAATATGTTTGCCTGTTGAATGACGCTGTTTCGTTCGTTCGATTGCTTTAGATGTAATATAAGAAACTAGAAACTGTTTACTATTGTATTCACCGACAATGATGTCTTCTTCTTTACCCTCTGATAGTTGTGCTGTCGCTGCAACCTGACACAGTAGCAGGAAGCGAAGTGGTGATGCTGATGAACCGATCGTGAAGAAGAACCCACCCAAATCAATCCGTATGATAAAGTATTGCACTGAGTGGCCTCTGGAACAGAGTATGTATTGTAGTGGTTGTGCTTTTTATGAAGACTCTTCCGCCACATTCAAGAAGAAGCCTTGCCATGAAAGCCACAAATGGGAGAAATTCCAATGCAAGCTTCCATGGAAATACAAGCCTGATGATGAGTAAGGGCTTCGAAAAGCTATCAGCTGCACCCTTCCTGTTGCCACAGACCTAAGAGATCCTTCTGTTGGTACTAAAACGAATTCTTCATCCAATCTCTTATCCATGGTGAGGAGCCAAGGTGTCAACCACAATAGCAGAAAATCCTCTTTTTTGGTGAGCGACAACACCCTCATTCTGCTGCTTGTACTGCTTCTTTCTCTAGATTTCACTGCTAAAACATTCAATGTTTTTCAGGTAGCATCAACCTAAGTGGGTATAGAAGGGATACCCAGGTCCTCAGCACCTCTGGGGAAACATGATAATACAAATCTGTTGCTGTTGTGGCATAGTTGAGCGATGCTTTATTTGAAGTGTGTTGAATGGTTGCTGTTGTTTCTTTTTCGGCGAGAGAACAGTGACATCATGCGTACCAGGCCTACTCGAGGAGCGCGTAGCAGATTTCTGAGTACCAAAAAAAAAGCTGCTTCTATGGAGATCCGTGGACCATAGACTTGGTGAAGTCGCCAACATGTTAGCCCTCGCCCTAATCACGTTCACAGTATCCTCAACCCTAACCCTGGTACACAATACTATTAAGGTGGTCGCACCCAGGATTTAAGCCAGTGTAAAGCTGTCAATAAAACGCAATCTTTTACACGGTGCTATCGAGTGAAACAACAAACAATGGATCGATCGCACCTGCTGCTAAAGGTGGGCTGGAATGGCTGATTGCTCCAGCAATTCAACCCTCTATACATACAAGAGCTGTTGCTAATAGTAGTGGGAAGGTGTAGTCGATCTTCCCCCCGTGTCTGTACCACCTGTTAACTCGGTTGTCGGTCGCTGAAAGCAGCTATCGATATTTTCGATTCGGCTGCATGTGGCCCTTAGATCTCGATGTGTGCTGGTGATATGGCCCCAGAACCAAGACGTACTCTCTTCCTTACAGTAAGAGGAAGAGATAATGCTTTGGTTCTAGGGCCATACGACCAGTGCACATCGAGATAATAAGGTCTCTAACACACGTGTTGTTGTTAGTTGATCGATTGTTGTGGTCTACCACCCTTTCGTTCGAACGGAATCTCACTTTTCAATCGTTTTGAACCCAAATATTGGCTGAAACGTGTTTTACTACTGTTTTACTATAGATAACTGCAAGCCAGCCTTTCGACCTCCAAGAAATTGTGAGAACTAACACTCAACCAAGTGCAACAGCCACAATTTGGCGAGTCGACACGCTCGGTCGACCTTTACTCGTCGTCATTACTTAACGGAAACTTGCTGGATTTATGGCTCGAACATGAAAAGAGGGAATCTAGCGAGAGTTTCAACCACGATTCCTATCGAGACTGTCTAGAAGATTCCAGATTCCGTAATTTATACGAAACATATCTGCGAAAGAACTGATGCAACTAAGCAGCTTTTAAGCTGGCTTACATCCTGGGTGCCACCACCTTATTTTATAATAGGTTCAAGACAGTCATTTGGGTCAGAGTTATTCCCGTGCGGTTTTCCAACGACATCCGGTCTTGCATTTGGGTGCTTCCGCTTGACAACCAGGCTCACTATCTCACTATCACAGCAACCAAAGGAAAGAGCAGACGTTGAGGGTATTGTTGAAGGAAGTGTCTTGCTTAACACCATCGACGACTAGCTAGCTAGCCAGCCAGCTACCTGGTAGACAGATTGATTACGGGAGACTTGCATTGGATCGACTCGAGCCAAAAAATAGTAGAGAACCGGCAAACCCAGCACAAAACACACTTTTCCAAAGAACACCACAGAGATCTACCTCAAGAAAAATAAATAAATCATCACCATGAGCGGGCAACCCTTCAAAACCAAATTCACCATTGGTCTCTTGACCATCGATCCATGTCCGCAAGAGGAACATGTTCACACGGATGAGGATTATTTGAGCAACGATGTCAACGCGCATCTGTCGGCCGAAGAACTAGCGGCGCGAGACGCCATTAAAGCGCGAAAGGGCAAAAAGAAGCGAAACAAATCGGGTGACAAGGGTGTATCGCGACAAAAGTCGGGTGACAGTGTCGGACTGCCTCCCCCCGAACCCATCAACGATGCCGTGGCCGAACAAGTGCGACTTCGAATGGAAGCCAAGAAAAAAGCCAAAGCCGAAAAGGCCCGAAAAGCGGCCGAAGAAGATGCCGCTATCAAGGCAGAAGCCGAGGCAACAATCGCCGCAGAAATGAAAGAAAAGGAAGAAGAAGAAGCACGCGTATGGGCGGCCAAGCGATTGGCAGAAGAAGAAGCCAAGAAGGCGGAAGAAATTAGACTCCGTCATGTCGAAGAACAACGCAGGGAAGAAGAACGGAAGGCCGAAGAAATTAGGCTCCGGCATGTCGAGGAACAAGCTAAACAAGCCAAAGAACCGTCAGATGATGAAGCGAGCCTCAATGGAATGATTCCCAGCCTTGGCTACGAAGAACCCCTGCCCGAGAAACCCCGAACGAAGCAACGTCGTCGTGTTTCTTTTTTTCCCGCCACTGCTGACAACTCTGGTCTGGACGATGCATTGCGCAACTACAACAACGATGTTCCGTTTGACTGGGAAAACCCAGAATGGACCAAGGAATTTGTCGACCTCCGACATACGACACAACAGAGTCTCATTTACGGATGGGAAAAACCAGACTGGACCGTCAAGAGAGGATTGAGAGCCGCCCAACGGCGTTCTTCGAAGTGTGGATGGGAAAAGCCCGATTGGGCCAAAAAATCCATCTTGCGAAAGACCGATCGACTCGACGATCTCATGAGCGATACCAGTGGCCGCACGAGCTTGGGCGGTAGTATGGATGGCAGTCTCATGCGAAGACATTCCTTTTGTTTCAGAGGTGAATGGGACAGACCCTCTTGGGCCAAACGTAACGTGCTCAAGAAAACCGAGGCCGGTAGCCTCATTCGTAAGGGAGCCAATCTGGCCATTCCCATTACGGAGATCAAGGCGAGGATGGATCCAGACTCCACCCTTCACGATAGTGTGGACTCTTTGAACCAGTCGCTGAACATGTCCATGAACCTCAGCCAAAAGAATATTGACTGGGAAAAGCCAGCATGGGCCAAAGGAGCTAAATTGAGAAAAACCGAGGCCGGGCAAGCCGCCAGACAAGGCGTCAATCTGAATAAATCCGGAAAAGGCCCTGAAGCCGCAGGCGGCGAAGCCAGCGCGGCATCACTGAACGCGTCCGTGACCCTCACTCAAAAAAATATTGGGTGGGAAAAGCCCTCTTGGGCTTCCAATCCAAACCTCAAACGAACTTCCACAGGAGAGAAAATGAAGACCACAGGCACACTTGCGAAACCAATCATCTTCAGAGGCAACGAAAAATAGGTCGCATTTTGTTGTGTATGTACGAAAATGAGAAAATCCACGCAACTTTGTGCTTTGCGAGTATCTGAATGGCAGGCTACATTGGCAGGGCTGATGTTGTTTATTTATTTTATGCCAAAAGAGTAGAGTCCTGATTGATTCGTAGATATGTGAACATTGTTATTTTTCCCGTTACTCCAGGAATCACCACCGTCCCGAAGTCTGCGCCGTCCCTTTGCGTGGCCTATCGCTGGGATTGTGCTCTTGACGGACCTATTCAATTGCCCATTGTGTTGGCGTTGGATTTCCACGGTTCTCAAGGCCTGTTAGAGAAAGCTGTGGTCGCCCCCCAAGCTGCTCGAGAATGTCATTGCCAGTACCAAGCGAGAAACGTGCGGACTGTAGAACAGGTAAAAGGTTGATCCTAAGTTACAAGATGCAAATTATTTATTTCTATTTCTACATGTTTGTTTCGTCGCAAGCGCACACTCTTCTATGGCTGACAGACGCCTGAACCACGCGTCTTGGGTGCTGTGGTCAACGGTGGTTCTCTTCGGTTCAAGCTAGTAAGCAATAGGCAACAAGCCCACTCCCCCAAATCCAATCCGCCTTCGCGATCTCCTCTCATTGACTGCCGCTTCCAGTTCCTGCTGCTGGCTTTGATGCTTGACAAAAGCTTCACGGACTGATGTCACTCCTTTTTGCCCGGCCTTGGCAATGGTTTTGGTAATCCCTGCACTGCCCTGGGCTTCGACACGTGCCTTGGAAGATGGCAAAATCTTCAAAAGCCTAGAAGGAAACTCGATTTGCATTTGCATACTCGAGTGCAATCGAAATACCCAACGCCCTGTAGTGGATTGTTTTTCAACCGAATAGAAACTCTTGATGGGACCCCATGGATCCAGAACGGCTTCCATGTCATTCTCGTTGTTGTTATTGCTTTCCTTCTTCTTTGTTGTCTTCTTGCCCATGAGCTGGTTGAAGACCCACACAATCGGAGGCAAGCCTTTGGCCGTCTGCTTTTGACCAATGACTAGGAAACAACATCCAGGGACCCCTTTGGTTTGCATGGTCTTGAAGCCAGCGTAGACTGTGGTGCACACTGTGAGACCGGGAAAAGAGGAGAACTCTTGACACTCGAACACACAATCCCCTCTCTGCGGCAAGAAGGCGGAGCCATACCAGCGATTACAACATTGCTTCCATCTTGACTCCCACTCTGGTGTTAATTCGAGCTCTTCCGCGCTGCTAGGATCTCCCCCACTGGCAAATGCAAGCCGTGAATCAGCGTCGTGAAAGAAGTTCGTCAGGTCGGCGGGGGTTGTGTTTTCGGGCAATGGACTGGATTCTGCCGACACGTCGCCCTGGAAGAGGAGGGATGTCTTCTTCCTGGACGATGATGATGGCTTGGCGCGTTCTGCCATGGCCATTGCAGCGGAACACTGTTCATTCAGACAATATGGTATGGTTCCAAGCAACAATCAAGGTGGAGAGAATGTGAGAAAATATTGGAACAAAAGAACTTCGTGTTCCGTACTACTCACCGGAACTAGTGGCTGAGAGAGGAGATAACCCAACAGGAGGCCAGTGGCCAAGCTCTTCATTTCTCTAACTCCAAGCATAGCTTTTTCTTATCAGTCGCCCCAACACTACCAACGACACCAATGGCTTTCAAGACCAAGACAGCGGAATAGAATTGCTTTGTTATGCATCTTCTAGCCAGCTAGAGTCTATACTGGCCGGCAATAGGTATCGAAACAGTCTGTAGGCCAGAAGGCCGATGCAGAGTGCTGCGTCAATGACACTGCAGAATTTGAGAGACACTTCAAGCTCGGATCTTTCTCGCGCATCTGACCGTTATGGTACCGGTATCCCTAACCCTGCAGAAATTCTTTTGGCCAAGCAAATAATGCAAAGCTCTTTTCCGCCACCACCAAGCATGCTCTTGACTACTAGTATCTCAGCCTTGTCACAATTAATACCAGATGGGATGAAACCCTTCATTATAGTATACCATTACAGGGGCTCTGAAAGATCACCTTTTGTAATGATCTCCTACACTTGTTTGCCAGCCAAAAGCAAATAGGAATTCCCTGTTTGGAGTGCTCTGCATCAGTTGCTGCTCTCGAGCTAGTTTGTCATAATAATATAACATGACTATCCTTTTTTCTTTTGCTTGGGCGCAATGGTCACGGTTCCATGAGTCTTTTCCTTGTTGACGGTCGGTGGACTCACAGGATCACCAACAGATTCTAGTTCTTGTAAAATCCGGTCAATGACGGCTGCTGCTCCCAGTGGCTCTTGATTATTTCGAATCATTCGGCTAGCACAAGTGCAGGATAATTTGCATCTTTGTCCCTTTTCCAAAGCTTCCTGAACGCGACCCAGTTTCCGTTGCAAATCATGGTCCGCCGTTTTGGCCCGGAATCGGAATTCCTTGACAATGCTACTATCGGCATTGGCCTTGACTTTGGCCGCCTTTTCCTTGTTGGCTCGATACATTTTGGCTTCGTACTGTACCGCTCGTACCACTGGCAAATCGAGACCGTTCAAATTGATTTCTACCAAATCCAGACCGTGATCCACGGATATAGTAATGGCACCCGACAAGGTTGTTTCTTGCGACGTTGGGGGGGTATCACCGCCCATCTCCACCACCAACCGCAGTTTGACCGATTTGGGATCCGATGCTCTGGATTTCTTCATAATCGCCTTGACCAAACGTTCGTTCATGAGAGGAAGGTTTTCTTGACTTTCCTTGGTTTTCGGTCGAGCCTTTTTTCGCTTAATGGTCATGCCTCTTGTCGTCATTGTCGTTATAGCAGTGGCTTCATGATAATTGCTGACGGTGGATTCCCAAACCGAAAACAAAGCACTATTGGTGTGCAGACTCCGACGTGATATGGAAAGGAGATTATTGCTTTGAATCAGATAGCTGGTTGCGGTTGGAAGCTGCATATTATCATGCTGTAATAACGTCGGAATACATCTCTGATGGGAAGAGGCTTGATGGTTTGCTCTTCTTGAGAGAGTCGTTGCGATTCTGCTTGCTCGTGTCATTCTCATACCCGTTTTTGTCTTCCAGCAATCTCAGATATAATGGTCTAGGTAGACCTATGGTTCGCTTATAATAGGCGCGTTGCTTGTGACTTCACGATGTTGTTGTCGGAGTAGGAACATCCAAAGATTCGTCAAGAGAGAGTTGGGAGTTGAGTTGGATGGTTGGCAGCATTCTTCCATGGTGGTTGGGGGTACGTGTCGTTTTTAGCCAGCGTGAGCTGTATAAATCCTAACCGTACAGGTAGACATTTAATAAAAGAAGAGACCTAAAGACTTCTGAACTTGGACTGGTCTACTGTCTCGTAGGTATCCACTTGCTATTGCTGTTCCAACCCACAGCAGACTACTATTTCAACACTTTCGTCTAGCATGGGGCAGAAGATGAAGAGCTTTCCTCGTTACTCTAGTACAACAAAGAGCTACGTGTAGTAGCCACAAAACTGAACGTATATATTGACACCCACAAGCCAAGGCCCGCGTGTTTTCCCACAATCGAGTGGCAGTCTGCTAACCGGCCACACTAGCTAGCCTCCTGAGAGGTTCGACGCCTACGGTAGTAGCTATGTAAAGGTTTGTACACTGAGATTTGAGCAATTAATGAGTAGCTATTAGTACTTCTGTCTTTGGATCTGGTACGCTTCCCCAACACGGAAAAGCTCAGGTCCACCAATAACATACCGGTACATCATGCTGCAGAACACTGGTTGCAGGCCTCCAGCTACCTTAGCGTCTTGGGGCAACTCTGAAGTCTGACTGTAGTGATGGTGTCGGGGGCTTCAAAAACGAACTGCCTGCCTCAAAGAGTTTTCTCTACCGGTATCCTCGAAATTCCTTCGTTGACCTGTCTATCATAGTCGGCGCGTCGGTACTATGCCGCCAACTATTCTGTATCAGAATTGCCAAAAGAAAATCGTACAGAATTCAAAGTGCCGATCTGTTATGCTATAAAAAGTACAAGGTTATCTTAGCCTGTGTCGCAGCCACTTTTTTATTCTTAGGTGCAGTTTTCCCGTTCTGTTGGCTGGGTGCTTGTTCGTTGGGATCCTCACACAAGACTTATGTAGGTAGTAAAAGCAAATGCATGCATAGCCCATTTATGTATCACTTAGTACTTGACGAACGCTTTCAAAGGACCATCGGCGGGGATGAAATGCAAGACATCATTGGCCAAGAGGATAAAAGGAAGAGCGACAAATAAACCCCATGCCCACCAGTTCAATTCAAGTTTGGCGTTTGCCAGATAAGATTCATTCACTTCAACTTCCATCATTTCTCCAGTGTTGCGGTTTTTGACCATCATGGTCTCTTTCTGAGGAGTGGATGCAAGTTCTTCTATCGAGGTAGCTTCCATAGCGGTTGTTTCTTGCAGGGCATCGGCTGATTCACCGGGAGCAACCTCTGAGAGTCCTTTGCTCTTTTCCGCACTGGCTTTGCCATCTTCTGCCGAAAACATGAAAAGGGGCTTGCTGTGGGCGACCGACTTCAATGGAGCGGGGGTTGTGAAGGCCGTGGCAACGGTCAAGATGGCGAGGAGGGCAAAGCAAAGGCGTGTCATGGTGGAGGATATCAACTAGATATTTGATTTAGTTCAGAAATAAAGAAGTGGCTAAGAGGATAATATACCTTCATAGGTCAAAACTGATTCGTGCCAATTTTGACCTCGAGTCAAAATGACCCTCTTTGACTGGGCCATAAAAGCGGGCGCACCACTCGCGCGATCCTCTTTGTAATTACGATAAAGAGTCCAAGTCAAAATAACACGGACTTAAGGGGTAGCTATCTGAGATATAGGTACCGGTATTGAAAGCAGCGGGCTAGCTTCATCGGTTGGCGCCCTCTTTAGGCCTATCTCCAACTCTATTGCTTCGTACCCTAGCTAGCGTGGAAACCAATGCCACAACGAAACAACAACGAAACAACAAACAAACAACAAACAAACCAATATCAAGATGACCTCTACAATCAGCGCTATTGCCAATGGCTTACCCTCTCCAGCCAGGCCAGCCCAAATCAGGGTGGTGGAGCATAGGATTGGAGAAGATGGCATGAGAGAGGCTGTTGTAACAGTGCAGGAGGACGATTCTCAACTGAACAGCAATTTGCAACATGTCCTTTTGGAAATGGCAGAGGGTGACAGACCCACTCAGACTGGAAAAGCTTTGGATCCAAAAGTCTATGAATACTACCAATACTGTGATCATTGCTATCCTGATGATCCAAAGAGGAGAGTGGTGAACTTTGAACATGTCTACAGATTCATGTTCTATGAAACATTCAGAGAGCCAAAGAAACATCCAACCAAGGCTGAACGTGCCAAGCCTGTTGAACAGAGGAAGCACTTCAATAAGGAAGAGTTTGATGCACTCATGGTAGACTACAAGGACTCTGCTTCCGCCAGGCTGAATCGTCCCAATCCTAAGGAACCAATGAGTCCTCCATCATGGGAGCAATACAAGCAGATCATCAGGAAGATCTGGAAAGTCCAACTGGCCAAGGGACTAACAGATGTGCAGAGCTTTGATGGTATCTGGAGACTCCCACTGGACGATCTGTTCAAATTCGTGAAGCATAGGAAGCCAATGCAGGACAAGAAAAACTACAAAGAGAAGGTTGATGGAGAATTCTCCCCCTACATGATTGTTGAGCACTACACCTCTATTGAAGCTATTCTATGGAAGCACAGTCACGAAGCTGTTGGCTACAGGTCTATTGCTTGCCAGCTTCGCCACAGGTACTGCTTTCTACATTTGACTTGTGGCATCCTCAGGTGTGAGAGTCTACACCGTGCTGAGTTCAGCGACTTCCTTGGATTGACTGTCCCCAAGGACGAAGACAGAGATGTGCACAACACCTACATCATGGTTAATCAGATAGCAATGGGCAAGACAGCCACCTATGGCAGGAAACAATATGGAAGAGCCACTCGCCACAAGGATGTCAACGTGTGTCCCATTGGTGCTTTTGCTTTCATGGTGCAGTACCGACTTCACTGCACTGACGAATTTGCTGATTTCGCTGTGGAGCAGTGGATTGACAACAAGAACTGGTTTGACATCAAGGTCCTTGCGGATGTCTCACCTGGAGCCAATCGGTGCAAGGAAATGGAAAAGGATACTTATGGCAACCACATCCGTGAAATCCTGACAGAACTTGATCTTAACTGCAATAAGATACTCCATCTTGGCAGGAAGCTTGGAGCTCTAACTCTTGAGTTGCTTATGGAGGAGCGCAGCCAGATTCAACAGTTAGGTGGCTGGTCTGAGGGCTGTTATGACAAACACTACAGTGGGAAGATGCCTCTAACTCCCGTCAGGCGGATGGCTGGTTATGGTGGGAAACAAGGGTGCCTCTTTTGTCCCCGATCTATTGTCATGCCTCCCAAAGAACTGCTTGTTCTTACACCGATTGGAAAGTGGGTGTACAAGGCTTGGGATGCTGTCACGGCAAGCGAAGCAGCACAAGCTGGAAAGTGTCCTACAGCCATTGCGTTCCTGAAGTTCTTCATTGATCTAAACATGATCTTTCTGCAGGATGCTGCTGCCATGCAAGTACTCTCTCCAGAGCGAGAGGAGCACCCACTGTTTACTGAACTCAACGACGTGTTCAAGACAGATCTCTTTGCAGTAAGCCTTCAATATACCTGCATTATCTTTGACACACGCCGCTCACTACTGCTTCTCCACTCTACAGACATTCAAAGAGAACATGAAGCTAGCTTTGGAGTCCGCAAAGAATCCAAAGGAAGCCACTGTTGAAAAGATTGTACCCACTTTGACAGCGTGGCAAACAGCCAACAACCAGGCTCTATGTCTTTTGGATTCAAAGGTAGACAACGTGAGCAAGGTGGTGGCCAATGCCTGCTCACAGCTGGTCGAGTACACCCAGAGAACAGAACAGAGACAAGTGCAACAGCAGCGGCAACTAGGGGCATTACTCGTGAAGCTTGGCAGTTCGCTAAGTGCCGTGACTACAGAAGAAGGCATTGAAGAAGAAGGTGAATTGCTAACTACAGACGAACTGGACCATATCCGGGACAGTACAGAGTATGAGCCAGTGGTGGAGTTCACGGATCTTATGCAGGATCCGGCTGGTGCACCTTTGGACACTGGTGAAACTCGTGACATGGATCTTCAACTTGGTGCAACAGGACTTATGGATCTTACACGTACTGTATCTCCTACTGCGCAACAACAGCAAGCACCAGTCGCCAAACCAAACAACCAATTCAAGTTGAAGGTGTGTATCAAGGACTTGGTAGAGCTGATGGATGAGTGGACTGGTCGACTGGAAGGCAACTCTCCAGATCCCCTTGGTGGCATGGAAGGAAGGAACGAGAAGTTTGGATCAAAATGGAGGAAGCACATTCCAGCCAAGCAATACTCCAGGAGAAATCAGGCCGTGGCTGGAATTCGTGCCTATGCCGAACGCGAGAATCTGGACGAGTTGGATGCATGTACCATCCTCAACTACAACTACAAAGGAGAGTGCAAGCACTCCATTGCAAACTTTGTGGACTACTTGAAGAAAGAGGGGCTGCTACAAAAGAAAGCCTCTCGTGGTCGTACCAAAAAATGAACTATGTTACGCTCTATTTGGTGGGCTTCCAAGCTCCTTGGTCTTTGACCTGTTCGGCTAGCATGGGCTGTGTCGCACAGATACAAGCCGCCATCATTCTAAATTCATTTAAACTACTAGTAGTATGAGCCTTCTTGGTTGTCTTCTCTGTTGTCTTCTCCATTGTCGACTGTAGTTGTGTTGTGTTGTGTTGTGTTGTGTTCGTGTTGTTGCCTGTCGCCGTAAGATAGGTGCGCAACTTTGCCTGTTGCGGTAAGATAGGTGCGCAAGCTTGAAGTTCGAAAAGTGAGAAGTTGGTTCTGACGTCAGTCGTGTTCCGGTTCTCATTGAGTACCGGTCGCCAAAAGAGGTGCGAAACTTCCCAAAAAGAGGTGCGCACTTTGGGAACGTCACCAGGTGACTCCAGTTTGAATCCTGCTCAGCAGTTTCTCGATTGGCCTATCGAGATTCTAAAGGTACTGTTTTAGACACAGTGAAAGTAGAATCTGACCAAGTCAAACGAGATACTCTGAGTCAAAATCCAACTTTGACTCACTCGGCGGATGCACTGCATTTTTCCTTGACTGAACGAACTGTCGAAGGACAGACAGTTATTTTACCAACTAAATAAAGATTGCTTCAAACAGCAGCAGTAAAAGCAAGGCCCTCGGGCGACGAGAATCTTGATGTCTCCATGTCATCCAAGGATCCAAGTGGTGCGTCTCGTTGGGGTGATGGCGTCAACAAAGTTCAACTTTAGTCAGACGAGTCGAGTCGAACCTAAAATAAGGTTAGGGACAAGGAAGAAAGTGTCAGTTACCGGTTCGACTGCGGGTCTAAAGGGTTTCAGTCATGCTTGCCACGGGACCTCAAACCCTTTCTTTCCGTTTTCTTCCTCAACCTCATCGCCACTTTTTCCCCTTGAACGCTCTAAACTAAGTCCCCACGACAACACATGTCTCTTGTATCTTTGACAGCCACAGTCAACCAATCCATCAAGACAATGCCAACCGCTGTTTCCACCAGAGGCAGTTCGTTTGGAACAGAAGAAACGCTGGAAGAACGATGGAGTGTCCAGAATCTAGAGTACGTTCGGGACCTCTGGAAATTGGATGACGAACAGTATCGAGAGTTGGTGGCCATGAAGACGAAACTAGCCGACGTTCATCACTGGAAGAACAACCCTTACGAAGTCATTCGTTTCGTAACGGGCCCGCAGGGATTCCACAAGGCAGAAGAACTCTTTCGAGACATGGTAAAATGGCGCATTGAAAACAATATGGAAACCATTCTGGACACGTACAAACCACCCAAGGCACTGTTACGATACTATCCGTCCGCGATTCTCAAAGGCTACGACAAAGAAGGGGACCCAATCTACTTGGAACGAGGAGGAGCCATGGATGGTCCAGGGCTGTTGAGTCGATTTGGACGGGAACGTTTGCTACAATTCGTTATCTGGGGCCGAGAACTGTCGTTCCGGGGACGGTGGATTGAAGAATACGAGCTCAAACAGGGAAGACCTCCGACTCGCCTGACAATCATCTATGACCTCTCGGGGTTGAACTCGAGCCATCTCAAGGCAGGCGTCTTGCCCCTGATGAACGAAGCCATGAAAATCACACAACTGCGATACAATGGAATAGCCAAGGTGAGTACTACCCTCCTGCATCCTGACGTGATGAGCAGACGCTTCTGCCTGCTGGTGGCATTTATCAACTCACGAGCACTTCTACTGAAATCAACTGCAGCGAATGATTGTCATTCGAGCACCTTCTATCTTCAGTCTGGTCTGGGGTGTCGTCAAGTATGCCTTTCCAAAGGCTGCCATGAAAAAGTTTGTGTTTTCAGGACCCAAGAACCATCTTGAGGTATTGGACAAGTACGTAGATCGGGACGTTCTTCCACCGTGCATCGTTCCGGGGGGCAAAGGAACTGTGGCGGTCGAAATGTCACCGTACCTTGATGGCGGCATCATTCCTGAAAACATCACCGGCCAGGAAGATGATGACGAGAAGGAACTCTTGGTAGATGCCGGATACGAGTCTACAGCGTCCACCGAAGTTAGCTCAGATTGCTCGGATGCCCCGCTAGCCTCGAATCACATCCCACTATCAACGACCTCTCTAAAGATTCGATGCAAGCGAATAACTGGAGGTTGGTGGAATGGGAACACCCCATCCAAAAGCATTCGAGTCTTTAACTAGCTAGGTGCAGGTGGTCACCGCGAATCAAACTCGCTTGCTTTGCAGCTAGAGCTGCCATACCTCACAAAAAGCTGTACAGAGATGGATTGACAATGGACCTCTAATGTCAACGAAATTTACCCACGTAGATAACTGGCTTGCCTTCCAACTTGGCGAGGCGCCGAACTGTCTCATAGTTTCATCACATTAGCCTTGACTTTCTTCGGTAGCAATATGCAGTATAGCTTGTACCTTTGAAAGAGGCACCGTTGAGATTACTGAGTGATAAGGTGCCATCGTGAAGTAACTGCATCTTGCACATAGACGCCAGGCAGACCAGGCCACTGGTACGGCATCTTTCAAGCTAGAGCCGTGTGGTTAGCTGCGGTTCCATGCTGTTGGTGCACCACAGTCCAAGATGCAGTGCAGGTGATTTATTTGGATGGCGGCGTTGTTTGTCTCCACGTTGAAGTTGCTCATGAAGGTGAAGACAGTGATGCGGTACTGTACGGTACTGACGAATGGAACGTCCGCGGTGAGCTTTCCAGCAATGCATCAAAAAGGCTGTTCAAACATCCATGGACCGCTGGACCTGTACAGTATCGAGCAATGAAGTCATGTCTATTTTTAGAGAGTTGCTTGGTTTATGTGTATGTAGAATATCAAGTACTTTAATGAGATACCGAGTGATGGCTGAGGCTGTGGCTGGCAGTTTTGCTTTATGCGCACGCGGCTGCAGTTGGAGGCACTGACTCCATCGTGTTTAATATGAACCCCTCAATATCCTTTCTGACAAACGCCCCCTCTGTAAGCTGTTGAGCCAGAGCATGGCGCCACTTGCCTCGAACTTCATCCAAAGCTAGCTTGGCTTGATCAAAGTCCATCATGTCACTGAGAATCACAGCCTTGTTGTTCAGAGCCGCGACACGCAGCAAGTCAGTGTCTTGGGATCCAATCGGAAGGAGTGCGATTGCGGAGAGACAGGAGTCAAAGAATCGGATGGCTTTCCTTTGGCTTTTGATGCATTTGAGAACCTTGCCCTTCATCTGGTGAGCCATGCCAATGTTGAACAATGCCACTGCACGGTAATACGCAATCTCCTGGATGCAGCAGACTTCTCCGATCAAAGGAGAGAAGATCAAAGCTCTGCTGTATGCAAAGTATCTTGGATCTTGTTCCTGGAGGAACGGGAGCGCCACAGATACGCAATAGTGTGGTCTTTGGAGGTTGAACTGGAGTATCTCAGGCAGCTGCGCCAGTTGATCTAGAATGTGCACAGCATTCTCCAAGATCTCCAGCGCCTCGGCCACGTTACCCTTTGCCAGATTCAAAGCCCCTTCCCGATTCTCCATGGCTGCCAAGAACAAATAGTAGTTAATCCCTTCCATGGTTCTTGTTGGTCTTTGTTTCAAAAAACTTGAAGAGAGCGGTGTGCAAGTAGCAAAGAAAGTGAGACGATGCGATTTTGCGGGAAGAAGATCCTAGCCAGCTAGAGTGGCATGACAATTCAAACTCTCAAACTAGCTAGCTACCTGGTACTCTAGCTAGTAGTAGTCTAACAACCTGTCACCTCGGAAAGTCCAGAACTTGGAAATTGCCAGCGATGCTTAGAAAACAGGTGGCAAAAGGCCGATCTCGGGCGCCACATCAGTGCGTCTTGGCCACTGAGCAGAGAAGCCTTGGGAAGTGGAACCGCCCCGTTTGGTGGGCTTCTCGCTTCGCACTTCGCATGGGCTTCTCCTGAGCTTTTTGCGGATTTGGGAGCAGAGCTGGAGCAGTCAGTACGCGAAAGCAACAATGGCACAATGGCTGGAGCTCAGCCGTGAGAAAAGAGAAGAGTTTACTTTGCAGTCGCAAGTTACAGCGAGAAGATTCAGTGATCTAACAGGAGTCTCTCGCTCGCCATCCTGCATCCTGCTCTATAATCATCTAATTCTCTAATCAAAGTTGATTGACTACTAGACTACTACTAGTAGTAGACTAGCTAGCTAGATCTAGAGCTATCTAGAGAAGTCTAGAGAACAAAGCTGGGACTTCGGAGAAAGACATTACTTAAGAGGGATTCTCATGGTCATGAATAAACCATCTTAGGTTCAGGTTTGTTAAGTTTGTAGGCCCATTCTTTGACATCACACATCGCAACCACTTCTCGTCTCTCGCCTCATTAAGACTCCGCTCCGGGAGTACCGTACCGTACGGTAGTGACTTTAGCGAACTCGATTGTCTCTGGTGCTTTGGTGGCCCAAACTCGGCTGCTTGGTGGTTTCATACGGTACTGTATGAAAATCCAGCATGCTGTACCGTAAACAACCAACACAGTTCCCCAACAGCCTTAGTGAAACTAGTTTCAGCTTTCAAGTTTCCGTGCTTCGAAATGGATGTTCGATGTTCGGGCTGTCGGGTCTCTGAAAATAGCTGGCAACAGCCAAGGGAATTGCTGGCGGGGACTGGAACTACCGATACCGGGACCAGGGTGTATACATGTACATGTACATGTATGTAGTAGTCGTAATCAAGGATCAAGAGAGCTTCAGCTTTGCCATGACATACTTATTCTAACGGGCCACAAGGAGAATGTCCAAGCGAGTGTTGAGAACCCCAGGAACATCCTGACATCCTGACCTTTATAAAAACGTTCCTGATCATGCTAGAATGAAGAATCCGAGGAAAGGGACGGACAGATTACTTTTAAGAATTACGTTTTACTGTTTTACTGGAGGGAACTTCCGGGAAAGACTGGGAGAACTCTTCCCGACGGCCTGGAAAAACTGAAGGGAGGTACTACTAGACTAGCAAGCTTTCTAGTACTCTAGTAGCTAGTAAAGGGAGAATTGGCAAAACCGTCCAAAGGTCCTGCTTTTTTGCCGCATCCGCCTGTCTCATCTTGTGAGCGACTTCTTGCTTGCTTGCTGATATGCAGAGTGTACATGTCTGTAGAGCTTCCTGTATTCTGGTGGCTTGTTTGGTTTTCTGGTTCCTCGAAGAAGGGTTCAGCCATTCATGAACAACTACTTGCTGCTTGCTTCCTCGGAGAAGGGATTCGGCCTATGAACAACCAACATCTGCACGAGTAACCTTCTATCCTTCTGTAGCTCCTTCTGTGCCATTCGCGGTCACCCTCACAGTAAGTAGTGTAAGTAAGTGAGCTTTGAGCTCTGAGGACAAAGCAGGGAACAGTTCCCGAGATTTTTTAATGGTGGGATAGTGGGTAGGCCTGCCCCACAGTTGCCAGCACAGCCCTACTGCAACCGTGCCAATACATCAAAGGTCAAAGGTCAAAGGTCAAGGTCAATTATTACAGTAAAGGCGTACATGTACATGTAGCAACGAAGCACTTACTTCGCTCGCTATTCTTCTGCTTCGCTCATTCTTTGCTGTAGCCAGAGTACAACAGACGCCACAGAAGTCATCATTGAAAGGGGATGGGGTTTTATGCTGTAAGAGCAAAGAGCGAAGCGTTCCTTTCACGTTCCACTTTCTTCTTGGTGGTCCAACGAAGGGCACTACAATCCTTTACTGCTTTTCTGTTCTTCTCCTGCTCCTGTTTAGATGCCTACCTTGTCTAGGTCCCATCGTCTTATCGTCTCTGCCTAGACTATTCAACCCTGGTGCTGTCAGTGCACAGCATCACGGTTGCGATAGCTAAAGATGTTGATTTCTGCTACTGGGAACTGCACTATTCGAGTGTAAGCACCTACCAGTGTGGCAAATCAAAACACAGCAAAAAACGTCAGTTGCTTGGTACCGTACCGTACGGAGAACAGGAGACTGTCTTGTGCGGTGAGGAAGAATGCTCCTAGCTAGTAGATAGTGAGATAGGCTATTGCGAGTTCGCTACCTGACCTGACCTGACCAAGACCCAAGACCTGTTCTTCATGCATCACAACTGCATGTATCATCTTGTGTTGGTGCAGCTACGGTATCGATAGAGCCACAACCTGCTAGATGTGGAATGCAGGAATCCAACCCCTGGCGCTACTGGTAGAGCTCCAGTCCCAACTCCGGATCCAACACCTGGCTGGACTCCGACCAATACCTTTTAGGCAACTAGTACAGGACCCACACCAGGAAGGCCAAACACCTAGACGGTCTTCGGGCCTATTATGCCATGACATCTTTTGACCCGCCATTGGCCTTTCTGGAAGGATGCCGCCCCAGATCAAGTCGGCTTATTCCTCGTTCCGCACTGGACCTATTACACGTCCATCTGGCCCCACTCCCTGACCAACTCCATCACCAATACTGGTACCTGGAGATGCTCCTGGACCCAAGCCAATACTACATACATCCTGGCCCGCACCAGAGTACCACACCAGATACGGTCAACTAACTCATGGACCCACACCATTGCAAACCTACTAGCATGGTACTGGCAAAGGTAGAATGAATAGATGCCATCAACTCATGGACCCACACCAGCTCCAAGGACGTTCAGAGGGTGCGGGGAAAAAAGTAACCTTATTCACCAATGCGTTCGCGGGTAAATTAAGGTTGCACCCAAGCAAGTGCGGTATTAAAAGCAATATAAGCCAATGGCCATTCGCTTGCTGCGCTTTCGGCGAGATAGAAGTCGCCTCTCAAATTTCGCCGTCTCCAAATTTTGTGTTGGAGTGTGGCTACCGAATGTTCATTGGCATGTATACATGTACCGGTAGATAGGTGTTTGCAAAAGGCAGGCAGGAAGTGGCAACAACAAATTAACCATGACACCCCGCATCCAGCCTGTGGACCACCGTTCGTCCAGAGTAGTAGACGCAACCCATGCGAGGCAGAGGCCTAGATCGCAGTTGTTGGACACGGCCATGGCGTATGAGATGGCAGTTCTGAAGGAACAGACGAATGACGAGCGATGGAGCGACGCCAATATTCAAAAGGTTGTCAAGCAGTGGAAACTGAGTGACTTGGAAGAACAGCAATTGCGTCAGATCAAGCTTCGCATGGCAGATCTGGATCATTGGAAGAACAACCCGTTGGATGTTGTCCGTTACTTGCGAGGGCCTGGCAAATTTGAGCAAGTAGAAGGCAAAATCAGAGAAATGATAGAAGTGAGTTAGTGACATGGCATGCAGCTGTTTGTGGCTACTACTGTGTGCCAGTTTGTCTTGTCTCGCCGTGTCGACCTTGTTGGCTCATTTGTTTTCTCACCATGATTGTGACATTGTGACATTTTTTTTCAACGTCTTCAGTGGCGGATTCAATATGGAGCTGACTCCCTCTTGGAAACCTACCGGCCTCCTCGTACGTTGCTCTACTACGTCCCCAGTGCTATCCTAAAGGGCTACGACAGAGAGGGCGATCCCATCTATCTCGAAAGAGGCGGTGTCATGGATGGAGTTGGGCTCCAACGGTATTCACGGGATGATATAGTACGCCATATTATTTGGCTACGGGAGATTGGTACCCGCGGGCATTGGATCCAGGATTTTGAAAAGAAGACGGGGCGAACACCGTCACAAGTCACCATTATCTATGATATGCAGGGCATGTCGTCACGCCATTTAAAAGCAGGCGTCATTCCCATGTTCCAGGCCATTGTCAAAGTCAATCAACAGCGTTATTGTGGGTTGGCCAAGCGGATCATTGTACTCCGGGCTCCTCCTATTTTTAACTTTATCTGGAACATGGCAAAGCATTTCTTCCCTCCCGAAGGACAAAAGCTCATGGTTTTCACTGGACCCAGCAATTATCTCAAAGTTTTGGACAAATTTGTGGATCGCAAAGTTTTGCCTCCGTGCATTTGCAAAGAAGGACGCGGCACTGCCATGGATTGCATGCCGCAAAATTTTGAAGGCGGCAATCTACCCCCCAATGCGGAGGCTTCCATTCCAGATGAACCCTGGATCACAGAGTTGATGAATACCGCCAAAACGATGAAACGACGAGAGCAAGAACGACAACGCCGTCTTGCGCCACCGCCACCAAAAGTGAAAGAAGTATCCGCTGAGACTCTTTTTCCTCCGGTGTGCTTGTCGCACTATCTCAATGTACAGGTCTTGAACATACCACAAGCGCAATGGCAGGATGAATATGAAACCGTGCTGGTGCGCTGATATGTACGGTATGTTTGTAACAAGTAAGAAGCCGTACTCATTGGAGACATGCGACAATCGATTTTGTGTTTGGTGTGATGAGCCTTCAGTTGGTCGATTCCGGCGCCTCGTGTGATGTCGGGGCCGAACCGAACGGCCCATTGTACCGATATACTATAGAAAACAGCTAATCTATCGCCCTACTACATATCATTTCAGTGGCCAGACTTACGTCGTCCGTAGTTCCTTCAGTCTGCGCGGTTGATTTTTGTGGGCTACTTTATATCAAATGCAAAGCAATTAAAGCATTGAATGCGTCGTATCACGTCATTGACAAACAAAAAGGGCACCGCAGGGCCCGTTGACTGCCACTTATAGCGCAATTCGTGCGTCGCAAAACATGAATGATCCAACCGAATCTTCTTTTGGAGACGACCATGCTGGTTCTGGAGGACGCCGATGACAATTTTAAAATTGAAATTCTATCATTAGTTACTATCCCTTTCCAAGGACAGCCTCTCTAGCGAAAGCGTTCTGAGGACACAACACCAATGCCTTTTGCAACTCCAAAGCCTTGGACGTTGGTTCAGCGTCATCGTGTTTTTCGGGTTTTGTCTCAATCAAAGTATCAAGCCAATAGTCCAATGCCAAGGCATCTGACAAGACACTGGGACAAACGATCCCAGCGTTTCCTCCCTGCTGAGACGGAAATGTCAACTGGTGAGTCAAGATATGCACTGCACGAGTTGCCGCAACTTGAGCTGCCTTCAGACTGTCTTGAGACCCTCCATTGTCTCGAAGCAACTGTTTCGAAAGGACAACCCAGAGATCGCCTCTCTGTGGTTCATGTACGATTTGCCGAGCGATTGTCATATCGAGAGGCCGCGAGCCTTCACTCTCCTTTTCCTCATCAGCGGCCCTGGCATCCGATGCAAGACAGGTTCGGATGACTTCCAAATCAAGACCATCTGTTATCTGGTGCTCTCCGTACAACTGTTCCAAGGTCTCAAGGTGACTTTTGACATTATCGAGTCGACCAGCATCTGCAGCTCCAGCGCTCTCCAAGTCGGCAAGGTCCGCTAGCAGCAATGCCGAAGCATCCGAAGATCCCATCTTTCCCTTGTACTGCTGCAGATTGGCATAGCTTTCTTGATAAGGTGCCTCGCTCTTCGCTCCTTCAGACGCTCGACATGTCATTGCAATACCAAGCATTGCGCTTGGATGCTTGACCACTTGGAGGGCAGCACGATAAGCGTCTGCTGCATTGGATATCTTTTCTTGCGCGTGCTGTCCCTGTCCCTTTTCAATGTCAGCCGACGCTTTGAGTTCCAAGATGAGGGCGCGATTGATCCACATCATGGGGCTATCCGCAACTTGTGTCAGTGCATCGATGATTCCATTGCTTGCTTCAAATACCTTGTGGACCGTATACAAAATTCCCAAGTTGGAGTAGGCATCCGGTGAGAGGCTATCCAATTGAAGCGATCGGCAAAAGCAATGCTGCGCCAGGAGTGAATCCGAAAACACCAATGAGCAGCCAAGCCCGCACCAAGCCGAACCATAATCTGGGAACAAGTCAATGGCACGGCGAAACTCTGCACCGGCTCGATCATACAAGGCTGACACATTCTGGGACTTGTTGCTGGCAGAGCTCAAGCCCCGGCCTTCATGGAAAGCCGTCAATTGACCTTGCAAAAGTATGTTTGCCCCTGCATCAGTCAGTAAGGCTGCTTGCAGCAGTCTGACTTCATTTGAGTCTTCCGAAATACCAACGAACAGGTCCAGAGCTGCCTTGTAGAAGGCCTCGCCTTTGGAAACAAAGGCAATCTGATTGACTATATCTGTTTCAGTCGAGGCATCTCCAAAAACATCAGGAGGCAAGGTTGCACCGAAAGAGTATAGGTCGCCAAGCAGTTTTTGGGCGCAACCAAAGTTGTTTGAAGTGCTTTCAAAGCCTTCAATAGCCCTGCGAATGGAACCATAAGCTGCTCCAGCTTTCCCATTGTGGACCTCTCGTTGAGCAAGTGACAGCAAAGCGGATCCTTGTCCGTACGCGGCAATTGACCTTGTCGATGGGTCGCCGATTTCCAAAGCTCTTTGGAACTTCTCGGCGGCTTCCTCAGCGAGACCAAGACTTAGCTCCGCTGATGGATCAAAATCAAGTCGCAACAAGATTAGGAAACGTTGCTACAAAAGACGATATGGTTCAACATGTGCATACCTTCAGCGCAAGCACAAAGCACAGACCCAGACACATGCTCCCGAGCTGCTTCGATGGAAGAATAGTAGCCGCGTATCGCGGCAGTATAGCGCCCAATCCTTCTGTAGCAGAATGCTAGCTCCGACCAAGTTTCCGCTTTTTCCTTTCCTAAATAATGGTCACTGTCACCCCCAATTGACGCCGAGACGCGAAAGAATGGCGACATGGCTTCAATTTGTGGCTGGTCAATGTCCTGAAAGGTGCAAAGCGGGGCAAATCAGGTAAATGTTCAGTCGATGTGGCTTCATTTTGTCTCTTCCTGGTCCAATCAATAAAACAACTCACGCGACATCTCAATGCCTTCAGCAAGGCCACAGCTCCGAGGTCGTTTTCTCCGCTGACCATAACTTTGTGTGTGCCCAATGCTCTCCAGGCCCAACCATTTACTGGAGAAGTTGTTTTAATGGCAGCGTCGACCACCGCGTTGGCCGACTTCCATGCCGTGAGCCGCAATATGCCGCGGCCTGCCACTGGATTGGGAGGATCCATCAGCAGCGCTTTCGAGTAGCAACCTAATGCACGCTTTAGATCCTTTTGGCTCTCGTACCAAACACCCAGCAGGGCAAATGGCCCAGCCTTTCGAGAGTCCAGTTTGGCTGCTTGAAGTAGCTGCACCTTGGCAGTATTCATCTCCGTGGCGTTTCTCTCATCTGCTGTCAAGGCTTCCCGGAGAAGAAATGCCCCAAGCGAGAAAGCAGCATCTGCATCCTTGGGTGCGTCACGAACGGCATCTTGCAAAAAGCTCTTGGCTTCTTGGATCCGGCCACTTCGGACGAGTGAGTCAGCTACCAGCTGACGAGATGTTGTCAAATGGGATTTGAGCATTGCGGACACTGCTGCTGATCCCGTCAACAAGGAGACCGACGAGGATCCCTTCTCAAGGTCAACCGAAGTTAATTGTTGGAGACTTTTTTGGGCCATTTCAGTTGGCGATTCCACCATGCTATCTTCTGCCTCGTTGTACAGCGCGATTCTTGCGAGGCCGATCGAACAATGGGCACGGACAATGGTTCGAAAAGACTCGGAGAGCTCCGTTGTTGAAGTTGTTGTTGTCGAAGATTCCTCGGCTTGTTCCAACATGCCTCTGTAAACTTTCGTAGCTTCACTGGCGAATCCACCCGAAAGCACTCCACTTTCGGCATCGGCCTTGGCCATATCGAGTATACATTGCTCCAGCTTGGAGATTGGTCTTCCCCACTCACTCTTGGCGTTTGTGAAAGACAAATGCGCAGCTTTCCAAATCAACCGTGCTTCGGGGGCGGTGCAGAACGACCACGGAGACGATGATTGTAGTAATCCATTCCACGCCAGTACCAAATTCCAAAATGCCGCTCCATACTCTGTCGAAAAAGCCTTGTACTTTTCGACGCGTTGTGCCATGCGTGTGGCTTCTTCCGACTGCGCCTTCCATTCCGATGTTGTCATTGTGGCCCCCCTTCGTGACGAGGACGACAAGACCATTAGAGCCTGGACAGCCCCTCTGGCGCTTTCGACTTGTCGAATTTTGACGTCGAGTGGTTCCGTGGAAGTTTTGAGAACATTGGAGGCGGCCTCGTAATCCTTCTTGGCCTTGACGGCTCTGTCAACGAGCACGTCCAAGACCAACTTGACCATAGGCAAAGAGTCGTGGGGAATTGCTTCTTCATCGTCATCTTTGAAGGCACTACTACACGTCATCCATTGCAAACACGGCACCATTGTCATCAAGGTCTCTACCAGAGACACCTCCTCTTGTGACATGCCACTGATCCACTTTTTGATTTCATCAGCCTCATCGGAGTGAATCCACGTTTTTAGAAATGGAATCACATACGCTGACAGGTCCGTCCAGCCTTGCAATGTGGGCGTTTTCTTCTGTAACGCCAGAGCCTTGGCACGGAATTGGTTTCGTACGAGGACTTCGCGCACGACTTGTGCGGCCAATTGCTGTTGTTGTCGCGTTGCAGCGAGAAAGGTATCGCGAAGAACACCATTGGAATCACTTCCCTCCCCTTCCATCAATACTTGCTGACGTGTCTTTTCTCGAATGGATTCCAAAGAGGGCGGTGGCTTGCTACTACTGGTGTTTGCTTTGGGTTGTTTCGAGGGTTTGTTACCTCCTCCTTTGGGTGCCGGCTTGCTGCTGCTGCTTTCGGTGGCTCTATTTTGAGCTTGTTGATATTGATGCTGGGTGTCTTGTTCGATTTTCGAATCTTCTTGGGCCATTTCCAGCTGGACTGTTAGCAGCTGCAAGCCAAAGGTTTCTTCGGGAGAAAGCAACTTGGCGTGCTGTTGGCACGTGGCCAAGTTGGTTTGCATTTGTTTCAATGGTTTGTTGACTTTTGGTTTGTAGGGCGTCACAAAAGCGGCGATTGCCTTGTCAATGTCCTGTTTCATGGTCGTCGCAGTGGTCTTGTTGTTGTTGATGATGATCTCTTCCTTGGCCAATTGCAAGTAGCTTTCCGCCGCCTTGAGACTCAATTCGGCGGCTCGCTTGGCATTTCCTTTCGATGATGCAATCCTCACCATATTGGACAAGACAACCGCTGCTTCTCCTGGGCTGCTGACGACAAGATGATCTTCTTGTTGTGGTTGATTGGCTTGATGCTGCTGCTGCTGCTGCTGCTGTAATAGAATGACTTCATGTGCCTTTTTCCACATTTGCGGTGTATCTGGCTGTACCGAGGCGCCTCTCAAAAAGTAGCCTTGGGCAATGTCGAGTAATTGGGTGGATTGTTGTGTCGCCTTGTCTTCCTGTGTCAACCGTTCGTTGGGAGCAATCATCTCTAGTAAGACTTGAAAGCGTTCGTCTTGGACTTCTTTGCAGCGCTTCAATGCCGACTGGATGGCTTCCTTGGCAGCCAGCAATGCGAGAGGCTTGCCAATGTCAACCAGAGAGGCACACAGTTCGGCCGTCCTTCCGGCCATGACGGCGGACGCCGCCAAGAGTGGCAATGGGAGATCGTTGGACGATAGTAGAGATTTTCCAATTGATGTTCGTACAGCTTCTATTGTCTTGACGGGGTCCCATTTCTCCATGTCGACGTCCTTGAGCGACATCAACACGCCTCGTTGGACCAGTTCCATCTGGAACAGAGCCAAGATGGGAGTTTCCGCATTGTCAGATGTAAACTTGGATTCCAAAAGCTTATCCTTGATTACACCCGTCACAAAGCCTTTGATGGCTTTGGGAGGAGCCGATGATGACATCTTGTTATGGGGGTGTTGCCTCTGGTGCTGCGCTGCGAGGAGTGTGGTGGTTTGTGGTTTGGCCTTCAATGAAGCTGTCGCTCTCTCAAAAACAGAAGATCCCAAAACAAAAAGATCCAAGTAAGAGATGCGACGGGTAGCCACAACAGCAGCTTTGCAGCGTTTCGAGAAAATCAAAGTCGTCTTTGTCTTTTGTTCACGCTTTGCGCAGTCCCACGCATACGTCAGCTCTTCGCGCTGAGTGAAACTTACTCTTTGCCTCCACCACGGTGTTCTTCTTGGGTGTTGCGTTGTTTGCGTTGACGATGGCGACGATTGCATGTAGCTTCCGTCTTTGGCAAGGTTTGTGGCACTTTTTAGCTTTGTTGTTCTCAAACACAACCATACTATTTTAAAGACTAATCACATCAAACAATCCAAAATGAAGTGCTCTCTGTTTACCCTCGCCGCATCCCTCTTGGTGGTTTCATCCTCTGCCTTTGTACCGCCTCCATCCAACAACAATGGCGTGAAAAATACCGCCCTCAACATGTCCCTCGATGATCCTGTTGCATTCGCCAAGGGAGAAATTGAAAGCAATGACGTAATGGTATTCTCCAAAAGCTACTGTCCCTACTGCGATGCTACCAAGAAGGTCTTTGATCGAATGGATGGAGTCGATCCCAAGATTATCGAGTTGGATTTGGACGATAATGGACCCGCCATTCAAGATGCCTTGCTGGAAATCACAGGACAACGAACGGTACCAAATGTCTTTGTCAAGGGGACTCATATCGGTGGAAATGACGATACCCAACTCGCTGCCAAAATGGGCAAAATCAAGAAAATGTTGGCCGAGTAAAAAAATCGATTGAATGAATGAATGGACGAATGAACAAACAAACATGCAGTACGAATGAATCAAAGGGTGGACGATTGAACAAAACCGATTGAACACTCTCCTTGTCGGTGTAGAAACATAACCTGTCAAGGAGAAGGGCAGAACATACCGGTACAGTACAATCAGCTAGTAGGAGAAAACCCAGCGTCTGATATGAGTGGTTTGGTACAATAGTTTCTATGTTATTATATTACTCTTTACCAAAAGCGTACTACTCCAACAGGATCTCACAAACAATATATTCTTCTTGTGGTCTCCCAGGCGGGAACCGTGCTTGTTCTCCGTATTCTTGGTAATGCATGTTGGTCATGTACCGTACAGTTTCAAACGGCACGTTTTCCAGCACGGTCTGCTCATGCACATAGTTTCCTTTGTGTCCCGACGGTGTAGGCCAACCCCCGTCCTGCTTCCAGTAGATCGTTTCTCTGGTACTCAAATCTACTTCGTCGGTCTTGCCCCGTTGGATGATCAGTACCGCAGCCGCATAGTAGTACCGTGGCGGGATCACCGATAGGCTTGCCACCGTCTTCGCTCTCAGCAAGCTACGTTGTCAGAGCTTCCAAAGCAGCAATGTTTGCCAGCCCTGTTTGGCTGTCACGGTAGAGGAAAGTGATACAATAATGACAACGAATCTCTTGAAAGAACATAGACGGAAGTAGTAGTGGGAAAAGTAGACCTAGATATCTAAAAATGGCTTTCTATCTGTACACAAAATGTCGGGACTCGCAACTATACGTCAATCTCGCAGGACACGTCACGAACCCGGCGGAGAGAATCATCCATCACTGTGTCCAACAGTTGGGTGCTCTTGCTCTCGCTTGACGCATCCATTGATTGTGGATTCTCCTGATTGGACTCTTCAACTTCACTACTGCACTTCAAGCGCAATGTCCACAAGATTTGGCTGGAGTAGACCTGAGCACCGAACAGAACGACAACCAAAGGAATGAAGCAGATCTTCCAGAACCATTTCCAGTTAGTTGGTTGGTCATCAGCCTCTCCTTGAATATAAAAGGTCACACAAAAGTACAACAAGGAAAAGATGGCAATGGCTGTCTTGAAAATGAAGGACTGAATTGCGGCAAGGGTGAACAGGTTGTATTGAACCTTCTTGGAGAACAGATCCAAGCGGTAGCAGAGGAGTGCCACAAAGGAAGATTGCTCAGTGGTGGCATAACAACTGAGGATGACTGCAAGTCTCAAATATACTACAGCATATGCATCAAAGATTGACAACGCCAAGAGCTGAGCCATAACACAAGTCATGACATGATGGACAAGCAGAGGAGTGCCAATGCTGATGCGGTAGATGAGCTCCCACATGTACAGCACAAAGATGATCTGTGAAGAAACCAACATCATGGTGAAGCGGAGCTCAGATGTCGTGTCATCTAATCGGAAGATTAAATCAACCCCCCCTGCCAATTGAAGGGCCAATGAAAGGGTTGTGACAAAGATCTGAAGGATATAGATCACAACATTGCGCCTCTTTTCAAGAGTTAGGGCTTGGAACTTGGAGGATATGCCAAATGCATTGGTTCGAAGCAGGATGAATTCAGTGAGGCAACCCAAACACCAAATCAAGATGAGAAAATTGAAACACCACCAAGGATACTGTGGAGCATAGATGTCATAGACTAGTGTGGTATGGTTGTCAGCGTCGATTGCTGGCTCCGTCATTGTTGGTTCTTTTTGTTGAGGTTTTTGAAAATGGGGGGGAAAAACTTGTGAGGACGATTGAATCTTCGAATCGAATCACAATCGGAATGCAACCGGCGGGTCCGAGCAGGTCGTACCGTACAGCCGTACCGGTTGCGGACAAACCCTGATCGTCGATTGACAGGTCATGTAAGTGGTCAAATAAATTAGAATTAAAGGGTTCTCTCCGCTTCGCATTTGTAACCGGTCAGTTTCTAAAACGGAAAGAGACACTTAAATAACTTCATTCACAGATGGATATCCTCAGTACCAGGTACGCTAGATCGCTGGATTGCTGGAACCCAGAACCAGACAACCATCCAGAACTCATCCTAAGGTTTCTTTTTGTGTTGTGTGCAGTTGATGCTGTGCAACCTGGTACCAGGTACCTGGTATCGGTACCCAAACAGTTGCATGAAGCTTCGGGTGGTCCAAATCTGGCATTGCGCGAAGCAGAGAGGCCTTTTGAAACTTTTGAAGCTACACAGAAAGTCCATGAAGAACCTGGAACTTTGTTGTCATTCTTTGGCATGCGGAGTCAATGCTCCAGTTCCAGGTTCTGCGGGTAGCTACATGTACTACAGGTAGTTGTTGGATACGGGTAATGTAAGCTTTTCTGCAATTCCTACAATGAGTACGCAATTTATTTTGTTTTTGAGTACTTCGTAGTATGCACCAGTAGTCTAGGATGACTGTTAGGCCTTGCGGATATATGTGCAGCTTCTGTGCTTCTGAATGCATTGCGTAGGTCGAGAATAGAAAATATGCATGCATAGCTGGAATCCAATCCAACGATGTAGCGGTACATCCGGAGCGCTACGGTAGTACTTGGTACCGGTACCTGGTACTGGATCATTGATAATTGACTCAACTTCGGCAAGCGATTAATTATACGGAATAAAACCCGGTTTTCGTTAGTCAAGAGTTGTTTAAATAAACAGAGTTCTAGAAGGCACAGCAGCACCGGTGATTGCAGTAAAATTATTATCCCTCTACTTTTAAAAATAATCCAGTCACCCTTTGGTGGTCGTATGACTGGTTGTCACTTTTCCCCCGCCCACTGGTACCGGTATACTTTACCAGTGTTTCCTTTTCGAGCTGGCGCTTTTCCATGTTCAAGGCACAAGCTAGCAAGGCACGAGAGCGTGTGCCTTTAACATGGGCAACTGACTTTTACGTCGAGCAACTCGTCCTGCCGGTTCCGAGAGCTCGCCTACACAGTCCCCGGAAGTGCGAGTTAGTTGTGGGTCCACCCATCCGAGCCTATCAGAGCACCATACTTAGTAGGCCTTGACGAGTCTCGGGATCTTACCTGTGCGTGCTCACGTTTATCTTGTGCCCTTGTGCCCTCTACTAGCTAGTACCCTCTCTAGCTAGCCTCTATTGTAGCCTCGATGGATCAAAGGAAGCTCACACCGGATGCAAAATGTAAAGTTGTTTAGGCCTCTCGAAGTGACAATCCGAATTTCAGAAGAAAGCCATTACCACGGCATGTAAGCACTACTTGAATTCCTGCTTTGAGCAGAATCCTGCTTTGAGCCCAATGCTGGATCTGCTTTGCAAAGGAACCATCAGCTCACAAAATCAAGGCAAGCCAAACCAAAACTCCTCATCATCAACCCATAAAAACCAGCTTCAAAATGGATTCAATGCGCTCTTCCTCGTCATCTGAACGCGATGGTGCTATCAAATCAGCCCCGACACTCACTGCAAAGTACTGGAGAATGTTGACTCTATTCACCTGCATTGTTGGCCACTTCATCATGCCCTCACCACAAAGACTCGCCGTTGAAGATCCAAACACCTGCGCATATGTCCCTGGAGCAGGATTTTCGGGGTTCTTCTTCACTATGGGACGACTGCAAACTGTTCAAGAGCCAACCTCGCTTGACTACTATTGCTACTCTGCTGGTTGCCTGGCATCAACGGCCACTTTGGGCAACATCACAACAGGGGAAGCATTAAGCATGGCCTTGAATGCACAAGAACAATGGATGAACGGAACTATTTCCAGATTCGATGTGGTCAGCCAATTTGTTGACTCTATGATTGCAGTTGGACAGGAACGAACCCTGAACGCTAAAGTTCTGTCGAAGTTGCGTATCATCACCACAAAGTCCAATGGATGGCTTCAGCAGCGTGAAACTGTCATTCGTACCCCCAAGTCACTGGAAGACCTCAAGACAATGTTGGTACAAACCACATGGATTCCAGGAGCCACAGGCAATGCCTTTTCGTTTGAAGAACACTCGGATGGAGCATTCAGCTCCGCCACCCACCCATCCTGTCCCACTACAGTTGGTCTGCCCCAACTATCGAGAAAAACTTTTAGTTTTTTCGCAAACTTGCTGAATATGAACCTGAAGCCCGCCCAAGCCCATGCTTTCTCGAAGTCTGGCATGGAACTTGGACTGCAAAGGTAAAGAAAAAGAACCATATTCGCATACGGCACAAGATAGATAGATAGATAGATAGAAAGCATAGAAGATAGAGACTCATAATATATAAAGAAATTTTGCAGAGAAGATGTACCGCTGTTGCCATTTCGACCCAAGCATACGGTGCGCTCCTAGCGGAAAGGGTTCGAGGCTGACTTCAGGAAGGCTACGGTAGTCATCCTTTGTTGCCCTTTTTGTTTGGAAGCACTTGAATATGGCCTTGGCTCACCAGGAAAGGCTCCTGCCAAACGACTGTGACTCGTCTCGGAAGCTAGCGATCGTCTTTGCAACAAACGTCCCGTCTCTAGCTACCGGTACCGGGAGCTGGCCTTAGGCACCCTCAATGCATCCATGTCCGATGTCAAAGTCATGCAGGTGACATCCTTGAATGCGTGCAGGGGGTGAGGAGTCGTGAATGGAAATGTTTGAACAAAAACATTTCTTAACCAAAAGGTAATTAGAACCATTGATGGTTTTAAAATGGAGATTAATCGGTCGTTTCGGCAACTCTGGTGTGAATAAATGATTTCTATCTACATTTCGTAAAAATTGAAATCCGTTTGATGGGCTTTGGTCAACATTGCCCAAACGCAGCCCTGCCAGTTTGATGATACGGTCCCACCGCTGGTCTTGGGACGTTCGAAACTTATGATACCACTCGGTTCTGTAGGATTGAATTAATTGTATAGGTATTGTATGCGGCAGGTACGGCACGACACGGTCCCACGGGATCAACTATTCGAGGAGCGAATGAATCAGTCGGAAGGTACCAAGTATGCAATCTTTGATCAGTCGGAAGGAACCAAGTTATGTAATCTTTGAGTCAGGCAGAGCATGAAGGCGACTTCGACTTTACCACTTCCACTCGCAGACCACATGTATTGGATCAACTTGATCTTCCTGTGGGGCACATCGAAGCGGTACCGGGTAAAGTATTCAAATCGCCACAAGTTCTACCGGTGTGGCGACTGGCAAATCACTTTACGAAGATGATGTTCAACCTCGTCGCTAGCTGACAGGCATCGATCTTCTTTTAACTATTGGAAGACATGCATTAGATGGGACGATAAAAGAACGTTGCTGAGGGCCGCAACCAAAGGCTCCGGGGGTGCTGATCCTGGCCAGATTGTTTCCCGATGGACTGAATCGCTTGCTTCTCCTCTTCGTAATCCTAACTGACACAGCACATAAATGGAGAGCCCCTGAAACGCACGCGGTTGTATTATACGTATAACATTTTCACTATGTATTCTACAGATTATACGTATTACACATATAACATTTTTAATATGTATTAAACAAGTTATACGTATAACACAGATAACACAAGTGGAACAATATTATACGTATTACATGTATTATGTGTTGTACGTATTTGACGTATTACATGTATTATGTGTTATACGTATTTTACGTATAATACACTACCTGCGATACCATCATATCGCCTTTCACAGAGGTCCTTTCTTGAAGAATTTCCACCCCCCACCGATCCATCTTCGTTTGGAGGTCTAGAATGATTGTACATGCTAGGACCAACCTTTCGGACTTTGAAGGAGTTAGCACTTTCGGCACTACTCTGTTGCAACACCAGGCTCAAAGCATTGGTGACAAAATGCTGACAGTCCAGGATGGTAGATAGGATGCGTGTGATGGATCCATCTTCGTTCGGCGCTTCGCGGTCATCGGAATGGCTTCTTGAATACATGTAACAAAGTTGCGGGGAGTGATTTGTTCGGGGAAAAAGGACCAGGATTGTCAGGGCCAAAGGAATCCCCTCCTCAGATTCCTCAGCCTTCGTCTCTTCTGCATCATTCTCGTTTGCCCCGTGATCGTCTTGCGGACCAGATTCATCGTCAGAATCCACCATGATGCCTAAACGAAAATACTAAACAAGAAAACAAAAATAGGTGAGACAACGAACACGGGTAATACGTATAATACAGGTAATACGTATAATACAGGTAATACATATAATACAGGTGATACGTATAACACGGGTGATATGCATAATACATGTTACACCTGTTACACGTATAACACGGGTGATACATATAATACACATTACATGCATAACACGTGTTACACGCGTAACATGTATAACACGTGTTGCGCGCTGACTGAGGTACTTACATGGGTTCAGTACTGGTCCCTACAGAAAGTGGTTGACAATGGAAAGTGGTTGACAATGGTAGAATTCAAGGCCAGATCTTCCACAGGCTTCGTCAGTGAGCCTTCAGAAGTATATGAATGCAAAGAGAATGGTCCTGTGAGCTTGACAAAGCCTGATAAAGAGAGTGGGGGCAGGAGAATGAAGAAGGAGTTGAATGGAGAGAAATCCTTCTATCTTTCCACAGAAACAGTCTTCTTGGCTTCAACAAAGCCATACCACATTGCCTACTTACCCACAATGATGGTACTATCTTCAAATAACAACAGAAACCTCTGTATCCTTCAAACAAACAAGAGAAGAGAGGTTGTTGTCATGGTGGATGGTGGTTCTTTGTGGTGGAGATTGGTGGAGATTGGTGTTGAAGCCATTTTGCGAACGGTCATTCGAACGGTCACGGAGGCTGGCTGGCGACCGTGTAATACGTGTAATACGTGTAATACGTATTATACGGGAATACGTAATACGTATTATACGGGAATACGTAGAATACGCATTGTACGTATTACATGTATTACATCGCGTGCGTTTGAGGGTCTCTCAGTGCGGTACTACTAGTAGCCAGTTCGCCGTACCAGTAGTTGGGTCCCTGAAACCTTACAATCCCAAGGCTACCGGTAGTCTACATGTACTGCATGTACGATATCTCAACAACACCAACATGTTTGTTTGTTTGTTTGGAAGATCCCATCATGTTGGATTTCGTGTGGGACTGGAGCCATAGTGGCATCATCTTGTCGCTGCGCCCACCCGACGAAGAGGTGTGAATTGAGACAATGAGCCGCAAATTTAGGCTGCCTGCCTGTAGCTATAGAATGCTGCTTGCTGAATGGATTGTTTCGTTGGCTTCTTGGCTGAACTGTTGCACTTGTCTATTTCTCTTATTCTATGCTTTATTTATTTTCTATAACAACTATCAATACTGTCCTGCAGCCAGTGCCTTACATGGAAAAAGTGAAGAAAATGTCCTGTTCTGTCTGCAGCAAGTGAGCTAACTCTTCTTCAAACGAGTACACAAGCACTCCTTGTTCGATCAATGTATCAATGGCTTGTACATTCCCCTGGACATGAGTGATATCCAAGATTTCCACCTTGACATTGCCTTGTTCATTCCTGGTAGATTCTGGAACCTCTGGAGTCATGGCGAAATCGTAGCGATATCCTTCCTTCAGGTCGTCTCTGGTGCGTGCCACAAATCCAGAGCGGGGAACGGATCCCCACATTTGCATCTTTCTCCAACCATTCACTTGATTTTCTGTCAGTTCAAATCTGTGTGAATCCACTTGAAACTTGCTGTCAAATTGGATGGTGATGAGGACAGATCGATCTTGTGGTTGTACTTGTTCTTGTGGACTAGCAACATCAAGGTTTGTAGCTTGAAGGGTGGAAGGAATTTGAGGTGCTCCCAGAGCAGAAGCAACATTGGAGGTTCCGCGCAGTCCTGATGAGGGAGCATCTTGTGCTTTGGCAACGAAGAGGGAGGCAAAGAGGACAATGAAAGAGATTGTCTTCATGATGATTTTTGGTGTTTTGTGTGTGATTGTGTTTTTGCTTTTGCTTTGTTTTGTGAGATCCTCCCAGAGGAGAGCTAGCTAGAGCCGAGTCTGGCTATAGGCACTTTTACATACAGCTTTGGATACGCTTGGTTCTTTCGATGCTCCGATGCGCTTGGTTCATTCATTCCAGCCGCGACCAGACAGCGCACATGCATGGCTCGATCGCGGTTGAAGACTAGACTACTGTACAGAGAGTTGCGTCACTTTGTTTTCTGCACAAGAGGCAACCAAACTAAGCCAGCAGAAACGTCTGAGTCCACCCTGGAGGAATAATGACTTCAGAGTCTTTTACACCGCACCGTCGGAACCCTTTCTTTCCATGTTTAGAGCGGTGTTGGAAGTCTCGACCCACATCAACCATTCCTTTTACCAAGAGGAACTGTTGACATAACGATGGGAGGTATTCATTCCCAGCCACTGGCTGAGATCAGCAAAGAGGATGTAGCAAGGCGTGTGGTATCGTTAGGAGCAGATTACCAGGTTTATTCTCTGTTAGTGGATGACAATGGGATTGATGGAGACCTGTTGTCGGAAATGGACGAAGACATCTTCTTGGAAACTCTAGATGACATTGGCCTGGACAATCCCACACATCGTGCCAAGTTGCTGCAGGAATTTCACAAGTGTACCAGTGGTTACACCATTGAAGTACAAAAGCAGCATCCTCAGCAACAACAACACAGTATCCAGGAAGTCACCGTCGGCCGGCTTTTGCCACAGGACGTTCCATCTCCGCTAATGGAAGCAGCAGCAGCAACAGTACAACGACGAGATTCCATGCAAAACCCCACCTATAATGTGGATCATCCCAATCGAGCCACTACGGAGGCCGAACAAGCTCATTTGGCACCCAATTTCTTCCAAAAACTGGACGCTGTGCCCGAAGCCACACGACCACCCATTAGAAAGGACGACATGGATCGCGTGGCGTTGGTGGAAAGTTACCGATTGCAAGATATTGAACCTGATTCGGATATTGCCCAAAAATTAGTAGGGTTGGTTCAAATGGCCATGAATCTATTTGATGTCGATCTTGGAGATATTACATTTCTCAATCATGAATGTCAATACAGTCTGGCGCGAGTTGGATTAACCGAGCCCATGGAAGAGGCCATTGTGGATAAGGTCTATGAGGTCATCAATCATTCACAAGATGGAAAACCCTTCCTCTGCAAAACATCACGGTCTATTGGGATTTGCAATTTTCCAACCTACTCGGGAGAGAGTTTTATTGTGCCGGATATTGAACAGGATATTGCCTTTCAGTGGATGCGGGTGGTGTGGCCATTTCGATGTTACCTGGGAGCACCGCTCTTGACGGCTTCGGGTGTCGTGATTGGCACACTATGCATGCATTCTCTAGAACCCCGCGAAGATTTGAATGAGGAAGGCTGTGCCGTGCAATTGGAGCAAGTGGCCAACATGGTGGTGCAGAGTATTGAGAATTGGAAATTAAGACGAAACATTAATCGACTGGAAACGACGCGATTGTCACTCCAAACGACAAAAAACAAATCCAAACCACCACAAGACAAGGCTGTCGCTGTGTTTACAGGGGTCGAGGAATACGAAACTTTGGAGGGAATTGCTCCGGCATTGATCCAAGACGGTGTGGCGCTGTATCATCAGATTGCTCAACAATTGCGGGAAAAGTACTTTGGTTATGATAATGCCAGACTGGGAGCCGATGGATTGTTTCTGATGTTTCACGATGCTGTCGATGCCTTTGGATTCGCTTTGGATTTGCAGCAACAGTTATTTGATGCCAATTGGACCCCCGAACTATTGGCCCTACCTCGGGTCGGTGACAATGGCGGCGGCTTTCGGGGACTACGAGTCAAAGTAGGGGCATATATGGGGGATGTCACGGCCATTATAAATCGCAAAACAGGAGCAATGGAATATCAAAGCGTCAAGAGCTGCACCATTGGGATTGCCAGAAATCTCTACGAAATGGCTGCAGGAGGACAGATTCTAACCATCTTTGATACGTGGAATGTGGCCTCGTTTTTGGCAGAAACAAAGCTGTTCTCACCCCAGGTGGTGGACCTGGGCTCACATGTGATCAAGAAGGGCAAGAGCTCCCACGATGGGGTCATCTCCGAACGAATTGTTCAACTCGTTCCGGCACCGTTGGCAAGTGATTTTAGTGAAATGGCCAAAATGGGTGAGAGTTACACAAGCTTTGACCTGGACGGGATGAGTGCTGACCTTAGCATGGATGTCAGCATGGACTTGGGCAGAGGCCTAAGGTCTTCCAGCTTGTGGGGGCGACAATTTCCAGACATCAAGAGCGAAAAGAAACTCTCCCCTTCGTTCTACGATGCCCCAGGAGTCAATGCAAGTGGCAAATCCAAGGTGACGATTGCCTTTATATCAACCAGTGAAATTGAGAAGCGATACAAGGAGGCCGCAGCCATTGTCTCCCGAATCATTGGGCTGGCCTCGTCGGCTCTCACCGGCACATCTGGTTATCAATGTCAAAACAACATGTTGGCATTTCCCGATAGCCGCGCAGCAATCAACTTTGGGCTGGGGTTCTTTCAGCTTCTCAAAAGGCAAGAACCACTTCCCGGAGGGGTAAATCTGTCTACACTGGTGTCGTATGGATGTGTTCACGACTTCTTCATCACACTGGAGCCACACAAGACAACCGGGCGGGCGGATTACTTTGGAAAGGTTGTGAACCGTGCCGCCCGTGTGGCTTATTCTTCAGCACTTGGGACGGTCTGCGTTGGCGAAACGATCACACCTGGGTATGATCCCTCTGCTTTTACTGTGAATGATCCTAAAATCGGCATTCACTTTGTGGGCTATCGAAAGCTCAAGGGAGTTGATGGGGAGGTTGCTGTATTCGAATGTAGAAGAATCAGAAATGTGCCCCAACAATAGACTAACACAATAGAAATGTAAAGGTAGACTTCAGAAATGTAAAGGTAGACTTCCTCATCTGGACCAGCAACTTGTTTCAAAAATGGACACCTGTTGTTACCAGTTACCAGCCCTTTTCAAAACTCGAAAAAGCACATTTCTAGCCGTCAAATATCATGTCATTCTGTTCTATGTGCATCAGCCCGATGAAAGGGAGAACGGGCCAGGCAGACTGGAGCTGGGCGTAGACTGTGGTGCCGTTGGGCAGGGCTTTGGATCCGGAATCCCGATGCATAATATCTTTCGAGGTGCCACAACGAGAGCTGTAAAAAATGCACGTTTCAACTTGAAAGGCTTTGGGTACCGCCAGAACCTGCTGCGTTTAATGCCTTTTGTGCCTCAGGACAATGATTCGTGGCACCAACATCCGGTGAAAATGAACCCCACATCTTTTCTCTTATCTTGTCGCACTTCCCCCACTCCAGAGCAAAAGGCAAGTTAAAGCAGGAGCCATGAGCTGCCAGATGGTATGGCATCGCTTATAGACAGATAGATAGAAGCAAAAGAAGGACCATGAACTAACTCGAGGAAACAGATACCGTCGCAAACGTCTTCTGATGAAGAGTCAATTCGATAGACCTGCAAACCATCAAAACATTCACGTTCACAATTCACAATCATGCCGAGCGACGAAGCCAGCGTCCAGTCCGAAAAGACCCACGAAGGAGAGCATCATGGGGATTATTCTTCCGACATTCCTATATCAAGCTCGGTGTACCTCTACACGTTCTGCGCCTCTGTAAACTCTTGCAACTTAGGTTACGACATTGGCGTGTCAACCAACCTCGGGCCTCTGATACAGGCCGACTTTGATCTGACAGATTTGGAACGTGAGCTCTTGATTGGAAGGTAAGGGCAGCAGATTGCGTGTCCCTCCCACAAGAAGCCATCATGGAGGCAACGTGCTCCACACTTTCCACCGCTGATTCCACAGAACGATTGCTCTTCCTTCTTCTCTCATCATGCTCTTTCCTCATGCGCTTCCATCCTGCTTTCCTCCCCTTTCAGCTTGAACTTCATGGCAATGTGGGGAGCATTGATGTCTCAGTACTTTAGTGATAGGTTTGGAAGAAGAATGACGTTTATCGTGGCCTCGTTTGGATTCCTGAACGGCCTGATAATCATGGCGATCGGCCAAACCTACGGCCAGATATTGGCCGGAAGAATACTGGTGGGCATCGGCTGTGGTGTTGGATTTGCGGTAAGATATTGGTTCGAAAAGTAGAGTACTTGTAGCCTTCACCCACCAAGCCTCACCCTCTCCTCTGCAGGTCGACCCGCTTTACATCTCCGAGATCGCCCCCGCGAAGCACCGCGGGGAGCTGGTTACGTGGTCTGATATAGGCATCAACGTTGGCGTCGTTCTAGGATTCTCGACGGGTCTATTGTTCGATGGTATGCCAGACGGAGACGCTTGGCGTGCAATGTGCATGTTGGGCCTGATATTTCCTGTCACAATCATGTTTTTGACGGTTGGGATTCTTCCGGAGACACCGCGATGGTTCGTCCTAAATGGGTTGGACAACGATGCACGCTTGGTACTGCAAGGTATGAGAGAGCTGCTAAGGACGCCTGGGACTGCTCGTTATCGACAACATCATCATCAGATCGACTAACTTTCCCAACCTCTTGCTCTACTACAAGACATCTATCCGGCAGGTAAGAATCAGCTTTGCATGCCGTGCGTGGAGGCATCATGGTCAGACCAGACCGACCAACTATCTCTAAAATCTCTTGCTCCATTCAGACTTCAATGTTGATTTGGTGATAGATGACATCAAAGAAGCTTTGGAACGAGAACGACTGGCCGAGCAATCCGTTGGGTGGTCTGTTTTTTGGAGACCAAGCCCCGCAATAAGCAGAATGCTCCTTTTAGGACTGCTGGTGCCAGTAGCTCAACAAACAGCAGGGATTGACGCTATCCAGTATTACCTCTTGGATGTTATGGATGAATCGGGTGTCATGACGAAAACGTCACAAAAGATTTTTCTCATTGTCTTGGGTCTCGTCAAACTGGTCTGCATCATGATCAGCTCACAACTGCTGGATCGAATGGGAAGAAGGTTTACGTTTTTTCTTTCGCTGACTGGTAAGAAAAGGTCGTTCGCGCCTTTGCTCCGTGCCTGACTTCAGCACTGAACAGTGCTGTACGACGTTTGGACTCACGTTTTGGAGCGCCATCCACTGCCCATGAAGGACTTATCATTTCCCTGGTAACTGTGAGCATTTCGTTTGGCATCAAATCACAGGCCGGTGCTTACATTGAACTGGGGGCCCTTTCCTTGTACCTGGCATCCTATGGACTAGGTCTTGGTCCGGCTGGGTGGCTTTTGCCTTCTGAAATATTTGCAACGTGCATCAGAGCCAAAGGAGTGAGCGTTGCTACCTTCCTCAACAGGCTTGCCGCAACAATCACGGTTTCAAGCTTTCTATCCATCAAAAACACGATCACTTGGCCGGTGTTCTTTTTGATTTTGGCCGGGTTTTGCTTGTTCACTTTGATCATGCTTTATCTGTATCTACCAGAAACAAAGGGCCGATCATTGGAAGATATGACACTGTACTTTGCAGAAGAAACTGGAGATTTTAGCATCCTGGATGCCGAACGAAAGTTGCGAGTGGAGACGGAGCTAGAAAAAATGGAGAAATCTGGCAAATCAAAGAAGGATGGAAGAAGGCTCATGAAAGATGAAACGACAAGGACAGCCGCCATGACTTCTACCAGAACATTTGCTGAGACGGAGGCTTCCAGGACAGAGATGGACCCCTCTTCTAGATCCTTTGGAGCGCGCCAGCTGGACCCCACATCTGACAACTGAACTAGTCTAATGCCTTAGATTGCAATTAGCCATTGTTACTAGCTTATCCAGCTATTGCAATGAGCCATTGTGACTATCTTGTCAGCTGGATGCATTGACCCCAGCAGTGCCAACGCAAAGCAATCTAATGTAACTTGTTCCTTTCTGCAAATCTAATGTTCTCCAAGCAAGGCTTTGTGTTGGGATGATCCAACCCAAATCTTGGCTCTAGCACAGCCAATGCTTCTGAAATCTAACAATTCACTATCATAGTTAAGCCATTTGACAAAAGCAAACCACCATGTTGTTGTAAGTGGAAGCAGTGTTGGGATGGTTCTTACCTAGCGCAGACTCTTTTATGGCGCAAGCGTCCTGATGCATTTTCAAAGCATGGGTATAGTCTCCCTTGTCAGTCAGCAGTACTCCAATATTGTTATAGGTGGTTGCTGTCTCAGGGTGATTGATGCCCAAAAAGGACTCTCGAGTTGAGTGCTTTCTGATACATTTTCAAAGCACCTTCAGAGTCCCCCTTTGCCTTTAGCACAAATGTGGCCATAAGCGGCGGGTGGGATCTTATCTAAAAGCCATCTAAGCTAATCGATCTTCACTCGATCTGGCTGTCTGAGATTCGATTCGCAACTCCACGAACTCAGGTTGCACGGTCAGCTAGAAGCAACCCATTCAACCATGGACGTGATCTGCCGCAGCCACAACCAGTATCAAGATGGCCTTATTACCGATCTCTTCAAGAGTTCGGTTGTTGGCTCTCTGTGCCTCTCTGGTCTCATGTATGTTTGGCTTTGATGTTGGGGTATCATCACATGTGGGCATTATCATACAGGACGAGTTTCAGCTCAACGATGCGGAGAGAGGGATCTGGCTTGGGTCACTCAGTTTCGCCATGCTGTTGGCAGCTCCTCTTTCCGCTTACATAAGTGACGAGTTTGGTCGGCGTCGAGCCTTTGTAACATCAGCGTTGTTCTTTCTCCTGGGACTGATCGTCCAGGTGTTCGCCCATTCCTTTCGGCAGCTGGTGATTGGCAGAATCATCGCCGGTGTCGGAGCAGGAATAGGAAGCGGGGTCGACTCTGCTTACATTGCAGAGATCTCTCCAGCAGCCAACCGAGGTGAAATGGTCGCATTCAGCAGTTTGTTTGCAAATGTTGGCATCATCTTGGGCCATGTTGCAGCCCTCCTTGTGGCTGGCGCTGAAGAATCCATTCAATGGAGAGGCATGTTGGCTGTTGGGATTGTCATTCCCATTGCAATCATTTCTACTACACTTACAGTGTTATTGGAATCGCCGCGATATTTGGTTTTGAAGGAAGAGTACCAAACTGCGTGGTTGGTTCTGCTAGATCTGCACCCCAAAGGTAGGTTGTAGTGTGCTGCTAAAAAATGTAGAATCAAATGAGGAATCCAGAAAACTTGAATCTGACAACTAAGCATGGCTGTTGCAGGAGAAAACGTGCACGAAGTTGTGGAGGAAATTGGAGAAGCATTAGAAAGAGAACGCATTGCGGAAGAAGAGATCGGATGGAGAACGCTGTTGAGGCCAACACCGGCCTTTCGTCGCATGCTGCTACTTGGTTGGGGAATGAGCTTCATCATGGAGATTGTGGGCATTGATTCTATTCAGTACTACTTGGTGGATATGATCAAGGAGGCCGGCATGGACACAATGGTAGCAGGGAGCTTGGTCCTTGTTGGCATCGGTATCATCAAAATTCAGTGTATTCTCATCTGTTCCAAACTAGTTGACCGGGTTGGACGACGGTTCTTTGTATTCCTATCATTATTTGGTAAGGAAACTATGACAGTATTCGCTGTGTTTGCTCTTTGTCGAAGCTTCCTTTTTGACTTTTTTACACGTGTACATTAGGCATGGCGTTTTCCCTATTCCTGGTGAGCCTGAGTTATTCGCTCCCTCAAGGCAATGCTCACTTGATTACAGCGCTTGTGGGGATGACTTTCTATCTGGCATCCTATGGTATTGGGATTGGTCCAGTAAGCCGCATGGTCACCAGCGAGGTTTTTGCTACAGGTATTCGCGCGAAAGCTAATAGTGTGGCTGTTGTGATCAACGCGGCAACGGGAACGCTAATGGCTTCTACAATGCTGATCACAGTAAACACCATCACGTGGCCTGGGTATTTCACCCTGGTTGCTTGGATCTGTTTGGCGATCGCAGGGATCCTTTACTATGCGCTCCCTGAAACTACCGGACATTCCCTCGAAGAGATGTCCCTGTACTTCGCGGAGATTACTGGCGACTTTAGTGTCCTAGACGCTAAGCGTTCGGTGCGGGTAGCCCCACAGCGGGTGCAGTTGTCTGCTGACGAGTCAATCAGGAGCTTTTCAAGGAAATGAGTTGCATTCGCTGGCAATTGGCTCATCTTACTCTATGGATAAAAGATCCAATGCAAAAGATCTTTGTCCTTCAAGATATTTGTCCCGAAAAGATACTTTGTTCCGTTAAAGAAAAAGATACTCGAAGCATGTCTGAGTGTCTTTGCAACAAACAGGTATCTTTTGGAGCTCTTTCGGATACCCAGGTATCTTCCAGCTGGTCGAAAACAAATGACTTTGCAGAGCTGTTTCCAGTGGCTATCCGAAATCAACGGAAGAATCGAATCACAAAGCGGGTTAGCACGGCCCTTGAGCTAGCAAAAGAATAAGAATACTGCCACCATGGAAGAGGATCACGCCGAATTGCTAGATAGGAGCGACAGGGCACCGTATGAAGGCGAACATCGACTGGACACCGGAGGCTCGAGTGTGGAGATCAGTAGTTCGGTGAAATTATTTTCCCTCTGTGCCTGCTTCAATTCGTGTACCGTCGGATATGATCAAGGAGCGGCGGTACATTGTGGCCGCCTTATCCAAGGCGAGCTTGGCCTCAGCAATTTGGAGCGAGGGATGTTTATGACCATTCTCTTCGTTTTCATGATAATTGGAGCATTGGGAAGTCCCTTAATAAGCGACCGAGTTGGCCGCCGAGCTGCACTGGCGTGTTCTTCCTACATTTACTTGATGGGAGCCGTGATGATGACCTTTGCGAGCTCCTTCTGGGCCATTTTGTTTGGCAGAGCGGTGAGCGGACTTGGTGCGGGGCTGGGGTTCTCAGTTGACTCTATGTACATTGCCGAAATGGCACCAGCAGCACATCGGGGGGCCTTGGTTACGTGGTCGTACATTGGCCTAACCTTGGGCTTGATGATGGGTGCTTCCACTGGTCTAATCTTCAGCAGCCTAGAGGAAACCATCCGGTGGCGGGTAATGCTTGGAATCGGCATGATCTTCCCGATCGTTGTGATTATCACTTCGGTGAAAGTTATGAAAGAGACCCCACGCTTCTTGATCCAAGCAAAGCGAAGCAAGGAGGCACGAATCGCTTTGTCGATGATATATCCATTAGACTACAGTGTTGGAGCCGTGTTGGAGGGCATGAGAGAAGCTCTGTTGCGTGACAGAATGTCGCAAGAGGGCCGTGGTTGGTCCATAATACTTCGACCCACACGTGCATTCCGACGCATGCTCCGCCTAGGCTGGGGCATATCCTTTGTCTCGCAAGCCGTGGGTGTCGACGCGATTACATACTACATGTTAGATGTCATGAGCGACTCTGGCGTTGAGCAGACTACCATGCAATGTGCTTCTCTGATTGGTTTTACCGTCATTAAGCTGCAGTGCATCGCCATCAGTTCCCGTCTGTTGGACAGAGTGGGAAGAAGAATGGTGCTCTTCATTTCATTAACAGGTATGTATTCCGGGATTGCTTGACATCTTAAATCTAGATTGGTTTGATGGGTGGGCCATTGAAAATGAGAATGCAATCATCTGACGAGTTTCCCCCGCTTTCCACACAGGTCTGACGGCGTCACTGCTGATGATTGGCAGCTCCTTCTACCTGTCCGATGTTGATCAACCAGTCGTGGCCATGGTTGGCTTGGGTTTGTACATGGCTTTTTACGGCATCGGTCTAGGACCAGTGTCGCAGTTGTTACCTGTTGAAGTCTTTGCCACCAGCATTCGGGCCAAAGCGTTGAGCATCTCCGTCATTATTGGCCGGGGCACAGCGGCAATCATGTCTGCTACATTACTAGTGTGGTCGGATGCCGTGTCATGGCCAGAAGTCTTCTTCACACTGGCTGGAATAAGCTCCGTCTCGGGCCTTTTACTGTATTGCTATCTGCCCGAGACAAAGGGTATCTCGCTGGAAGGCATGACATTATACTTTGCCGAGGTCACCAATGATTCCAGCCTGATAGAAGCCGAAAAAAAGATTCGAGAAGACGATGACAAAGACCGAACTGGTGATGGTGGTGGCTACCAACGGAGGGCGCAAATGGACGGTGGCACCAGGATGTTGCGAGTCTAATAATTGCTACCGGTACGTGCTTGGAACGAGAGTGCAGTGGCTGCAGATCGATACCGTACTGAAATACTCCAATAGATATGAAACCGACACTCGGCGCAGAACTCCCATTGCGGACTGTAAACTTGCGATAAAATCCAAAACTGCGATTCTACCTACTTTAACAAAAACACGCGTGGTTTCTGCCCGAGACAAAGGGTATCTCGCTGGAAGGCATGACATTATACTTTGCCGAGGTCACCAATGATTCCAGCCTGATAGAAGCCGAAAAAAAGATTCGAGAAGACGATGACAAAGACCGAACTGGTGATGGTGGTGGCTACCAACGGAGGGCGCAAATGGCCGGTGGCACCAGGATGTTGCGAGTCTAATAATTGCTACCGGTACGTACTTGGAACGAGAGTGCAGTGGCTGCAGATCGATACCGTACTGAAATACTCCAATAGATATGAAACCGACACTCGGCGCAGAACTCCCATTGCGGACTGTAAACTTGCGATAAAATCCAAAATTGCGATTCTACCTACTTTAACAAAAACACGCGTGGTTTCGTTCGTGGTTTCTTCTTTCTATTACCAGCAGCAGCAAGTGAACAAACCATAGCTACATGGCATCCATCACGCCCCTAGCAATGTAGAACATTGTCGTTGGGCAAATGTTTCGCATTGCGCGAATCAAAAGCACGACCCCATGCCTGAACTTGGACCGCCAGTTGCGTCAAAAAAGTCGGTGACCCGTCGGGCAAGGAAGAATGGGCCATACTATCATGGTCCTTCTTGTTCTCCTTACCATATGCCACAGGAAAGGGAATGGGACGACATTCCTTTGGCATTTTGGCAAATACGGGATCCTTTTCTCGTTTGGCCCACAATTCTCTGGATTTGGCTCGTTCCAAGAGTAATTTGGCGAATGGTTCGTAGATTGTTTCGAGCGCATTGTTCTTTTTCTTGCGGTCTCCTTGTACCTGCATGACAATGGCCAAGGCTTCCTGGTATTGTTTCTTGTTGTTGTCGTTGTCATTATGACACCGCGCCACGGCTGCATTTCCCAGCAACGTGACCACTTGCAACGTCCGGGCTTCGAGCCGTTCCCAATAGTCAAAGAGTTGTGTCAGGGGCGTCTTCCAATATCCCCATAGCAATTGTTGATGTTCCGGTCCTTGAATAAAGAATTGTCGCAACCATTCATTTTCCAATTCATTCAGCAGCAATTGTTCCGATCGCCATTTTTTGGGTCCATGATGCTGCATATTCGTGTGTTGACACTTGGCAATCATTTCTTGGACCGTGTGGCCGGGTCGCAACAGTCGATGAGTAGACGAGTATCGAGTCGACTTATTGGTATGAGTGGGTGGTGCCAGCACGGCATGTTGATGATGATGATTGTAGTCGTGGAGCATGTAGTAGGTGGATCCCGATGGCAACGCCACGGCAATCGGTGGCCCTGTGTCATCGACGGTAATGTCTCCCAATCGTTTGGCTTTGGGTCCTTCGGCATGACGAGTGACACGAAGCGCCACGGCCCATTCGTCGTCGTCCTGTTTTTTGCTCGAATGTTTGGTGGTTGCTTCTGCTGCCAGGATGGTATGATAGACGGCAATGGTGGAGAAGTGTTCGAGGCTCGAATCCGCATGCCATCCTACCGAGTATTTGTTGTTTTGGAACATGGGTTCCTCTCGGAGTCGTTTGTGAGGTGTCATTTTGTTGATGAGTGTGACGGTGAAGCATGCTTTCTTATTGTTGTCTTGTTTGGAGGACTGGTCGATTCCCCGTTTTTCATGGAATGCCGTCAGGTGTTTCTTGGTTTGTCGTGACAAGTGTTGATTGAGAGATCCAAAGGTCGTCACTGCGGATTGTAATTTTTGATCAGTGCTGGTGTGCTTTCCATTCCATGGATGCGCAAACATGCGCAATCCCAAGTATCGATAGGTGGTTCCTTCGTCTCCCAAGAGACAACGTGTAACGTAAGAGGGCACTAGTTTGGCTCCCAATCCAGCCGGTTGTGTGACATCGGTTCGAAAGAGTTTGGCGTCGTCCATGGTGACAAGAGCTCGTTGGATTTGATCTTCCGATAGACTTGTAGTAGTAGAAGTCAATGATGTTTCCCAGACAAGTCCTTGATGAACCGTGTCCACGGCAGCTTGGAAAGACTCTCGGTAGGGATCTTCGTCCCGCAGAAAGCCATCCGTAGGAACTGGTAAGCGAGAAGGAAAGGGTGGAAGTGGGCGATCCACATCATTCACTACTGGATTCTTCTCTTTCTCATTCCTTTGGTTATTGTTGTTGTTGTTGGTATTGGATGCCCAGGCTTGAGCAAATGCCAGCAAATCATCGTCATCTTCTTTGACGTTCTTCTTATTCTTGTGGTGGTTGAGATTGTCTTGATTTCGTTTTCTCTTTTTCTTGTTGGCACTGGTTGGGTGGGGATCAGAGGAAGAATGAATCTTTTCTTGAAGTTGCCTCTTTTTGCCTTTGGATGTTCCTGGCTGTTGCGCCGCTTCCTGCTGTGCCTTCTTTCGAGCTCTCCTGCGAGCATTGGAAGATTTCTTTGTCATGGTCAACTCAACCAAAACTTGGACTACTACCAAAGTACCAAGTCAGAGGACGAATGAGACACCCACTTGTAGGCTAATAAGAACTGTAAGTTCGGATCTTGGCCATCCCATGCGAAGGATTACATGTACTTTCGGTATCTTCTAGCTAGTATCTTGTCATCGAGGATGGATCAACTCGATTGGTTGTGAGAACGATCGCGCGATGGGCGCGCTACCGGCTCTCTTGGTTCTTGCTTGCACTTCTTGCCAAGATCCAAGTCAAGATGCCATTTAAAGGGCGTGACGTCATGGATCTTACCCCCGCGACCAAGATCACCTCGAAAGTCTTTCTCCATCTTTCGCACATCTTTCAGCTTTCTCACAATTCCATTGCAACAAAGCCATCAAAGAAAGAAGCAAGTCAAGGCCAACTAATAACAAAGCAATAATACCAAAGCAACCATGAACGAAGACGAGTGTCCGTATGAGATTTTGGGTGTGCCCAAGGATGCCAATGAGAGTGACATTAAGAAAGCCTACCGAAAGCTTGCCTTGAAAAATCATCCCGATAAGCAGCCCACCGAAGAAGCCAAGGAGAAAGCACAATCCGTCTTTGCTAAAATTGCCAATGCCTACGAGATACTCAGTGATCCAGAAGAACGAGAGCAATATGATTTGAGAAAGAAATACGGAGGAGCTCCCGGCACACGATACACTACCACCGCCACCCCCGCCTCTTCACAACCCACGTATACTACTCCTTCCGGTACACCGGCAGGCAGTACTAGCAATAGTTATCCACGCACCACGCGACGCACTTCTTCCACGCCCACTTCCACAGGAAAAGGAGGCCCTGCCAGCACGTCGTATTCCGTCAAGGATGGTCAGTACACGGCCACGGTCACCACGGATGATGGGTGCACGTACACGTTCGGGGGATCCGCCAATGAATTCCAAGATCCCTACGATGTCTTTCGCAAAGTCTTTCAAGACAAGTTGGGAGAAGATTTGCCCGCGGGAATGCAATCACCCAAACGAACCACAATGCCCACCGCCAACAACTCCAGTATGCCCACTAGCACTTTCAACGACATGCCCACTAGCATGCCACAACCCAAAAAGACGGTCCGTACTGGAACTCGCACATCCACCAAAATCGAGGGTGACATGAAGATCATCACCAAAACGGAAACACTGCCGGACGGAAGGACCCGCACGTCCGTGGAACATGTTCCCATTGATACCAACCCAACCACAACTACATTCACTCCAATGCAAACCGCCCCAATCCAAACTACAACCGCCGCAACTCCAACCCCAACGACTCCCAAAAAGAAGAAATTTTCATTCTTTCCACAAAGACAACAAAAGCAGCAACAAAAGCAACCCCATCGCAGTAGCATGATGCAACCCACCAACCGAATGACAATGCCTCCTACCAATATCCAAAGTGGTGGGAGCCAACCAATGGGACGATCCATGAAGACGCGAACGATCCAACACGACAATGGGACGGTCGAAACCATTACTGAAATCACCGAAACCATGGCGGATGGATCCACACGCACCAGTAGTTCGTCCAAATTCTCCAGCGACAACAGCAACAGTACTGGAAGTCGTCGCAGCAGCATGCCCACCAGACGCCGCATGGTGGTCATGGGCTAGAGACTGCTCTTGCAGCTGGTATAGTAGAGTCAAGCAATAATGTTTCATAGTTTCATATTATAGTTATCTATCTATTGATTGTGCTATATCGTGTGCTACCACTAGCTAGACCATGTTGAAACATTACCCTCATAGAACCCCACCAAAGAAAAGCACAAACTGTCTTTGCCCAGGTCGTGAATGCCCATGAAAGACACATTGCTCTGGAAGGAAAAGAACAGTACCATTTGAGAAAGAAACAGGGAGGATCCCAAGGGACAAGGCTACATTGGACTTGACAGTTCCCTGTGTTCTTCAGTTGTTTGGTAGCTATATTCATTATGTTCAATTCCGTATGCATCCATCTACCAAACGTATACCGGTATGCAAGCTTCTCTTAGCAATACCCTTGTCCAATTCAGTTTGTCCCTCGGTCACGTGGCAAAAGCAGCCAGCAGCAGCAGCAGCAGTCGAAGCTTAGGCAGATCGCGCCATGTCAGGCGTTGGTTTGTCTCCCAACAACGTCCTTCTGGTAGATGCGGGACGGTTTCGGGGCAAAACAGACTTGCTCAGGTTCATGGTAACGCGTCTTCTCTCTGGTTGGCCTCCTTGGACAGGCCGAGACATATCCATCGACAGCCTCCTTGTTGACTCTCCCGAGATGTGCATGACACCACCCAAGGAGTGAGCCATCGTAGTCCTTCTTCTGTTACTATCGAGGACCGATCCTTTCGACGATGTCCTCACCGGGGGATTGGTCTTGCCCACGGAGCATCTCCGGCAAGGTGTCTGTGACACGTTCATGGTGATTCGCCGTGTCTGCTGTCGCTTGGGCGAAAACGTACTCGTCTTGGTAGAGGACAAATCCATCGAGATCCTCCTCACCGGGGTCGTTGACACAGAGATATTGCTGTGGTGCCTTGCAAGCTGCCTTCTGCTCGAGTTGAGGTGGTCCATAGTACCTCGGCGCGGCAATCTAGATGTTCCAAGCGAGACATCAAGCCGTCCAGACCGGGTTGTGGTACGGCCACTCGAGTGCTCGGATTGCTGGTTGAACTGCAAGGAGATACGTTTTGGCATTGGGGCGTCTTCTCGAAACTCGGCTGTAACAGCAGCGATTCCGTACTTGGGTGGTGCGCAACCGTCTTCGTGGTCATTGCCGCCATCGTCCATCGTGATTTCTGTAACAGACTCTTCGTGCACCTCGTTATAGAAGGCGTCATCGTCCTCTTCGTCCTCGCTGTCGCTGTATTCAACGGAGCTATCATCGTAGTCATCCGAATTACTGCATGCTCTCGTTGCGAAGATGGAATCCCTTTTCTTCTGACCATTTCGAATCTGTACCGCCTTGATGCATGCGCTTCCTCGTCTATCCTGCGCCGCAGCGCTTCCACGTCTATTCTCCCCATACCGGTAGCCTAGCTCCACAATAGATGGCGCCCGCGAAGCCTTCTCGTACCCATAGCCAAGGTCAGCATTGTCGCGCGCTACAGGTGTTTGGACACCGTCCCCGTAGCCAAGATCATCATTGGATGGCATTGTTTCTTCACCATAACCACGAGCATCACTCGAAGGCTTCACTTCTTTTCCATAACCAAGATCTTCCTCTGACAACATGGCATCCTTCCCATAGCTAACATCGCTAGACTCACCGTACCCGTGATCAATTTTGTCGGTACTAGTACGATCATCTTCTCCACACCCCAAGCTGGCTAATGCTATGGCTATATTCATGGTGGTTGATTTATCGTATTGCATAGATGTTTCTGAGAGACGAGAGCTTGGAGATGTTTCTGAGAGACGAGAGCTTGGAATTCTTTGATCAAAACGAAGCGAAGCAAAGCCAGGGCCTTTCGTGTCTCTTCGGTCCTGTTGTAAATGATAGATTCAAATGTTTGTGAGAACAAAACGAAAAGAAGACAATCTAGTTCTTCGACCACCACCCCCGGAGAGGCAGTTTGCAGCAACAGTTACCTTTCCCTTGACTGGAGAAGGTCTCGAGATGTGCGACCTGGATAGCGTCGAGAACAACACGTGATTCTGCTCGTGTGGAGCAATTCTTGTACCATTCCCGGTCATAGGAGGAGCACGAGTAAACTACTATGTCGAGACAGTGAAGTCCAGTAAAAATCATGGTTTTGACAGGTTTCCAAAACAACGAACGCTGCTACCAGTTACTATCAATAGTTAGTACAGTGTACGGTACCCAGTACTACAAGCTTTAAAAGTGGAATACACTAATGAAGAGCGAAATGGGATTGTTGGGTGTGGCATACGGTACCTACAAGCTACAAGCTGACTACTGTAGCTACGGTAGCCGTAGCCAGCTAGACTTAGAAAAACCAAGGCTCGAGTGAACTCCGCAACGAATGGGCATTCTTGGAGCAGCTACAGTAGCCGCCTCACATGCTGCAGAGAAGAGAACCAGTCAAGTTCAAAGATTCTTCTTTACATTCGTTTCTGCCAGGATGAAGAGAGCTTACTCCGTGCTCCATAGAATTGGAATGGAAAGACGGAACATTGCTTCCCTCGCTCACAGTACGTACCACATGTACTGATCGGTATTGGAGGTGGCTGTTGCTTGAACTGTTGGATTTTGCCTTTCTCATTGCTTTGAGCCTTCAAGCGACTTCTACTCAGCTGATGGAGGTCCTTCGACTGTTCTGCTGGAGTAGCATGCATCACCTTTCGGCAACTGACATCATGTCCAGCCAGAAGTGATTCTTCGCCACCACCTAGCTAGCTAGTGACCTTCCCACCCACTCGAGTACACAATAGCGCTACCTGGTGATCGCTTCCAATCCGGCTAGAAGCAACCTAAAGCAAGTTGATCAATGAACAATGATCAATGCTGGATTGCTTCGGCAGGTAGCCTTTATGTCTAGCATACGCCAGGACCATCGCTCACCGGCAACACAATAAGCCTCGCCCTTGTCCCGCCTTGCCAAACAGAGCGACCCGAATCGGATCGAATCAACTACCCTGAACTTTTCCAATCTTGCTTCCCTCAGCCCTCAGCAACGAGACGAGGGCAATTCGCTCGCAGCGGCGAAGAATGCTGAAGTTCTCATGGTCTTCCAATCACAAAAATCATCCCAAAAGCAATTGCTCAGTTTAGCTCAGGGAACGAACTTTTCTCTGCCGAAGTTATTTAAAAAAAATCCGCAGGATTGATGTCGCTCTGGACCAGATTGCTTGACCACTCCCGCAGGCTTTAGATGCCTTGCTGGTCCGAGGAGAGTGCTCAGTGCGGCTTCCTTTGTGCGCATTGTGTCAGCCTGAGCTTCCTCCTCCACAGGCAAGATGCTTTGCACGCATGGCCCCCTCAGGTGTTTTCCGGAGGACGACGGGGAGCAAAAAAGCAAGTTCCAAAAGGTAGGGCGGGCAGAAGAACTCAAAAAGCAGAAAGACAAGAGAGCTACTGACACAAAAAGGCAAGTCGTCTCTCGGTGCAATGCTCCAGCATTTTCATTGATTTTTGACCCTGTAGACTCGAACTCTGGCAGAAGCGGGCCACACCGGTTCCAGGTAGTTTCCTGCAACAATAGTGACAGCCAGAGATACTTGCTAGTAGCTAAAGTAAGTCGGAGCCATCGGCCACTGTGGTTGGTTGGAAGGAAGCGAACGGAGGAAAGAGATAAAGTGACCCTTTGAGCTTGTAAAGGATAGTGGACACTATTAGTTCTTCGATTGTTGCTTCAGGGGTCACTTTATTGCTTTGGTTAACTGCCGTTTCGTGGCATTAGGGATACACGATCCATGAGCCCCCAGGACCTCTGTGGAAGCGTCATTCGTGGCAAAATACTTAAGAGACGATACACCGAGGCATAGGAGACAATTGACAGGATTTAAGAGACGAAAGCAATCGTCTTGCACTACGCTAAAAGCTAGTGTAAAGATCTTTCAAGTGTTTTGAGTTTGAGAGAATGAAAGTTATGAGAGGATTAGAAAGCTATGAAAACTAATCAACGAGAGAGAACAGAGAAGAGAATCCAGCAATCAAAGGATCGTAGATCTGAACTCCCGGGGAGACTGTAGAGTGTGATAGAGTAGGTTGCGGTAGCAATCTACTCACTCACGATCCGAAAACGGAACGGGTGGAAGATTCGTCTAGAATTTATCTAGTAGCGTGGAATCTCTCCAGCCAGCTAAATACTAGCGCGATGTTTCACCATCGACCTAGTATGATAGCGTCATGAGAACCCTGTCTCAATGACTATTCACGAAAGAGACTCAGTCATGAGTCGAACTCAAACCCTATCTAGGATCGAGTCGCGAATAAGGCTAAGAGCCGTGTATTGCATTCGCCCCTGACAAGGGTCACGGAGGCACGGCATCAGCCGGACAAGGAGAACATATGAATTAAAGTGCGGGCACTCTCCGGAGATTGGATGTAGACATGTGCGTCGCACGATGGCATCTACAAGGGGATCAGGCCTTTATGGGTGTAAATACCTTATGTTCAAGTCTGGTAGACTGTGCCGCTACTGGCGTAGCATGTCGGAGCCGTACAGTGCCATTGATTTTTGACTCGGTCTGTGTGTGTAAAGGACCTTTTGTGCGTTGGCTGACCGTACTACACGGTTCTGATACTGATGAATCATCATAGTATCGTTGACATGGTGTTGATGAGGGACACGTGTCGCGTGCTCTCTCCTATCGTTGTTTTGTCTGGATAGTCGTTGGCGACGTTCCTTAATGTATTTTCGGGTTTGCTCTGAAAACGGATGTGGTGAATCTTGTCAGATTGACGCGCGTAACGTTGCGACGAGTCCATGTTCATTCCGGAGAGTTTCTCGACCTCTCGCGGGACTCACGTTTTCTGTCCATGACAACCGGTCTTGGATACTGGGTAACCCCAGTCTGTTTCAGAACGATGGTTACTCCTCTGCTGTCTTGAGCAGCCCTTGTAGTTCATTGGTCCAATGAATCCACGAAGTTCCTTCCTTTTGGAAGAGCGATAGCTTGGATCGCATCTATTATCTTTTAGTTAAAGGTTGGATTCCTCTCGAGTAGTCCAATTGTCTAGTACTCAAGTTCTTCCTTTCAGTAAGGCCTTGGTAGTGTTGATTTAAATCCGACTTCTTGAAGTCTTTGGAAAATTTCATCTAACTATTCAACGTATCCACCAGATCGGCGTCAGTTAGGATGAGTCAATCATCAATGATAGCAGGGACATTTCCTAAGTCATCATGCGTGTTTCATCTTCTTTGGAAGATGTCGGGACTATTACATAGGCCATTGGCAACCTCTGTACTCGTGCTTTCCCCACGGGAGTACGATGTACAGTGTTGCTTCGAGTGAGGTGACAGCTCGATGTGATATGCCCATGTTCAGGTCTAGACTAGTAGCGTACTTAATCCATCTAGATTCAAGAGCATGTCCTTGATTTTTGGGATAGGATAAGCTTCGCTTGATCCTTTTGTTCAGTTCCGGAAATCAGAATGAATCGTACAGATCCATCTTCTTGGGAATGATAAAGTTGTGCCGCCCACCGGAACGATTCACCTTCTTGAGTACTCCTGCCCTCGCAGAGACGTTCAACTCCATCTTAAGAGTGTTGTATGGACCGTGGATAGGTGAGCCCTAGTATAATAGGATTTAGCGTCGGAGAAGTTCTACTTCGTAGTCGTCCATTTGCAACTCTCCAAGTACCTTCGACTGGGTCGAAGCACTTGGTTGAAAAGGCATGAGGCAGTTCTTGCTCTTCCTTATTTAACTGATTTCGACTCTGCACATCTGCCTTAAGTCAGTTTGTTCTTATGTCGCATCAAGAATCTTCTTGAGACTATCTGCACTGTCGTTGACGGCGCAGATCAGGAATGGAGAAGTTTCTTCTCCATCGGTATTGCCATCTTTCGCAGGAAAATATGCTGTTCCACTCATGACATGGTAGTGAAATCAAACTGTTTCTTAGGTCGAGAGAGTGTCTGTCTATGATCATGTCATGCGCCCCCAAGTCTTGGTGACGTGTAAATTCCATTCATAATTCTATATCGGGAACTCAGGAATCATGAGTGTGCCCTCACTCTTCGTGGGGTTTCAATTCCTTCAAGAAGCATCCTAATGTTTGGACGCCCCATGATCTTCATGAGTAAAACTCTTAGCATGAGTTTGAGAATTAAAGTTCCGGATGTTCCTGTATCCAGTAAGCAACAGAGTAAACGGGTTTTTGTTTCCCTTTCTCTCGTCTGTTAAACCTAACATAGACGATAGTGTTTTCTGAGGTTTGTACTTGCAACGTTGAGACAGTTGATATGGCCATGAGTAAGTTAACAGATGCTGAGACAGGATCTCGTCAGTGTCTAGATATAGATCAGTAGACATATGCAGCATACATAGTGCTCTCAACTAGACACTGATTTGATCGAGACTGCATCTAAGTTCGATCGAAACTAAAATCTTTGCTGGTTCACTCATATGTAGTGAGTATCTTCTATCACACTACGTTCGGAGAAAATACGGAACGTGGTACAGTACTTAGAGGGGAGCGAATTAAAATCACATGCGTCTAAATCTCAGGGACGGATGATTCACCCATACTATTATAAGATTAGGCAAAGATCCGAGAGATACGGCACAGCGCCGGTTAAGTCAAACGGCAAGAAAACAATTCTTCTTGTCACATCATGCTTGGAATCGGACTCCAACAGAGCGAGTCGTAGCCTCAGAGTTTGTAAGGATACGTCCGACTTGCGCTAGCAAACTCATGCGTTGCATCACTTTTCTTCCAT